TGGATTTCCCCACTACCAAAATCTAAATCCGACTTGGAAAAAGGCAAATACTTAATACAAAAGCATAGCCAGAGGTCGTGTCTCCTCAGCAATTTGAGAAAACAAAACAATTTGCAGCCTCGGCTTTTTGGGAGGACATCATCCGGATATAAAATCAGGGACATGCGCAGTTGGGATCTGCAAGGATGCTGCACTCCCTCGAACAGTGGGCGGAACAGGCAAAAGGCTCGACAAGGCCACACGCAAAATGCCCTTAATTCCGGTTAGAGTTCATATTTACACGGTGATAAAATATGACACAAATCATATGATATTTGTTTTTAAGATCCAGCACTACCTCCTTAAAAATGAATAATATCTTTCAGTTTTCCAAACGCAAGTAAAACTTATTGTCCAACTGTTTTTACATCAGTACAATATGGTTATTAGTTAAATTCGTTAAAACACTTGTTTCTGAAATTGACTTCCCTCAAGAACATACTTCAAATATGTATGTACCTTTCCCTGATTGTTTTGCATGCATTGTAAATTTGCCAAGAAATCATTAAATAAGAAATAAGAAAATTTTCCGGAATATAACCCATTTTCCATGGCATTCCCAAGGTAAACAAATAAATCAAATGGAAATGTGAGAAATGCGGGCTTAATGTGCATACCTACTAATAAAATTTTTATTTACTTAACTGGCTGGAACGCAAAAGCAAAGTAATAATAATAATCGGGTAATAAAATTTAAACAATTTCTGGAAAGTGGGATTTCCAATTTTCAGATATTATCTTGCCATAGTTATCATCTTTACTGTCTATTTACTAATAACAATAGAATGGGGGTAATAAAACTTATACAATTCCAGTAAAGTGAGTTTCGCAACCTGTTAATTTGCAGAATAAACGTTGTCGTAGAATTCATCAAAATAAACTAGATTATTCAGAGTCTTTAACGAGCTGTTACGATCACAATATACCCATTGTCGTCATTGAGTATCTGGTATCGTAATAAAGTTTCCCTTTTAGGTAATGTGAGTCAAAGCTTGTGACAAAGGCAACAATCCATTTCTTGAAATTGAATGGGTTTCGCCTGTTCCACCCCGGCTGATTGAACCCAACTGGTTTTGTTATTTTTTTTTTTGCGCCAAGAAGAGAAAGTTTGCAAAGTTAAACAAACTTATTTGGCGATACCCGTATTGGGTCACAGGCACGGAGTAATAGAACCAGTGACCACTGTATCTGCGGAAACGCCAAGTGCAAGATACTTAAAAATCTGCTGGCGGCTAAATCAGCAAAAAGTGGAATCCGAACACGATAGACTTAATGACGGTTGCTTATGGCTTGTATAAACAAAAGAATTAAATACAAAGTGAAGGTTGAATTAATAAAAACAATTTCCTTCATCTAGAGTCGCAATCAATGTCAGTCTTACAGCAAAAGTGCCGAGTGGTAAATAAATATTAAACAGAATTCACATGAACGTAAAAATGTGCAGTACTTCATGGAATTTAACATAGCAATGACCTTTGGTAATTTAAACAATTTAGATAACTAGGGTACATAAATGATTTCCGAGTTGTGGGGTTATTATAACAAATTGTTATATTGAAAAAATAAATAAATAGAACCACAAAATACACTTAGTTAATATAAATAATACTAATAAATAGAATGAAAGTAATATCTCTTTAGTTAAAAATGAAAGTCTAATATTGAAGGTACTGGTTGACACTATCATAAAAAATAACTTCAAAAAATTAAGGACAGGAACTTAAGCAGCAATGAACTTTTCTAATTTAAATAATCGTATGTGATTAAGTAATGAGGGCAACATTTTTAAAGCAGGGACACATCTGAGATAAGAAACAATGACAACGGAAGCCATAAGTCATCTTCAAAATAACAAGTTGAAAAGGCGTGATTAATCAGATTAAAAATATCAACTTTTCCCAAGAAAACTGCAACTAATTTTTCGACTGATTGAATTGAGAGCACACACATCACAGCATCTCATTCCAATTCGGACCGCCTCCGCCAAGTGACATCCAACATCCAACAACGAATTTGGAACAGCCGGCGGAGAAGTCCATGGACGGGGTTCCGAGGCGAAAGATATCGCAAGAGAACAGGTTGCCCTGCCGATGGAGTGAAGTCGTGCCAAAGCAAAAACTCGTTTCTTGTGACTCACTCCCCAGATATAAGACCGCAGAAAAATGGGCTAATCACACAAGCAGATACAAAGTAAACTTCTTTAGATGAAAACTGAACGAATGCAAACAAAGGAAGTCGGGTAATGCAGATGGAGAAAAGGGGCGGAAATGAACTAAAAAGTCTGAAAAAAAAGGGTTGGGACGATCGAGAAGTTGTTCGCTCTACTCGACCGAAGAAACGGAAGCCATATACACTGCAAGAAACGAAAGATACGTGCCCAATGGTGGGTTATATCATCTTGATTCTCTGACGTTGAGTCAGCTTATTTGCTAAATGAATCTGATATGAAGGTTGGCACTCTCTTGGCCGGTTATACAATTGCTTATCATATTGCAAACCTTGACTTGGGTTCTATTTTCGGTTTGTTCTCGGATTTACAGACAGGCACTAGAGATCCACTCAACCGGTTAGCGTCATATGTTTTCCATTTTGCTTTGCCGTATTTGATTAATGATTCTGAACTAAGGGTTAGCCGAGCTTATCTGTACGTTTTCTTGTAGATAAATATACTGGTTTTATGTTGGTTTACTTTTAGATTAAAAGAGGCAAAATATATAATATTAATAAGTCTTAGTTTAGGTTCTGAAACTGTGGCATAATGCTCAATTATTTATAACCAGGTTTGTCAAATTTTAAACGTTATCATTGTTGTTTATTTTGGAATTGTCAAATGTCATTCAAACTGCTTAGCCTGTTGGAATCAACATTTGCCTTTTTGTTATTTGAGTTTTTTCTTAGAGATTCTTACTGCAATCTCCTAAGGTCATTTGACCTTTGATTTAATTGTCATTATATTATTATCTGAATTGATGGCATTCTCCCAACCATTTTTATGATGGAAATATTATTATTCCCTTTCCCAGATTGTACATAAACAAGAGTTATAAGATTTAAAACTGCTGCTAACTAGAATTTTTTATGATGTGGCATGAGATTTTGTTTATTCAGGCAGAATTTAATGTGTGCCGCTCTTTTTTAGAGTCCGCTTCCGAGTTCTGTAAAGTGTGTGGCTGGGAAATCATTGAATAGACCCCAAAACTCTATAAATACACGGATTCCACTCGGCTGGGTGTCGTTTCCACCACACGCATCTGTATCTCAGGTCAGGGATGTGTGTGCATGTACTATATGAAGTATCTGCGGGTGCGTGTGTATATTTCAGCGGGTGTTCCTCTTTTTTGAGTGTTTTGTATCTCATAGAGCAATTAGTGCAGTGCCGCACATTAATTATGCACACCGCCGCCAGGTGGGAATTATGGGCGAGATGGGTGGATATAGCTCATAATTGGAGACAGGAAGGGAACCTACACCCACTAATTCGACACCGCAAATTGAATAACTCGGTTGGGTAAATTGAAATAAACAGAATAAATGAGCCGACGGACGGACACTCACCAACATCGACAACCGCCGCCTAAGCCAATTAAGCTGGCTTTTGGACTCGGGTTCGGGTGGAAGATGATGTCCAAATATGCCTTGTCCAAATCCAATTAGCCGTAGGATCCAGCGATCGCTCTCAGTTCCAGATCCAGAGGCCCCAGATGCTGTAAGTGAAGCGGAGGATGGGATTTAGATGGATTCCTCCTGGATAACGTGGCCGTGGATTACAATAAAACACCCAATTTGGAGAGCCAAGAGTGCAATTTGCTCAGCTCTACTGGTCAAAATAGATTGCAATGCGACTGAATAACGTTGGTTTGGGTTTAAAAACTAAAGGTTGTTCGTGTTTTTGTGTAAAATTCCAGTCGAATTTGGGTTAATATTAACAGATAAATCAAAACCGATGGGAAAGTTCTTTGAGTTGAACAAAAAAAAAAAAACTCCGAATTCAGGTCGCTGGCGCAGTGAGGTCTTCCCAGTTCTTCCAGCTTCCAATGACCCTTATGGCCTAATTGGAGTTTTCCCAAGCCAAGCCCTTGGGAATTATGGATATTTATTAATCCGCAGTAAGCTGTTTAACCGATTTTCAACCGAGAACGCACAGATAACGTGTATATGGCTTTATTTGTATGTATCACTGCACTGCACCGCCCTTTCGAAACATTCTGCCTTTGTTTTCCGTTCGCCTTTGCTGCCCAGTTACACCTGGCATTTGTTGTGATTTTCACTCGCTTTTCATATTTTCCCGTACTAGTAGGCGTGGCCAATCGAATTTCAGTCACGCGAAGACACGCTCCATTCAGACTAGATCCGCCCCGGATATTCACCTTTTCTACTTCAATTTTATCCGATCGAAAAAACTTCGCATTTCAAAGTAGTTCTGACTCAATGTGACCGCGGAGTTAAATATAAATTATACCGATTATGAGAAATATACCTTTAATACCAGTCAAGAATACCAAAATTTTCTACTTTAAATACCAGAATAATATACTAGATTTATAACACACCAAACATGCAGCCCTGGAAAAATACCTTGAATAACCGTTAGCCGGAAATCAAACTGAAATTTCAAAAAATTAAAAAAAACAGGTGTTAGAAAAAATTAATCTTTTTACAGATCTGATAAAAAAATAAGAAACTACTAACCAAAAACCATTAGATTGAATTTTGTGTACCTATACACTAATAGAATAGAAAGGTAAACTCTCGAAAATAAGACTTTAGCAACATGAAAAATCTAAAAACATATCCCTTATGGATATGATTCTCAAAAACCATATTCAGGAGTTAAAGTCCTAGATTTCACATAAATCTGAATCGCCAAGAATGGTAGCTCACATCTTTTTTATAATTACTTAAAGGTTAATACTTACTTTCTTCGCTTTGTAAAAAGGACTTTCGAGTTCATTGTACTAGCGTTTCATTAAACAATTTTGTTTATTTTGGTTTCGTTTAAAACACTAAATTACACGTTAAATAATTTACAATCAAAATTTGGGTTCAGTTTTCTTGTATACTGTCTGTCGCGGCCCCCTGATTCCTATTGGGGACGCTACTCCATAGACCTTGCCTCTGCTCACACGGTTGGATGTGTATGTAAGTCCTACGTACGTCTGCATGTTTTTTGTGGGGGTAGGAGGAAGTGGGGGAACTTTACACGGTTGTAGCAACTTCGAAAAATATAACTTTGATATCCTATAGTTCTATACATACACATGCACGTGTGTGCTCCCTATATGTACGTTCAAGCATTGACTTCGTTAAAGGCTCTGCATTATCTTGCTTTATGAAAATAAAAACTACAGCGTTGCACATGATCGGAGGCGATAACTTCGCATTCAGCTAAATTAAAAACATTTCGATTTGTGTCAGTACCCATACATATATCTCTCTACATATATATACACGTATTTATCTTGTATATAGATTGTGATTCTCGGTTAGCGTCGCCTAGTTTGTGACCCGATTCATTATCATCATTTTCAATTCTTTTCTTTAGAGTTTAGAGTTTAGACTTTAAATCACTACAATTTTCAAAGTAAAGCTTAGTATTCAGTTTATTTGGATTCTTCTCTTCTTAATTGTTGTAACTAAACGGCTTTTGAGGTGAAAAGAAATGTGTGGATATTTTTGTAAGCCCAACTGGAAATGCGATCGATATTCAAAATTTTGTGCTGTGCTGAATTTACTCGTTTTTATCCGAAGATTTCGAATTACACTTACTTTGTTTTTTTATTTGGCAGTTATTTTGTTGTTGTTGCAAAACATTTTTTAGCTCTAACACCTGTCTGCTGTGATGTAATCCCAACCCGAAGAGAACCAACAGTCGCAAAAGCAAAAGCAAAATAAAATCGGAAGCCGGAAGCCGGAAAAGCGGGCAAGCACACGGGCCAATCCAATATGTGACTACGTTACTTAGGCAATAATAAACTAATTACGAAATATAATTGGGCTGAGGTGGTCTGTGGTGGTGGAGAGGTGGTGGTGCACTTAACGGAAACTATGGTAAAAACGAAGATCTAACCACGAAAACAATAACATCATCTCGGCCTGATCTGCGATATATATATGTATGCACCTAATAGACTCGGAAACTAAAGCCAAACTAGTTACAGCATTTGTTACAGTTACAAAATCCTTAACTCCTTAACACTGCTTATACGTATCTATAGCCACCAGCTGGATTCAAGCTGTGTGGATAGGACGCCGGCGATGGAGCGCACTACAGCTGCGCCAGCGAGTCGGAGCGGATGAGCGGCGCCAGGGAGCTGGGCGCCTTGTGACCCGTCTCAATCTCGTACTGCACGTCGAGCGAGGCACCTGCGAATGAATCGAAACGAAAGTCATCACACTGTATTAACAGCACTGGGGATTTTGATTTTATTCATGACTAAGTTGCAACCGTCGCATCTTGCCCTGGGATGATAGGTTGGATGATGGGTTCTATGGGTTAGTGGACTTCAGACTCTTACGTTTCTTTTCCAAGTTGGAGGTCTGACCCTCCGGAATGAACGCCGACACTATTATGGCACAGAAGACGCACAGGGCGCCAAACACGAAGGGCGGACCCGGCACATGCTGTGAGATCTTCTCCACGTTCGTCGCCCTGCTGCCGCTGCTCCTCGCATGCGAGTCGTGGTCGTCGTTCAGGTCCACGTTAAACAGATAGAAGACGACGCCGAACACAGCCGGCCCCAGGCCATTGCACAGACCCCTCATGCCTGTGATCATGCCCTGGACAGCGCCTGAAATGGGGATATTTGATTTAGTAAGGATCTATTTAGGAATAGACCTAAAAGTCCCACTCACCCTGACTCTCGGGAGCCGCATAGAGGGACACGAAGGCGCTGATCGCTGGATACGTGATGGAGCCCAGGGCAGCCACTACGCCAGCCGACCACATCATCCTGTTAAAATGAATATTAAATTTAGATAGCCCTTGCTTGAGGAATATATTATAAACACTCACCACTTTTGACTTCCGAATCCATACCACAGCAGCTGCACGATTTCCAGGGCTAGGCCCATAATGATCGTGCGCTTGGCCCCAAACACCCTAAAAGAGAAACAATTCATAAGACACATAACAAAAGTAATCCAAAGTTATCAAAACTCACTTCATAAAGGAGCCAAGGGTCACTTGCACCGTGATGCTGAGGATGCCTACGATGGCTATAAAGACGGACACCTCCACGTAGTTGAAGCCCATCTTCAGTTTCAGATAGACAAACATGCAGGAGTACTCCCCGGCCTCGGGCAGATAGGATAACAGCACGGTGAGGCACAGCATCAGCACGGTCTTATCTGTACCCACTTTGCGGAGGGCCTAAAAAAAGATGGAGTTTTTAAAATCAACTTCAAAGATTCAAGCATCCAAAAGATCCTCACCAGAAAAGGATCCGCCTGTTCCCAGCTGATGGGCGCCCCCCAGGAGGCAGGGCGCATCTTCTCCGACAGACTCTCCGGTACAGCGACCAGGATGAAGAACACATCCAACAGCGCAATGGCCGTGGAGAGGGCCACGACCAGCGTGTCGCCGTACATCTCCATCAGGGCGTTGCCCAAAGCCGGCGAGATGACCAGACTGGCGGCGAAGGTGGCCGAGGCCAGGCCATAGGCCTTGGATCGCTCCTCCGGCGTGGTGACGTCCGCCACGTAGGCGAAAACCACCGAGAAGGTGACGGCAAAGGCGCCGCTTATTGAGATCATGGCAAAGAACCACCACGTATTGATGGACATCAGCGGTATGGGCAGGCAGGTGAAGAATACTGTGACTAATAGGAAAAACTTTCGGCCCCAGATGTCCGAAAGGGCGCCGATCAGAGGCGCCGACAGGAACGACAGGATCCCCTTGATGCCCATGACCAGGCCGTTCATAAGGAATGTGTGATCCGGGAACGTCTGGTTGAGGGTCTGTATGGGAGGAAAAAGAAGAAATTAAGATGTGAAAAATATTCGTAAAGAGATATTCCAAACTTACCGATATTATGGGCATCGTCAGCAGACCCCAGGCGAAGAACTCTAGAAATATCACAACCAGCGCATGATGAACACTCGGCTCCCCGATTCCGGAACTCTGTGGATTAAATTAGAGACCTCATTAGTAATAATACAGAGTATTAGAATAATACAGATAGAAATCAGCTAAGTAAAGAGACATGCCCGCTGCCAATTGGCATAATTGCAGGATGCACCACTGGCGACGCACCCAACCGAGTGCGTCATCGTTGTAAACCCAACCAACCAACCACCCAGTTGATAAGGCGACGACAATGCCGCGTTAACCCTTTGAGGCCCCGCAGCCAATTGGTGGCTGCCTTTATTTGTAAACATTTGAGTCCCGAGTCAGCTAAAAATAAATTGTACTAAATGCGAAATTGTTTGAGCTCGTTAAATGCCCAATGTCACCCGAGGCGGCTGGCGATGGATTCGGAATGCCGCCAACTGATTTGTTTTGTCGCGCATCAATAAATAGAAGACGAACCCCAATTTGAATGCAGGGACCATGTGTACCTAATCAAACAGCTTTTTTATGATCACAAAGAATCGAAAAAGGAAAGCTTTCATAATAAAAACTGCAAGACTTAACATTCTAAAAACATTTTGGTTTTACGACAAGTATCCTAAATGGACTATTTTTTATGATTCCAAGAATTTTTACTTTATTTTAAATAGTCATAAATGTTAATGATTAATTTCTGATTTTATTTATTAATTTTCTTTCTTTTTTGATACTCAAAAAGTAGTAAAAGTAGTAGTAGTAGTAGTTAAAGTATTACTCATTAGTTTTAAAATTTCCGATATAGGGTTAAAAGCGCCATTAAATGAGTTGTATATAATTATTATATACTACATCTAATTAACTAGAAACTTGAATTGATAAAAACGACAACTAATGAGACCCATTAATTAACTAGAAAACTAAGTCGATAACCGGAACAATCCGATTTTATCTTATTTCCCAGTTTTCTCCCCTTATTATATTCGTTTACTTTTTACTTATTCTACCATAGAATTATAACCATGATTTATATACGTTGGGGCTTTAACAGTACCTAGTGATTCAACTTTTTAGGAGAGCATTGCCTCTAATTGTTAGCTTCTGAAAGCCCTTGATTGATGATTTTCCGTTAAAATAATTTCAGACCCAATATGACAGAATTGTATCATCAGTATTAATAACTTGATTAATATTTCTCTTAATCATATTGTATATGACGTTTCGAATGGAATTTAATGTTACAAGGTCTAAGATAAGTGTTATCTGTAAGATAAATTGTTCGTTTTTCATGTAAACTGAGAGTTTAACTAACATACATATGGTTGACCTTATCTGGTTATGGTGAAAAATTCCCCACCATAGGGCATTAATCTGAAAATTTTGACATCCAAAATTGGTCTTGTACATATGTATTCTGTAATTCTATAATATTAATATCACTAAACAAAATATCCTGATATGGTAACCAATCAATATATACTATCATAGTAGTATTTCTTAAATACTTATTATAACAATAATCATATATAAAGGCTTTAAGGCTGAGCATGTGATGTTTCTGAGAGTTAAAATCCTCAACATTATACTCTGATATGATCCCCAATTTTTTAAATACCTTGCAGCAGCAGATGTTGCAGACAACCCGCAGCCACTCGAAGAAGCGGTTTCTCTTTGGTCGTTCTGGAGGAGCTTCAGAGTTGCCTCCCTGCGATCTCATTGAGATGTAGGAGGCAGCCGAATGGGTGCGCCTGTGGGCGGCTCCTCCGGTTACCCTGGCAGATCCCGAGGACGAGGTGACCGCCGTTTCCGCGAAGGCGGCACTAGGATGTGCCGCTGCAGCTGCATACCGCGATGTCTGCGGGGTCGTGGAAGAGGAGGAGGATGAGGAGGAGGAGGACGCTGAATTAGATGGGGCGTTGTGTCCCAGATCGCACCCACTTACCGTGGGCACATCGTCATCAACATCGGGCTGCTGGCTGGAGCTACTGGTGGAGCTGCTGTCCGCCAGCTGCTGATCCTTCAGCGGGGCGTGGCGCTTGACCAGCTGACTGCCACGACCGCCAAAGGCGGGTGGAGAGAGGGGCAGGGAGCTGATCGTCTCCACATCGGCCACATCCGCTGTCGTCGGAGTGGAGCTGCTGCTGTGGGTGCTCAGTGTGTCCGTCTGTTCACCCGACTCCTGCCGATCTCGATCTCGGTCACGATCCCCTGTGGCCGACAGCTCTGCTTTAGCTCCCGCTGAATTGACCTGTTCCACCTCGGAATCCTCCTGCTCGTAATCCTCGGGCTCCTCCAGCTCAAAGCTGCTCTCCAGCGTCTCGCTTTGCCGCTGGACATAGTTACGCCCGCTGCGCATGGTCTCCTCTGATCCGCTCTACCTGCGTATCTCCCTATTGGTAACTGTGGCTTCTCTGGTCTTTGTTATCACACTAATTTCCATTGCCACGGGTCCAAGAACATAAGAATGGGGTGTGTGTTTGGCCTTATGGTGCTCTTCACGGGATGCGATCCGGATCTGATCCACTTGTCTCTCCACTCCGCTTATCTCCTCGGTTCTACGGCGATCGAAGCGAAGTTTATCTTATCATTTGTTTGACTTAAACACAATGTTTCCGCTGCTACTGCTTTTCGGTTTTTGCGGCACTTTCCTAGCTGCAATTAAAGTTGGCCAACCGATTGCCGGTTACTCATTTGAATTCACTCGAAATTCGCGTTTTGCTTTCAGCTGTCTGTCCATGGGGGAAGTTCTCTATAGAGATCATGTATCTATCAGATATAGTGGGACCTCAGAGTGAAGGAACCATTAGAAAATGTTACTAAACACTCTTGTTGGTCAAAAGAAATCTAATTAATAAACTGATACATTCCTTTTAGTATATGATATTCTACTAGCAGAGAAATTAATTATTTAATTACTAAACCTTAGAGACGCCGTAAAGTATGCTTTTTAACTCGATCTGGTTGTGTTATCCACATATTTGCTTGGCCCAGAATTATAAAGATCGCGCTAAAAGCCAATTTGGCCCCGCACTTAATGCCATTGCTTTGTGGCAATTTTAGCACCCTGGTGTAAATCGCAGCCACAAGCTTGGATAGGCTCGAAAATAGATCGATCAATATTAGCAAACGAGCAAAAACGAAGCAATTTAAATCGAAGCACATCAAAGTGAAATAAATGGAAAATCAATTTGAAAATCGGGCCTGCCTGGCGTTTTACAGCAATTTCCCGGCGATGTCAGTTGGGGAGAGATGTGTTATTTTTTCGTGATATATCCAGTATGCAAATCGTGGCATAAACACAAACATACCCGTCGATTTTCTATGGGATACCTGGACTCACACCAGTTCACTGCGATTCTCAGTATATGCGCGAATATCGATCTTTGAAATTTTAATTAAAACAGCACACGAAAAAAAGTCACCTAGAATTTTGACAAACATGTGAATCAAAACATATCCAACTCTGACGACGCTGTTTATATAGCTCGATCGTTTTCCCCCCAAAAAACTGGGGACGTCTGCTGCGTTTCAATGTCCGCGACTCACTAAGTGGATCGTTTTGGGCTCTCGGTTCTCCAGGGTATGAGTTCACTAGTTTTCTGGCTCTCCAGTTCTCCAGCGAGCGGAAGCTCCACAAACCGAGAGAAACACACATGTCCACCTGCTGTGGAGCTTATTTAGAAAGAGCCACAAAAAGAGGCACTCGACAGAGAAAAGTTACGGCATTCAAAGGCGAGTAACGAATGAAAATGATCCATTTTTTAATTTTTATACAGCTAAATGTATAAGAAATATATATGTGTATAAGATAAGTTAGCAATTGAATCTGCAATGAATTTGTGATATCAGAATGAGTAATATGTGTTTTATATTTTTGGAAAATACAATCAGACTTTGTGGCTGCATTTAGGCAGAATCAAATCTCAGAAATTATAATATTCAGTGAATAAATGTTTATAAAATCTATAATTACAACTAGGGTATAAACAAATCTAACATCAATTTAATGTCATTCATTGCCATTATCTAGCAATCCAAAAAGTTTCGGATGTTTGATAAATTGACAATTCTATTAACCACAACTAACGAAAATACATTTCACGTAAGCGACAGTCTACATGGTGCTAAGGGGAGCCATAATAAAAAGCCCAAAAGTAATTGTCGCACATATCAAATAGATGAGCTCGACACAACGATGATGAAAGTTTCTCGCTAAAAGCAAATGAGAAGCGGTCTGCAGTACAATGGAAATGTTTTTGCTACCCGAAGCACATGGAATTGATTGTTATCTGGCTCTCGTCTCGGCAATTATGCTGTGACCACAAGTATTAGCTTAGCAAAGTTCCAAATGACGGTGCCGAAAAGATGAGACGAGACTGCTCTAGGGACAAATGCTATAAAGCATGTAAACATAGTGTGTGAACTATGTAACTGAAAATCAAATACGGAAAGTTAAAAATTGAAGGTTCATAAACAACTGATATATTGTTTAATTTCAACGATTAAGTGTCCTGTATTAAAAAAGGTATTCTAATAAATGTAAAAACTAGCATCCATAAGATGTTTAAAATCATATATTTGAACTATACACGACGGATCTCAAAAGATGGATTCTATCTGAAATTTTCTAAAAAGATGTTTCCTCAATTAGCTAGGCTTCTTTCGTCCCAAGGATACAAAACATCGAGATGATTTTCATCTCTATTTTAAGATGGTTTTATGTCGAAAAGCAAACTCAAGAGTACTTTCGTCTTGATTTCAAGAACGTTTTCTCTCAAATAAATACAAATTTGGTAAATTGAGAACCTCTCAAGTTGTTTCTAACCCATTTTCAATTTATTTTAAGTATATTAATTAGCAATGAAAATTAATGATCAATTCTTTTGAAAAAATCTGTAAATCATTAGTAGTTCGAAAAGTATACTACTTTGTTCTCAAACTCGACTGCGCATAAACCCCTGCTGACAGTTGAGCGCTGTGCGTGGAATTAGTTGGATAAAACCCATTTAAACTGACCCGAACTGAGCTCGACCGCCGTACGTAAATCATGGTGGTGATGGTGATGACCGGCCCGCTGGACTGGTCAGTCAGTCAGTTAGTCAGTCCGTGAGAGGAAGCAATCGGGTCAAGTGCAGGCCGGAGAATGAGCGGCGGCTCAAATTCAATTTCCCAGCTAAGGACAAAGGATTGGACTTGGAAAGCAATCCTGTTGCAGCCGGGACAGCCTGTTGTCCGAAACGAAGGAAACGCCAGCTGCCAAGTCAATCATCATGCGAGGAATGAATGAACAACGGGAGGATCTGCAGATGGGTTGAGTCCCATTCACATGGCTGCATGTGTCGCATCAAAAGGCATTAGGAACGACCTTGACAGGAGCGGCTCGGAAAAAACACCCGGATGAACAGACATCCGTTTTGGGGGCACAGCAAAAAACAAATGAACAAAAAACGAAAAACAGACAACAAGTCCACCGATGGCGTAACGATTTGGCAAGAGACATGCTGGAAAATACATTTCCATGTTTTCCTTTCATTAATGTCACAAAAAAGAAACTAGCAAATTTCTAGTCGGTGGGCTGGGCACTGCCAAATTGAAAAGCCGGCTAAAATGGGATGTGAGCTAACGACTGTCGGGTATTACGTGCCCTCAAATGTAATTCGTAGCGAATTTGTTTTTGTTTTTCCTTCATTTTTTTTTGCTAATTAATCTTGCCGGTCATGGGCAATCAGCCGGGAAAAATTCCATATGACCACGGGGTGGCCCACAGGACACGCAAAAAAAATTTAAAATAGAGTAAAGGTTCCCAGGGTCAAGTTGGGGGCCAGTCGGTGGGTTGCTCAAAAATTTACCAATCAGCGATATTCGTGACCCAATCTAAACTCCATTAAAATACACTTAACTCCACAGGGAGAAAATATAGTGTTTAATTTAAGATTTAATTCCATATATCAAAATATGGCTGTGAAGTGTTTAGTTTTAATTGGGAAACTGAATAAATACTAAAAACAAAAAGGTTACTAAAAACTATTAGGATAATATAAAAACTTTATTTAAATAGTGATCAAATAATTTAAAATAGTCCTGAAAGGTCAAATAAAAAAATATTTTTATGTAAATTTTCAAAGGCCTAGAAATAAACCGAAGCATTTTAAAAGTGTAAGAATGCTATTTAAAATATGCACACAAATTCTTGATACTCGCTTTCGCTTTCATAAATCAGCAGTTTTATTCAAATTTTTTAGATGGTATTTTTGTGGAGCTAAACCCCCTTCCACTGCAGAAGCTTTCAGCACGTGGCGCTCTTGATTTCGATTTGGATTTCGCAATAGGACCAAGACCACCAGACAATGGCCAATAACTGGCAACTCCATTGTTGTGGCTTTATTGAAAAGTAGGCCAAAGCCCCAGGCATCAAGGACGAGCTGGCAACGCAGAAGTTTGCCTTAAAGTGGAATGTTTTCCTGCGGCCTCTTTGTCCCCATCGCCCACATGCCAAAGTCAAAGATTATCGCGCGTGGCTGGATGGCTGGCAGGTGTTTGAATCCTTAAGCAAAAGGAAGACTGTCGCAATTTTAATTAAAAACATTCCAGCAAGCCTGACGGCATAAGAATCAATCAGCCGTAGCTTTTGGCAGGGGTAAGCACCCCAAATGGGTGGTATTAAAAGCAACGGAATCCCTGATATTTCCTGTACACCTTTTTGCTATCCGGGTTTATTGTTTTAGAAGTCTGAAAAATGGGTTTGGGTAACAAAGAATAACTCATTTCCCAAAGAAGTAATTATAAAAAGGACATCTGTGTAAATTATTGATTGCTGCTGAGATTAAGGTGAATTATGGAGGTGAATAAATCACCTTAAAAACAACAATGGGATTGTAAAATATATGATATGTATTCTAGTTATCTAAACTAAATAGTCTCTAAATAGTATCTAAAATGTTGTAATTTTATAATATTTTAAAAACTTGTTAAAATTTTTTCACACCAAACTTTTTTTAAACTGAGTTAAAAAGCTAGTCCTTAAAAATGTCTAGAAATATGGTATGCCAAGTATTCCCCTAAGTAAAATTCTTGCAGCTTCAAAGTGAAACGGAAAACGCGCATATGGGGACTTGCAACGACCAACGATGCTCTTTCATCTTCCGCCATGCCATCCATGATGCCAAATGTCAGCCCACATGAAAAACGGACTTGCTGACGACTCGTGGCTAATGGGGAGCATTCCCGGCACCAAGGTCATGTGAGTGCAACAGCAGAGGCAAATAGAAGGGGTCAAAGGCGAAGAGAAGAGCCACTGCCAAAGCAGATGCTGTTGAAATTCAATTCAAAGCCTGCAGCGCGCGTGCAACGCTGCGGATACGTATTTTCTATACGTATACGTAATGTGCTCTCTCACATTAGCCTACCAATATATGTACGTACAAACGGGCAAACGCTGCCTGCCGCCTTTCAATATTAAAAATAGTTTGTCAACAACGTGGCCAGAAAGTGTCAAGCTGCGACGGCTGCAGCGGCTAAATTGGTTTGGGCCCAGCAGGATGAGTTTGGGGATTGGGTTGGGGATGGCGAACGGATGAGTTAGAGCTCACTGAATTTCTGGGTTGGGACACCGTATGCCCCATTGGCTCTTGGATATAATAAATAATCAATTCTATCGATTTTCTACCGCAAATATATTACGATGAAATATATGTCTATAAAGCAAGGAAACAAAATGAAATGTAATAATATATGTTTCAATAAATCATTCTTATCAGAAATCAATATTTGGAAACCAAAGCTTTTAAAAATGTTATCTTTTATTAGACTGCTGTGAGCAAAACAGATGCCGTGGAACCGAAAAAAACTGAATTAAACATTAAATATTTTTAAACTATAGGGACTTTTCAACATTTTTTCATTTTATTGGACAGATGTTTAAAATATTACAGTCGTGAAAAAAAACTACGAGTATTTTCATTGGTATGGTTAATACACCTAACCATTTAGTACAAATTGAAATCCTCTCCACTTTTATATACCTATCTGATGTAATAAAGCTTAATTGAAAATAATAAAGGGTTTAGTTACTTAATTTAAATATTGACCGAGTTCTGGGTATAACTATAATCAAAACGGACGCAGGACACCACAGGCTGTCCGCAGCAAAGCACATGATTTATGTGCGTACTCTTTATTGATTTAGTTGGGGAGCTCACACACAGATTCCGGCAATAAGATAATGTAAATTGCAGTGCAGAAAAAACATGAAATCAAAGCAATCCCATAATGACCTGGGATTTCATCAGCACCACAAAATGGATGAAAAAGACCAAACCGAATGGCGTCTCTTATTGATTAGCGGCGATGATGCACCCAGGCCAGCCCAAATTTAAAAGAACCGAACCACCACCACCCATCATCAGAGGAGCCGAAAGCTAACCCGATTCGAATCTAAATTCGATTCCGAGCACCCGGCTGACCTTGCATACCGCACCAAGCACCGCACCAAGCATGGCAAACTGGCTGACGGACTGACTGGCAAACACGGAACACAAGCAATTTTAATAAATTTATGATTCTTGAACTGTTGCCCAAAAAGTGTTGACACAACAACGATGGGTCGCACGACAAAAATAAAAAAAAATAAAAAAAACGAAGCAACAACCGCAAAAAGACTGAATAAAGGCTGCAGCACGACAGGAGAACAGGACTAGGACTGCATCATCAGCGGAAGTCGTGCAGTTAATTTGCATAAGGAGACAACGGAAGCGATTGCTCGGAGGCTTGGCACTTGGCCAAAGCGCCAAAATGCCAAAGCCCCACACGAGTCGCACTACTCTGCTTAGATAATTTCTTTCGCATTGTGTTGGGAACTAGGAACTGTTCTCTAAAAATGTTACAAATAGCCTAAATTATTAAAAAAAAATATGTTAAATTCTGTTTTTAACTCTGCTTTTTCGAAATATCAGAAACATTTTGTCCAAAAATGATTTCTTAGAATCCATCGCTTTTGTACGAATAGCTCCATAAGATAATATGTTAGGTAAGATTATAATATATTTGTTCCAATGAAGCATACAAATATAGTATATGATCAATTGAAGCCATCTTTAAAACTTCATTAAGATCTTTACTCAGAAACTTTTCGAAACCTAGTCTCCATCGTTAGGAACATGAAGTTTTGATTTTAAATCAAGATATATAAAGTTTATATAATATAAAAGTACGTTATGAGGATTACATTTGCTGCTTTACATATTGTAATCGCTTTTAAAACTATCAAAAATCTCTTAAAAATCGTTTGTAATATTTAGGAAAATGTTCATTAATGTAAAAGAAAACAGGAACCAATTCATTACAAACTTTGCAGAACATCATTCTTACAATGTCTATATTTAAATAATCCCCAAAGGGAAAGATTTGTGAGAACCTTTTATTTAAAGCATTACAAATTATGCTTAGATGGCAAAAGGCTCACCATATTGTCTAGTGCTGCGGTTGACACTAAACCCACTGCGGCACGTCTATGAGACAATAGGCCCCAACTCCGACAATAGGTTCCCCCCAAAAGAAGGAGTCGGGAAGGACTAAACAAAGCCTCGGAATTGGGGATATAATTTATGGATAGCAGAGTGTTATCTAACGGCGTTTTCTAAGACTTGAGCCGCCACTCATGTGGCGAAGTTTCGCCATAATTGATTGGTATTCGAGCCTCCGACCGGGCAAATGTTTGCCCTGGCTTCAGGACTCAATCCAGATTCAGGCGAAGGATGAGAATGGCAAATTTGTGCGTGGCAGACTTTTTTCTTTTCCCCTTCCTACCAATAAACAAAGAAAAAAACAAAACCTCATAAAAAGTGTGATGGAAATTTTGCGGCAAAGGTTTATTGACCTTTGTTCGTTTGTCAAGCAAATTTGGTTAGACAAATCAACGTGGGTTATGTGATAAAAAGAGATTTTTTCTATAAAGAATGATGGTATACTCTCTGTAATATATATATAGAATGCAAAACAGATTGTTGCTTGCACTGCAGGGAAAGTTATCTTAGATTTTATGGGCACACATTAAACGAGAACCTCTAGAGCAGTGGTCGGCACACACATACCATCACAAGTTTGCCTTGCATTAGTGTGAGTGTAACAAGCACGAAGTTTGCGCGCGGCGTGCTGAAGCGAGACGTTTCTCTGCTTTGCACTGAGATCCTCTGCCGCAGCAACAAAAAAGCGAGCCGAAGTTGAGAAAAAAATGACCCGAAGACCCATGCCGAAGTCACACGAACACGTACGCTGTGCGTGAGCGAGCAGAGGATGGGCAGAACACTTCTCTATGCTCACTAGATAGGCCGCTGCCGACCACTGCTCTAGAGCCAGAAGACCATCAGCAATAAAAAATCATTTTACGAGCGCTAAATACGTACGAAATTATGCGAAATTCTCAGAACATTAAACAGCAGCATACTGGTCAAGGAGAGGAAATTAAAAGGATCGGAAAAGTGGGCGAGAAAAGGACGCCCAGTTTGAGTGACCTTCTTCAAGGAAAGCCGTCGAGGCTTTTACTTTTCTTTTTTTCATTTTCATTTTCATTTCCATTTTTGTTTTTGTGTGCGTCAGGCGGCCAAAGAACAAAGGAAAATCAGTAACACGAGAGGCTGAAGGAAATTCCGTTTCCAAGGGGAAAATTCTCCGCCACATTTGGCTTTTCCCTGCGCCAAAACACACAAAAACGAAGAAAAACTAGAGATACATATATGGTCTGATCTCATGAACAAAAGCATAATTGAACCGAGAATAACAACAAGAGTGGGGGTACAGTTACAGTTTTTTGCGTAACGGGACGGTTTTCCCAGTTTTCCGTGGGTGGAAAGCTGAAAGCAAAAGCAAATTGAGTGGGTCAGCAAATTGAGAAGCATTTCAAGTTCAGTCTCCGTCAATTTTCCGCTTTTGAATCATTCAAATTGCACAAAAACACACTTTTCACGGAATCCGCTATATATTTCTCTGTTTATACAAGGCTCGATTTAATTGCACATGTTAGCGTTGCGATATAATTAAAGCGAAAAGTCGACACGAAAAGAAAACGCGTGGAAATTGTTTAGTTAATTTTAGTCAGTGATTATACACAGCGCGACAAAATGTGCGCTTCGATGTGCGCCTTTCCACACGCTGCGCCGTACTCAGCTGGAAAAGCGTCTGCCTGAGCATTTTCCTTTGCCTGCAATTTTCCTCGCGTTTTTCACACAAACACGCGACCCCAGAGCTTTGGACGTGGCAAGCTTTTTGGTATTTTCAGAAAATGCCTCTCACTGCGGACTCGTGAATTATTCTAAGGAATGTACACAGGGTTTACATTCATTATTTATTTAAATTATATATCTATCATATAGAGAGCTTGATGATTACGGTTGGTATATATTTATTTATAAATAACTTAATATATTTTAAATACAAAAACGTCTTCTTTGTTCAGATTTTCCCTCAATTCAAGTGAATATAATTTCCCCTTCCCTCTCTTTACTTTCGATTCTTTCACTTTCGTCGCAGATTTGCTCCATAAACCTGCTTTCTCGCGTGCTCGAAATTTCCCATAACAATTACCATCGGACCTTTCGACATTGTTTGTTTGTTTGCCTTGTTGCTGTTGTTGCATGTCACATTTTCCCGGCTTCGCATTTTCCGAGAGAGTTTGTCGAGGAAAAGCTTTCGCTCTAAAGGGATTTTCCTAGCTCTCCTTGCAATTCATTCTGTGGTTTTACTTTTGCTATTGGCACCTGTTCGCTTCTGCGCCTTATCGCAGTGTTTTATGAATGAAGCAGCTTTTCTTCTGAACCCACTGCCAAAAGCTTTCTTCGGGGAACATTTTTACAAGGGATATTTGCTAAAAAGTTCAGAAAAAAAACTTAAAAGTATGACTTTTTCTAGGGAAATTATCTAATTGCTTGGCAATGGTAATTAGTGCACTCGGAACAATTACCTTATAATTAAAGCCTTTGGGAAAACTTGACCTAAATAGTTTTTCCAGAATTTAAAGGAACATATTCTTCAAAAGAATAATTCTAGTTATGCTAGAATATCTGGATTCTTACCGTTTTATATAGTTTTTTTTTGTAATATTTAACCAGTTTCTTTAAGTCCAATAAAAGAGGCCAGACTTAAGGCCTTTAAAATATGTTATGATTTCCCAGAAAGCATTGAACATTTATAAACTTTGTTTCGCCTGAAATCTCCTGGGTAGCATATCATCTAATGGCTGCCCTGTGCAGAATAATTAGCGCCTAGCCAAGGTCACAACACAACTTCAAAAATGAAATTCTCGTGGCGCGACCATTAATTAAGTTCCCCGACCGTCAGACCACAAGTGAAAATAAAAGGAAAACCTACAAGGGAAATGAAAAAAAAGAAAATTAGAGCGCGGCGCAGGCGTCATGAGCTTTCCACCGAATCGAAAACTGTTGCATAGAAATGGGAGCTTGGCGGCAGGCTGGCTACCAACTAAATATATATACTAACCATTTCCCAACAGTGGTTAATAATTTGTTAGTCGGGGATTAAATATGCATGACCAAGTCAAAATGGGTTGGACATGGGAACGGGAGCTCCTAACTTCACAGCTAAAATTACAGGCACTATTACAAAAGTTAGTTTTTTGTGGGGGTGGAAAGTAATGGTGACTAATGTAATATTTACACGCGCACTGATTTCCCGTCAGGTAGATCATTAGTGCGGGAAAAGCAAGAACTGGCAAAGGTAAACAAAAGGCAGTTCAATGCCCCCTCTATGAAAATAAAACCAGAAACCCGAAAAACACTCGAAGAGCAGAAAGCGAAAGGCCAGAACAGAACCCACGGAACAGCTTCTCCGCGAAATCGAAAGTCAACTACAAGTGGTTCATCTGGCTGTGGAGCGGAGAGGTCACCGATGTTGAATTGATTACGCCATCGCCAGTGACACACTTATGGATGTGGAAATGGAACTGGAGCTGGAGGGGAGTGGCGGGGGACTGGCAATCCCATGGGAGAACCCACTTATCAATCACGTTTTATGCCTTTACTGCATTTTGATATTCCAGTGCAGAGCTTTAAAGCAATCGCCCGAATTGGGGGAAAACCTTGTGATATTATCGCCATTATCATAAATAGGTGGAAATCGCCTGATGTCTGCCACATGTACCAACCCTACAGTGGATATCAGCCTTACGTGCCCGCTATGTCATTAGTGATGGGAAAGTGCCACATTTTCTACGCAGTGGGGCACATAAAATACAACTGCACAGTGGGAAATAATATTAAAATAAACTAGATTTTTGAATTCTTAAATATTTCTAACCAAATTACAGGTGTTTTACAAAATATTTCCAGTTCGATTACTATATAACTAAAGCACAAGTATTTGAATGACTTCTATGTGAGAATAGCTTATCATACAATTAGCTTAAAACTATTTAAAAACAAAGTAAATATGTCGTGCTCAGAAGTATAGGTATGGCAATTATACCTATATGTAGGTAGGAAAAAGTACTTGAAAGACAAGTACAAATACGTGAATACACCTAATCCCAGTTAAAAGGAAACTTAAAGCTAACAAATATATAGTCTGATTTGAATAAAACTTATATCGAATATATTATGGAAATACTGGGTACAGATATGCCATACCTACTAATGCCGAATAAGTATCCTACTCATAACATCATAAACCATGTACAATATACCCCAATTTCCATTCCTGATCATAGGGTATATGTATCCCACTGCAGATTCCATATCCGAACCGTTTTATAAACATAGTACACGGTTCAAGACCACTTCGGAAAAAGCCCCGGCCCAACTGAGTAAACATTTCAGTGCTGGCGTAGTCATTGCCCGAAACGTTTGATAGACCTCGATTACGTCTAAAACTAATGCCCAAATCGCGGCTGGAGTGTCGAGCACACGCCGTTCGCTGATTCACTTTGTTCCTTATCTCTATAAGGCCACTTGTATGCGATACCACCGGAGCTCCAAAATCCGTGAATATACGATTAGACTCACCGTGAAGACACTCTTGCTCTTGTGGGCTCGATTCCGTATGACCAATCCCGCCAGCGGCTTCTTTACATGGATTTTGGGCATCTTTGCGGCGGTGCTGGCAACGTTGCGGCTACGTGGCTTTAGCTTTACCGTTAGCTCTGTTTGTTTTCGGAATGCAAATGGAGATTCCGTAGAGCTGCTGCTTTTCTTTCAGTGTCTTTTGTTTGCCTGTGTTTAGCAATTTGACTGCATCACCCGTGCGTGTTTGTGTGTGTGTGTTTGTTGTTGTTTTCTCGTTGCTACACGGCACTTCCACTCGTACACTCGATTTGCTCGTTTTAGTCGCGCTTTAATCACGATTATTAGTTTACTATTATATTTTTGGTGGTAAAGAGAGACGCCTGGACAGGAACAACAACAACAACAACAACGGCAACGGCAACGGCAGCAGCAGCACAGCGGCAGAGGGGGCGGCGTTTTAGGCGGCTCGCATGCCTATGGGTTAATTTCAATCGATGACCTCATGTGGCTGGATCACTGGGACCTCGTCGGCACCTCTGGACAAGTTCTGGCTGGGACTTGGAGTTGAGGGTTCTTGTAGTTTCACGAAAATTTAATGCGTTCGTTGCAAACACGGGCCGAGAACAATTTCGATTTGGGGCTAAAAAACGCCAAAAGCGGGCGCTGTCAACATGTGTTCTAGGGTTGCCAGCTGATGCGCGGCGCTTCTAGGGTTGCCAGGGCGAACGTGCATTGCGTTCTAGGGCTGTCGCAGCGGAATGGGCATTTTAAATTTAAATGTTGTTAATTTAACAACTAAGTGGATTCTATGGTGTTAAAGTAGTAACATTAGTTTCATAAAAATAACTAACTGCCTCCAAAGTTTAAAAGTTAACAAACACATAATCTAAACCAATATAATTTCAACAAAAACGAATATTCTATATCTTTTAAAAACGATAAAAAAAATAATTCTTTAATGCATCTGTCCCTGCATTTGATGCAACGTTTTTTTCTAAATCAATAAAATACTTTGCGGCATAGTTGGTATATTTTTAAAACCTCTTTAGAACACAGTTCAGCCACGGTCACATTCTCAACTGATGAATAAAAATATTTAAAAGTTTATAAAAACAAAAGCTCCTGGAAGGATGCAAATATTCTGACCCCGCGTCAGCAAAGGGATATAATCCTAGTTCCTGTTTATAGTTTCCAAATTCTCGTACTTCAAGACGCAATGGTTCGCGTCCTCTTCCTTCACCCGGACTTGGGCATCGGAGGAGCCGAGCGTCTGGTGGTGGATGCCGCCCTGGCTCTCAAGGAGCAAGGTCACCAGGTCAGCTTCCTGACCAACCACCACGACAGCACTCACTGCTTCAAGGAAACGGCCGACGGAAGTTTCCCGGTTCAGGTTGTGGGCGACTGGTTGCCACGCGGACTCTTTGGGAGATTCTACGCTATCTGTGCCTATCTGCGCATGCTCTGTGCTGCGATCTATGCCAGCTTCTTCATGCCGCAGCGGGAGCAGGTGGATGTCGTGGTCTGCGACCTGATCTCCGTTTGCATACCGGTTCTCCGCTTGGCTCGCCATCGTCCGCGAGTCCTCTTCTACTGCCACTTCCCGGATCAGCTTCTGAGCGCCCGCGAGGGTCTGCTGAAGCGCCTTTACCGCCTTCCCATCAACTGGCTGGAGGAGCACACCATCGGACTGGCGGATAAGGTGCTGGTCAACTCCAAGTTCACGCTGCGCGTCTTCCAGGACACTTTCCGCCATCTGAGCACGGTGCCGGATGTGCTGTACCCTTCGCTGCACACCCAGTACTTTGATCAAATGCAAAAGAAGCTGGAGCAGCGGTCTGCCTTGTTGGATGAGCCCGTCCATCCGCGAGTGCCTCGCAACGCCTTCATCTACCTGGACATCAATCGGTATGAGCGGAAGAAAAACCACGCCCTTGCCTTGCATTCCCTTCGCCTCCTGGGCGACATGTTGCCCGCCTTGGACTTCAAACGCTGTCGCCTGATCATCGCCGGAGGCTACGACACCCGCTGCATGGAGAACGTCGAACACTTTGCGGAGCTGGAAGAGCTTACGGAGGAGCTGAAGCTGCAGGATCATGTGGTCCTCCTGCGCTCGCCCACCGACGAGGAGAAATGCCGCCTGCTCTTCGCCGCTCACTGTCTGCTCTACACGCCTGAAAACGAACACTTTGGCATAGTGCCGCTGGAGGGCATGTACTGCTCGAAGCCAGTGGTGGCGTTGAACAGCGGTGGACCCACGGAAACGGTGGTGAACAACTCAACGGGCTTTCTGTGCGAGAAGCAGGAGAAGAGCTTTGGCGGAGCGATGTACCAGCTTTTCCGGGACGAACCGATGCGCCTGAAGATGGGCGACCAGGGTCACAAGCGGGTGCAACAGAAGTTCTCATTCCAGGCCTTCGCAGATCGGCTAAATGGCATCATCCAAGAGCTAGTTCCCATTCCAAAGCAGTCTAGGGCTAAGAAAACTGAATAAAATTCCAGTTAAAACAGCATTCCTTGATGGAATTATTTTTAACTTTTTTAAATGACTCATCAAGTGAGAATCCATGAATGAATCATCCATTGGTATTATTGTCAGTGCTTATAAGAAGTCAAATTCTATAAAGTATATACGAACACATTAATTATTTAGAAAGTGTTAGTGCAAAGCCACGTCAGATGTTCTATCAATTATAAAAGCAATTATAATTGATAGACCTTGCATCATCTAATCTATTTCTCCCCATGGGGCTGATTTAAAAATCTAACCCATTCAAACCGCCCAAACCTAATGTATACATATGTATATTATTATGTTTATTATTAAATTCCATTCTTTAGGGCGCATAATATTAGATTGCGGGTCTGGGGTGGTTGGGACTGGACTGAGATCGGGATGGCTACTGTTCGCGCATGTAGAGATAAAGGTAGCCGAGGTCCTTGGGCGGGTTCTGCGACTTGGCCACCTTGCTGTCGTTAAAGATCACCCACTCGCCCTTTTTGCGAATGTGGCAGACGTAATGTCCCACCTGGGCGGAGGTGCCCATGTGCGATATGAAGGCCACCAGCCGGTACTTGCCGGCCCCATCGCGGTAGTTGCTCTTGTTTGGTTCTGAAGAAGGCGCTGCAACGGGTGCATCCGAGGCGGGGGATACTTCCTCAACGCCAATGGAGTCGGCGTGCGAGAATATCCAATCGGTGGCGCGCTCCACGTTTCCATCAGTTGCCTTCAAAGCGGCCACCGCCTGGCGTTCGTCGAAGCCCATGCTCATTAACATGGCCAGGCTCTCGGGATTGGCCACAAACTGGTTGGCCGCGCAGTCTCCAATGCGATTGTTGGGCACCACAAATGGCTCCGAGATGTCTTCGTCAGCAATGTGCTCCATTAGCCAGTTGGAAGCCGCTTCTAGGCCACTGTTCTTTGTGTGGAAACAGGCCCGCTTGCAGGCCTCTGGGGGAAAGCCCATGGTAAGCAGCTCGGACATGACCGCTTCGTCGAAAGCGAACTTCACCTGCTCCGCCGCGGGCTCAGGGAGAGCCTCCTCTCCAGCCTGCAGGCCACCTGCCGAACGCCAGGTGCTTAGATCCAGTTCATCGGGCATGTCTACGGAAACATCCAGCTTCTTGGGCACCCAGTCGTCGCCCAGCGTGAACTTACCCAGATGAATCATCAGGCAGTCGGGCATGGTAGCCAGTCTCGTGATCTTCCTGGCATTCGTCTTACCCTCAATGGCTGTCGAGTAGAATTGCTCAATCAGCTCCGGGCCAAAAAACCGTTCCAAGCAGGCCTGCAGAGGCACCTTGTGCCTCACAATGTCCCGTTCCACCAGTCGCTGTCCAGTCTCACGGGCCGCCTTCTCGCGCTCTTGAAACTCCCGCACCTCATCCAGATTGGTGGCCTTATCCAGTGGAATGGGCAGCCGGAAGCTGTATTCCTCGCGGGTCTTGTACTTGACCTTGCGGCTGGCCAGACACTCGACGCGATCCTCCAGCAGGAACTTTAAAGCATCTGCGGGATTGGTTTGGTTCCTGGAATTCCTGTCCAGCAGGGTGAGCAAATGCAGATAGAAATCGTTGGCATCCTGCTGCTGTTTGGTACTGAAATCTGGGTGGTTCTTGCCCACAATATTCTTGAACATGGCCGGCGATATTCCGGTGGAGTGATCGGTGTCCAGCGTGTTTTCGGCAATGCTGCTATACTTTCCGGACTGAAGACCAGTGCCCAGTTTGGCCATCTGAATGTCAAAGTCGTTGGCGGGGTCGCTGGGGAACTCCTTGAAATAGCGTTCGGCACCGCTGCCCACGTATCGCTGTTGGAAATCTGGGATCATGAAGAGCACCTGCATCACGCTGTTGATGTAGCAGGAGTTGCCCAGGTTGCGCATGCCAGTGTAGCCAGGACCGGCCAGCGGCTGCAGCTCACTCTCGCTCTCCGTCAGCGCCGACCATTCGCCAATGCGCTGGTTAATGTCCAACTCCAGCTCCACCATGGACTTCTCGCTCTTCTTCATCGCCGCCATGTTAATGCCAAAGTGGGAGAGATGGCGCTCGAGATGGGGATCGAGTACCATGTCGTCCTCCGGGTAGGAGAACACATCTGACTTGCCATCGGCGGTGATGGTGCCCAGTTTGACCGCCAGCGGGTAACCTGTCACCCGGTAGTGCTCCACGGCGTGGTCGTTGCCGCCGCTGCCGTCGAAAAACTTGCGTCCGCACATGATGGAGCCATCGGTGAGATTCAGCCAGAGGTTGTTCGTCAGATCGCACTTCTCGCACTGCCATCCTGCCGGTGGGATCTTCTTGCCGTTGTCCAGCTGCTGCAGGTTCTCCGCGTATTTGGAGGCCTGACGCACTTCTCCATCCCAGGTGCCTGGTATTATAAATTTTGATAATATGAGATTAATGTTAAAAACACAGATTGTAACGATGATAACGAAATTCCCGAATCAAATCCTTCCTTTTTGTATTATTATTTATACTAAAATGCCCATTTTAAAAGTATATAATGATATTGCACAAATTTAAAGTTCGATATTTATACATACGTATGTATATTAAATGCAAAATAAAATGTCATGTCATCAAATGAATCATATCCTTCAAATTATTATGTCTTATACCACAGATAGGAATATGTATGTTTGGAGACACCAGACATTTGGGCATCAAATTACACATAATCCCATAGAACTCACCCATTAGCGTGGCCTTCTCCAGCTTGGCAATGGCCGAATCCGCGGCCAGGATCGCCTCCACCGCCTGGGTGACGCGCATGGGCAGCTCTGGATCGGGATAGGGTAGCTTCTTGTCCAGGTGCGGGGCCACCACGATGCTGTAGGTGTCCTTGATCTCGTACTTCTTGGCCATGTCGGACTCATTGTAGCCGCCCTCCACGCCGATGGCCAAGCGGGTGATCTTCCTCTCCGGCCCCGCCTCCGATTCGGGATCGCACTCCGCCTCTGTATCGGCGGCACCCTCTTTGGGCGTCTTCACCCGCTGGATGTGGAGGAAGACCTGGTTGCCGGTTTTGTCGGCATACTCCCGCACATACGACTCGCCGAAGCCCAGGAAGCTGTGCAGGCACACGTACAAACCGGTGGGCGTCTCGGGATTGTCGTAGGAATAGACGCACTCGTCCTTGTAGATCGGAGGACTGCCTGTTCCAGAGCCGCAGGGCACGTTCACCTTGGATAAATGCTTGCGTAGTTCCTCCATGACGCTTTCTGGAATTCTGGGGACAGCTTTTTACGCATAAACTGGACGAATCGAATGTGAAAATAGTTGATTTTTTTGAGACTTTTTGCAGCTGCTGCTTAGAGATGAACAAGAGGCAATTGCATCGATACCGGCGAGCACAAAAATGGCGAGTATCGATGGTTTTCGGTGTTATTTTAACTGTTTTTATGTAACTATAATCACTTGTTCTACTTCCTTACTCTAATTTAATAATTAATAATGGCTAACAAGGTGTATTTTCTTTATTTCACCACCCAATAAGAACAATTGATTAAATTTGGCAACTGCAAAATATCGGTTCTTTGTTCAATACGGGCCACCTCTAGCCGAAACCAACAACAAATTCGCGAGTCACCAAGAGAACCGAACTAGTTCCGTTAAGTTCAAGCAACACATCAAAAGTATGGCAACTCTGTTTCATCACTGAACGCCAGTAAGCGTAGTGACGAAGCGCACAAGGAGAGTTGTGTACCTCGATGTTTTGTTAATATTTTACCTGTAAATTTAATTTAAAAACACCAAGTCATGTAAAATTAAATTAAATAAACTCAATTAAGTAAATCTAATTCAAAATAGTTATGGTCTTTTGGTAACTTATCCAAAGCCCACTGCGGTCACACTACCAAGGGACCTACCAACTCGTTTTCAGCAGTGTTGCCATATAGTCACAAAAATCTTTCGCATAAAGAAGTAAAACGTAAGAATTTTCCAACGCAATTTTCGCTACGAAATCGGCATTTAAATAATGTAAAAAGTGGTAAATAAGTTGGCGCTAAGCAACCGGCATGCAAAAGCATTAAAATCCCACCCGGGCGACTACTTTTCGGTGTTGTTTTGCCTCCGCATTAAATTTGTTGCGCGCCATTTTGTTTTTGGAAAGCAAAAAAAAAAAAAATACAACAGCAAAAACCTACCACAAAAAGGCAAAGTTTGTAAAAGCCAACGAAGAAAATAAAATAGAAATGGGAAATCTGTAGAAGGAAATCGAGTGAAAAACATGTGGCGCTCCGCTAGCTTGTGTATCAGTTTTATTCCCCCACAATACCCATACGAAAATAACGCGCGACATGCACATAAATAAATGCCACTGAAAATATCGATACGATGAATAAACGAAGAAGAAGCGACGATTAGTACGTCGTCTCGGCGGTCGTCTGTGTGGGTGAGAGAGTGAGATATAGACGAGGTGGGTGGGGAGTGGGAGGAAGTAAGAATGAGAGAGCGCGGGGCGCGTATATAATTACGTCATAAGAATCATAGAAAATTCAAGGTCTACAACGCTCTACGGCCATACAAAAAGCTACATATTCAATTTCGTTACGTTCTCGGTTTTATCAAAAATAAAACTTTGGCCACCATCAGCAGCAACAACAACAAGTATGGCCAAAGTGTTCAAGTGTGTGTGTTTCATTTTCGCGACTGTATAATTACATACACACGCAGTACCGTTGTTGTTGTTTGTGGTTTTAATTTCTTCTTTTTCCCTTGTTTTTTTGTAAGCGAGAGCGCGCAGCTGTGATACAGAAGAAAGGCAAAAAAGAGAGACAGAGAGTGGGAGTGGGAGAGCGGAATTTGTTTTTGAGCAATTTGTGTAACCATCGATAATGTTTGATTTATTAAAACCCCATTTTTTGTACCCCTTTTTGCAGTGACTCGCGATGCGTGCGGCCTAGAAGTCGTCACCCCCCAAAAAACCGAAACCCCGACCCCCCCGAAACACACACAAAACACACACACATCTGCAAGCTGCGATTGTTCATAAATTTTAATTAATTCAAAAGACGGAGGAAAAAAAACCAACAACAAAAGCGAACAAAACACCGGAAAGGCAAGGAAAATTAATAAAAATCAATAGAGCGTCGAGCGGGAGGAGATAAAAAGTGTTATCAGTGCGAATTAATTGGCTGCAAAGAAGAGGAGCAGAAGGAGGAGAGCAGCGGAAGAGGGAGGACGAGGAGCAGGAGGTGGGCTCCGGAGATTGAGGATTGGGGAGCTCCAAGTCCGTAATCCGTAATCACCACCATGTCCGTGCAGCAGTTTTGCCTGCGCTGGAACAACCACCAGCCGAACTTCATCTCGGTGTGCTCCTCGCTGCTGCACAATGGCACCCTGGTGGACGTCACCCTGGCGGCTGAGGGTCGCCAGCTGCAGGCCCATAAAATAGTGCTGTCCGCCTGCAGTTCGTACTTTCAGGTAAGTTGGGAAGCGGGAATCTCCCATGCCCACCACCACAACCTTAAGCTAAACCATCTTCTTCACCCCCAGGCTTTGTTTACCACAAATCCGTGCCAGCATCCCATTGTAATCCTGAAGGACGTGCAGTACGATGACCTCAAGACCATGGTGGACTTTATGTACTACGGCGAGGTCAATGTGTCGCAGGAGCAGCTGCCGCACATCCTCAAGACCGCCGAGATGCTCAAGATCAAGGGTCTGGCGGAGATGCCCACGGATCCGGCCAATCTCACCAAGTCGGACAGCAAGTCCTCCACCGACGGCACCGAATTGGTGGGCGGCTCGGGCGTAGGCACTGGAGCGGGCACCTCGGCTGGAAGCTTGGGTGCAGCCAGTGGCAGCAGCGTGGGCGACTCCCTGTGGAGCAGCAGCGAGGCCCAGCAGTTCCAGCAGCAGCAACAACAGCAGGCCCAGCAACAGGCGCAGCAGCAGCACCATCACCACCAGCAACAACAGCAGCAGTTGCAGCAGCAGCAGCAACAGGCGCAGCAGCAGCAACAACAGCAGCAGCAGCACCATCACCACCACCATCAGCAGCAGCAGGGTGTCCAAGCGCAGGCGGCGCAGGCGCATCACCACCAGATGCGACGTACCCCGTCGCCCTTGAGCGCCGGCACCTCGCCGGCCACCAGGCGCAAGCGGTTGCGCAAATCCTCGAATAACGGTGAGTTGGAGTTGGGTAAAGCATCGTCGCGAGAGATCCTCAATTGTCGGAGTTCAAACTGACTGGCTTTCGAATCCCTTTTAGGCTCTGGCGAACGCAACAATGCGGAGGAGCAGCACAATAGCTCACTGGACGCTGGCAGTGGTGCTGGCAATGCCGGCCTCAGTCTCGCCCAGATGAGCCAGATGTCCTTTGGTACGGGCGGCGGTCTCGCCGGCCACTCACTGCACGCGGCCAAGCTGCTCAAGGAGTCGGCCAGCGCTGAGCTGGAGCAGCAGCCGCAGGATTCGGATCTAGACGACGGACACGGACACTTACACATGCAAATTGTAATGAAATTGGTCACGTTAACCTTGTACCCTCGTCCGTTCGAACAATTCAACTAATTGTTTTCTCTCTTCTCGGTGCCCACGTGCAGAAGCCCGAAGTTGACATTGGCGGCGTGAACCAAACGATGCCCCTGGACATATCCGGCGGCACCACACCATCCGAGCACGATGCGCCGAACTCGCAGTCCTCGCACTCGGGTAAGTCGCAAGTAGAAGTCATAAGCCAGCACACTGTACCATCAAAACTCATTGTTCATCGATTAGGGATCTCATTTGCCAGGATGGATTCTCTTTTTTTTATATCGTTTCTTAATTTTCTTTGCCATGATTGTTTTTAACACACAAACACAGACAGGCTCAAAATAATAATGTTAGTCGAAGAAGGGGTCTGTTTTCAGAGTAGGATCATTTAAGCAAGCTTTGAAAGAAATGTTGTAAAAATATGTATTATGTAGAAAATAACTTTCTATGAGCTACTGAAGGACGAACAACTAGTCTATATAGTCGCAGTTATTAAAAACACATTAGTATAAACTTTAATCTGAAAACTTTTCAAGGGTTAACTGAACTGAAAAGCACTGTCACTTGGGTTCTCTAAGTCAAATCAATCTCAACCACTGTGTACTCTCGATTCACCCATCGAAATAAAGCCCACGATCATACTTCATCTGCATAATTCACACACGAACGGTGCCATTTCGAAAACAATTTCAGTACACAGCGCTTGGAGAAATGAATGCTAAAGCTAAATATGAGATCTAGCATACCGATTATCCATTACCGATTTACCGACTAAGTGCAACGAAATATTTGTGAAATACCGAAATTTTCTATGTTTAACTATTATTGTGTATTGTATTCCAAAAACCGAATCCTGCCTGAACTTGGGAATGGGAGAGAGCTAGCACAGAGTCCAAAACAAAAACCAAAACTTCCAAAAAACTAAACCTATGATTTGTTGTTTTTTTTTGTTCAATTGTTTATTCTCAATTTGCGTTTACTTGCGTTTTTTGATTTTTGTTTTGTGGGAATTTCAAACAGCGGTTTCCGATGATAATGATTTAGCCTTAGCAATCTTTCCTCTACTACCTACCTCTATTGTACCTATCTATGAACTGCCTCAGATACTATAAACTGTCTTAGAACCAGACAAAGACAAAAACCAGACCAGACCTGATCCCGATACCGATCCATTAGAGCTAGGAGAGAGCGATCTCAACTTCAATTTCGATCGAAATGCCTCCAGTATCCAGTACCCAGTACCAGAACCAATCTTTCATTCGCTGTCTCTCTCTCCCCTTCCCAGGTCTGCAATGGACAGTTGTCGATTCCAACTATCCGCGCTTCTCCCTGCCCGCTTGCCAGTCCAACTTGCTGGGCAACGGCGGTGGCAGCGGTGGTGGTGCCGGCAGCCAGAGCAGTGGTGCGAATAGCGCTGGCGGCGTCAATAGCGACCAACGGCAGCAGCACGAGGCCCAGCAGCAGGCCACCCAGCAGCAGCAGCATCTGCAGCAGCTGCACTACCAGCAGCAGCAGCAACAACAGCAGGAGCAGGCCTCCGCTTCCGGACAAGCCTACTCGTCGCAGATCATCACCGTGAACAACCTAGTCGGCAGCTATGCGACGGCGGCCCAGAACCTCTCGCCCACCTCGCCCAACGAGTCGAACATGGTGCAATCGGTCTACAGTCAGGGACCCACACCCACCCAGTCCCCCGTGCATGCGGGCGTTGGCGGAGCCAGTGCCGCCGGCGTAGGAGCGGGCAATGCCAATGCTGGAAACGGTGGAGCCCCTGGCGCGGCTAATCAGGTGGTGAAGCGCAAGCGGTCGGTGAATCCGCAGGGAGATGAGAATTTCATTCGTGCCCTGGAGGCGGTGCGCACGGGTGGCATAGGATTCTGCAAGGCAGCTCGTCTGTACGGCGTGAACAACAGGACCCTGTGGCTGGAGTACAAGAAGCGGGGCTATCCGGTGTCACGGCCCAGCATCAAGGCACGCGTGGTCAAGCAGGAGCCGAATCTGTCGCCCTCGCCCACGCCCTCAACGAACCAGGGCGATGACAACACCAACGAGACGCTGAGCATGCAGATACCACCACAGGCGGAGACTCCAACGCCGTCGCTCATGTGCACTCCGCATCACGCGGGCCTGGGCAGCGGAGCCGGAAGTCTGCCGGGCGGAGGAAACTCTCATCCGGCCATCGGGGTGATGAGCCTGTTCGATCCGCGATACATGGATTCGCCTGGAAACGTGCACTCGATGACGCGGCAGCGGTACATCGAAGCCACCGGCGGGGGAGCGGGTGCAGGAACGGGCACGGGCACCGGCACCATCAACGTCAATCCGACCACCGCCATGAATCTACAGAGTATTAACTTCAACTCGATATAGAATACGATTTCGAGCCAGGCGGGGACGGCCACTCTGCTGCAGGCAGCCGCCGTGATGGCCGCCAGCGAGCCAGCGGAATCCCTGAGCATATCAGCCATGCCCGTCTCCGTTCCCATGGGCATGGCCCACAGTTTCCTCATCAACAACTTTGTGACGGTGGCTGCACCGCCGGTGGCCACGGTGACCAGCACGGGCCTGCAGTACTTGGACAAGTCGTAGGTCCTAAAAGAGAGCCACCAAATCGATCGATACAGGTATTAGAGAAACGGCAGCAATCTAGTGTATATAGCGGACCGCTTTTACGGCAGAGTGGCAATAGGATAAATGTCGGCCAAGGATATGAAGGAGCAAAAGTGGAATCGGATTACTGCGCTGAGCTGAGCTAAGCAGAGGAGGACGATCGCAAAAGGACTGGAGAGGAGCGGAGCGAAATGAAGGAGGGAGATCAGGCGAGCCGGCCGCACTTGTAATAATTTCTTAGAACCTAATTCCTTAAGCTTAAAGTTTTGAACCCTACATTTTTACGATTGTTAACTAAGAAATCGGTAGTACAGATCTTCGATATATTATATATAGATATATTACGTGTAAAAGAATAATGTAATTGTACATAAACTATACAATTTTATTAGTGTTAATCGCGAACATCAAATGATTTGTAAAAGCAACTGCAGCTAAAAAAAAGTGGTGCTGTGTGCCAGCAGCCGATCAAACCTTTCGGAATCCGTTCCATATTCCACTTTTTGTAATGCAAACAAGCAATGGACGAAACCAAAAATTCTATCTGTATTCATAACGATAAACTTTAAGGACAAAATGAGATTTATTGGCAAATTTCTGGAAACAAATTTCCCACATCCTGGGGTTTGCTAGGCTCTGGCGCATCAGAAATAAGTTTTCTTCCTCGTTTCGAAAAGAAATTTCATTTCTGCACTTGTGTTACAATAGCAAATATCAGTATGTAGGTACATTTCTGTGTACATTTTCTGTGTACAATGAAGCGAATCCACTGTATTTGAAGCATAAGCGTAATCGTTAGCGAACCTCCGACTCTACACCGAATAAAGTAATAAACAGCGAGAGATCTGAGAATCGCAGGACCGCGTACAATAGACTAAGCCACTAGATCAGAGGAGGAGCATGTAAGAGAGCCGGATATGTATGATAAATATGTACCAATCAATATATATGTATATATATTTATATTTGTGAATCTAACCACAATTTTTTTAAATTTTTTTCCGAGTTATTTGAGGTGTCAGCCCCTGTTCTTATGGATGCGCTGGCACAGGGTTTTAAGGTGATCGACTCTAGGTTATATATTTCCAAATCCGACAACAACATATCTAAGAGGGGGGCCATTTTCGAGGGGACTCATTTATTTTGGCACTTGGTTTTTTACAATTTCTTTGTACATAGGCAATGTACATATAGAGACGCGACAAGAGAGAGCGATCGAGATCGGTAATGGATTACAAGATACAGATACGCAAACAAACGAAACTTAAAGATAACTCGTAACCACCCAAAATCCTAAACGGAGACTGCAGCTAAAGGCAAATAGAAAACCAAAACACAAACGGAAAACGCATACGATTCCGGTTATGAATAACGATTACGAATAGTGTGTTTTTAATACGATTCATATAAATATTGTAACTAATAGAGAACTTTTTATATTGTGTCAAGGCATACTAAGAACTAAGCGTGATTTGTTAGAAGTCATAGAGTAACGTAAACTTTGATAATGGACTTTTATTACACTCGCCCACACACATGATATATATATCACATATATACCATGGGGGATCCCTACGATCCCGACCCGGATCCCAGATCACAGAACCACGGAAAAATACGAAACAACCATACAGAACAGAACCGAACACGGATGAAACAACGCGAAAATAGCAGAAACAATAAGCAAATATTACTAACTCTGTTTCCTACAATTGCAAAGTACCAATAACTACGCTAGTTATGTGTGTTAAATATATATATAAATTATTTAAATCAGCGCAAGTGCATAAATGAACCGATTGTATTATAAGTTGCATGTACCATACCAAGTAATGCGATCCCCAAACGAATATCGAGATGGAACGAACATTCTAGACTGTAGTCGATGTGCAAGAAACGAATAAACTTTCAAAACTACAACGTACTCCACTTGTTCCTATTCCCCTGGCTTTATTATCATTTTTCCTGTATTTGAGAGCACGGTTGCAACTAGGATAGACTGAAATGTACCCACAAGATATTCGAAAATCATGATTATCATTAAACTAATTTTTTAAAGATGTAGTATCTTTTGGATACTTTTAATATCAAATGTGGCAACCGTGCTTGGGGATTATCAATTGTACAAATAACTGATTTTCCTAACCTCTTCCCTTGCAGAACCCAGCCCAGCGCATGCACCTCATCCACCACATCCTTCTTTGGCGGCCGCCAGCAGCAGCAGCGGTGGCAGCGGAAGCTTCGAGCGCTCCTTCAGTATCGGAGGCATTGGGTCCGGCGAATGTGATCCGGATGGCACGTCCAGTTCGCCGGTGGTGATGGGCACGAAGCGCAACCGGGTGCTAACTCGTCAGCCGAGGGTGAAACGCGACAGCGACAGCATCTCATCCACGAATCAGATATCTCCGGATACGGCTGCCACGACGCTGGACTTTGATCCGTTCAATGCTGCGGGCGCCACGAGTGTCACAGCCAGGGATTACTCCACCACGGGCTCTCATCATCTGCACCACCAGCCGCCAGCACACCACCATCATCACCTGCTGACCGTTCCGCCGCGAATCGAGCGACATGCCTCTGAACCGGCGCCCAGCTTGGGCCCCTCCACGCCGCACCTGCTCAGCGTGCCGTCCAGCACTCCCTATCTCATCAAGCAGCACTCGGATCCGTTGCTGCCCCGTCAGTCCGCCCTTCATATCGCCGGATCCGGTTCCAGTTCCGGGCTAGCGAGCGGCAGCAATCCGTTTGCCCCACTGCACCGCCAATACTCGCATCCGTTGTCGGGGACAAATGCCAGCTATATCACGCCAGCGCCGCTCCATCATCCGCACCATATCTCACTGCCCGAGTCCATCTACGCCTCGGGATCTCCGCCGCCGGCCGGCTCCTCACAGTACCTGGTGCCCACGCGTGTGGTGGCCTGTCCAGTGGTCTCCAGTGAAACGGCCGCCACTCCCACAAACGCCAGTACCGGTTCCTCGTCGGCAGTGTCGGCCGCCGTGTCTGTGGTTACCTCGCCCAATTCGGGGCTCCAGAACAGCGCCAGTCGGCATCCGTTGTCGCCCACGTTCTCTATTGGATCGGATGTGGCCCATGAGCGTAGGTCTCCTCACTCGCCCTCCATTAACCGATCACAGATCGTGGAACGGGCAGGCAAGAATCCGGGAGAGGCGGCCAACGGAGGCGGTTCGAGGCTAAGGAATTCCAAGTCTGCCTCGGGCTCCATCAGTGGCACCCATCTGCATCCCAGTCAGGCCACCATGAGCAGTTCGTTTGAGCACCTGCCCGCGCTACGCGTCAAGAACGAGGAACTGCAGCGATCGGTGTCTTCACCTCAGGTAAGTTGGCTATCCTTTACGTAAAAATCCATTTACTGACTATCCTGATATTTGGCAGACCCAACGGGAGATCATTACCCTCGAGAATCCGCGTTCTAGTCACTGTCCGGTCATCAGGCCGGGTCCTGCGCTGGGCTGCAACTTCTGCTGGAACACCATCGATGGGCATGGACGCATTTTGCGACGCAAAACGAAATACCATTGCCCGGAGTGCCAGACGAACTTGTGCATTGTGCCCTGCTTCCAGGAGTACCACGAGCGGCTCAATAACGAGGCAGCTGCGGCGTCCAGTGGAGCGGGAGCGGGCGAGAATCAGCTGAGCAGCAGTACGACGGGATCGGCGAGCAGCAGCAGTGGCAAGGCCTCGCCGTATGTCTCCTCCGCCGGCAGCAGCAGCAGCGGAGCGGGTGCAGCTCGTCATTATACCAAGACGGAATCGATATAATCTGGAGCTGCCGTGGTTACGCCCGCATATTTGTATTTGTGGCAGGACGGCCGCCGAGTGGATGACCTCTTCCAGACCAGAACACCTGTATTGAGTGGGTTTTAGGTACTTGGTTTTTGGTCCCACAAGGCCGTCTGTCGAATTTGTTTTTTTGTCAGCAGGTTGTGCGCGCTTGATCGCGCACTTCATAGCCTGCACCGAAATTTTCATTTGTTGTCCCAGTCCCACTGTGCATCCGGCCCGGTGTCCGGGCACATGGACTGCCGGAGATGGGCGCCACATGGCCCCGGAGATTTGTTTTTTGAGCCGTGCCCAAAGCGCACGCAGCCATTTGTAAAGTAACGAAAATCTTTTGGATCATTCCGCCGGAAGGCGGAATGCAAAGCAAACTTTTTTAAAATCGCTTAATGTAATACTATGTTTATGTGTGTGTGTGTACCTATGTACTATATATATATATGTGTATGTTCTTGTACAAAAACAAAAAAAACCAAACAAACGAAGAATCAAACAAAAATAAAACGTTGACGACGGTGCAGCCAAGCGGTGTGTGTGTCAGACTTCTGAAGCTCGAATTACGATTAGGTTTTCACCAAGTACAACTACTACTCTCCCCCGATCCCGAACCGCACCGGTCTAAACTTAAGTATGTCCTCGCACCTGTACTTTCGCCGGGCACCGCTGCGCAGGCGCACGAATTGTCAAGAGGCCCACACTTGTTTTACCAATACGTTTTATATCTATGTATATGCACACGAGTCCCTTAGGGAGGTTTTTGGATGTGCCAGGTCCGGGAGATTCGTTTAACTCTGAGTGTAAACTACTATGTAAACAATACGGAAATCAATAAATACTTGTGACCCCTCTGGTTTGATAAAAATCCCTGTCTGTTGAGTTTTTCTGGGAAGAGTAGATGAACATTTAGATGATTACATGAAACTTTAAATACCCCGGAGACTCTCCTTTTGGTTATACCATATCTCATAGTGATCTCGTTTTATTGATCTAATTACCATTTAACAAACCGACTGGGGATTACTTCTTGGCTGGAGCCTGTGGGGGAACGACCTCGGCGGGGGGATTAGCGTTGCGGAAGTTGGGGAACTGCTCCCAAGGCGCCGACAAGTCGAACTTCCTGAACTCCTGAGCCAACTCCAGGGGCTCGCAGACGACACGTTTCTTCTCGTCATCGTAGCGCAGCTCCACGTAGCCGGACAGGGGGAAGTCGCGGCGCTGGGGATGTCCCTCGAATCCGTAATCGGTGAGGATGCGACGCAAGTCCGGGTGGTTGGCGAAGAACACGCCGTACATGTCCCAGATCTCACGCTCGTACCAGTTGGCCGCCTTGTGCACCTCGCACACGGAGTCCAAAGGAGTCAGCTCATCGGTGTAGGTCTTGACGCGGACGCGCGAGTTGTAGCGCAGCGACAACAGATTGTAGACCACCTCGAATCGGTTCTTGCGGCAGGGCACATCCACGCCGGCAATGTCGATCAGGTTGGTGAACTGCGCCTGGTGGTGATCCTTGAGGAACTGCAGCACGGGCACCACGCCCTCGGGGGCAATGAGCACCTCCAGCTCATCGCCGGCGGTCAGCTGCACCTTCTGCACGTACTTGGGCAGGCACTCGGCCACATAGCGGCCGAAATCGGAGAGATGCGAGCGGGCAACTGCATCTGGCTGGCGGACAGTGGCTGTGGGTGGAAAACATGAAGTTGGCATCGGAATGAAGTTTACTGTTACCCACGCTTATCCGCCTTCTTGGGCTCCACAGGCGCAGTGCTGGCCATCCGGAAAGCAGCCGATCCTGCAGCGGGCACCACTGAAGATTGGAGGGTTAGAAAAGATCAATTGGAGCTCTTGGTTCGACTTGTTTACCCACCATGTTTGGCCGACAGAGCGGCGACTGCAGCACGGGCGCCCAGATTCCTAATTAAGGCCGCCATTCTACAAACTGTTCAATAGAATTCAACAATTTGCACCAGTTTTTGACTATTTATGTAATGTTAAAATGTCAATATAGTTGTTGTACGCAAAGGGTTGCCAGGGCGCAGGAATGAAACTACAATTGGCAACCCTAAAATATATAAAATACCATATATATTCTTAAACGGTTACCGTGTTCGATTCCAGTCATTTAATTGCATTTAGGATATGATATAGGTTTATTATTTTTAAAATTTCTATATAAACATAACAATTTTGTATTAAATAAATATTTCATAAAGCCAATAATGATTTCCCAAATATTATATAAAATGGAATATTAAATTGAGATATATTTTACTTATTGATTATTTTATATTAGCCTGATATATATTAATTTTTAAATTGATTTAATAAAAAATACCAAATCGTTCCCCTCCCATTGTGCACATGAGAAATATACTGAAAATAGCGCATCCCACCACGCACTTGACAACCCTGGCGGAAAACTCTGGCTTCGCGTCGCGTTTGGAATTGCGAGAATTGAATTGAAAAGTTTGTGGCTATCAATTGGAAATCAAAACACAACAAGATGGTAAGTGAAACGCTCACTGGCAAACACCTGCGAATGACCGGGATTGGGCACTCCAATTTGAATGGTATCCCTTGCAGAATCACCTGAAGTGGATGGGACACTCGTCCACAATAATGGACATTCAACGCTCGCTGCGCAACGACAACCACAACTGCGAGGTGGTCCTGGCCTCCAGGGACGGCGTCCGAGTGCGCGCCCATCTCTTCGTGTTGAGCACCTGCAGCGAGCTGATGCGCAACATCCTGGTGGACGTGCCGCGTGGCCATGAGGCCACCATCGTGCTGCCCGACATCCGAGGCGAACTGCTGGAGAGCATGCTCTCCTTCATCTACATGGGCGAGACTAGCCTGCCCTCCGCCTCGCTGTCCGAGTTCCTGGAGGCCATCAACCTGCTGGGCATCAAGTCGGCCATCAGCTTCGAGTGCAACCCCTCGGCCAGTCCACCGAGCGCCGATGTGGAGAATGGTTCAATGGCCGTGGAGACGGCCAAGTCGATTACTGGCCTGCAAATCGCCGAAGCGGAGCTGCTGGACGACGAGGAGGAGGCACAGCCATCTGTAACCGTGCCAGCGACTGTCCTCGCGGAGACCCAACATCAGCCCAATCACGGTAGCCGATCGTTGGAGTACCTGGATGTGTACGAGCCGCCAAAGATCACCTACTCCATCGAACACATGGACGGCAATTCCAGCGGCAATCAATTCATCCTCACCGAGAACACGGGCACCTTCACCATCACGCAGGCTGCTACCAGTTTGTCCAAAATGGATAACGATGAGACAGCCACCAGCGGTGCTGAAGTGGAGCTGGTAGACGATGACGCGGAGGCGGAGATTACTGAGGATTCTGAGGAGCACGAAACACAGATGATCGATGAAGAGTTTGCGCAAGGTGATCCCCTAATCGAGTTGGGTACTGCCACCGAAATGGACGACGACGAGGACGTGGCCGGCGACCTGGTGGACGAGGAAATAGAAGAAGAGAAGCCACGCAAATTGGGTGGCGGAAAGCCGCGTGTCCGTCGCCCCGTTAATATCAAGACCGAGAAGCGATCGCCCCAAAAGCCAACTCGACTCCAGCAATTTGTAGCGCTAAAGCGGGAAGTAAAAGACGATATCAACGATGCTTTGGATCTGGCGGCGGACGCTGTGATCCTAGAGGGATTGAGCCTGCAAAAGGCCGCCGACCGGTTCGACATTTCCAAAACGGTCCTGTGGCGACGCGTGCGCACCAATCCCGCTTACATGCGGAACAACCGTGAACGACCATCGCTGATCGAGGCCTACGAGCGGCTGAAGAACGGAGATTCACTGAAGAGCATCAGTACGGAGCTGCAGATCCCCATGTCCACGCTGCACCGGCACAAGGTTCGGCTGTCGGCCCAGGGACGCCTGCCCGACTTTGTGGCCTGCCGCCGGCGTGACAGTACGCCCAAGGACGAGCTGCGGGACAAATTGGCCAAGGCAGTGCACGCCTGCCTAAGTGAGGGAATGTCCCAGAACCATGCGGCCAACCTTTTCGAGATCCCCAAGAGCACGCTCTGGCGACACCTGCAGCGACGTATGTCAAACCAGGACCGAAAGGTCAAGAAAGAGCTGCAGGACGAGTACGACGAAGAAATGCTAAATTAAAAGCCGGCCGCAAAAGTTCTGGTTATTAAGATTTAAAACTGCAATGTTTAAGTTACCATTAAGAAGCCATAAGCTTAGCGTTTAACTGTGTGTCGTCTCATCAATGTACATCAACCTTATCATAGGTTTTGAAAATGTAAAAGGAAAGAGCAGGAAGAGATGCTATACTAGAAGTAGTACTTTAGACGTAGCTCTACATGTAGATACCATTAGCAAACGTAATTTAAGAGTACAGCTGCTCTTATTAATGTTCACTTTATCATGATTGGTTCATTAAATACAACCAAAAATTCACAAATTTTTTGTTTGATGGGGAATATGGCTTACGAGTTATAGGTCGGTCATCCTTTAGATCTGGTTGCACAGCGGTAGTCACAGCGAAGATACTTTTCCCCAGAAAGGGTAAAAAAATATCGATATTTTCGCTGGTTCTTCACATCCCTAGCGTAATCTTTTCCCCGGTATGAAGAGCCCAAGTCGGTGGTCTTGTCATGTCCAGGTTACCTGACCGATCTCTGCTGACCCGGTGCGAGATATTCGTGTATTTCGGCGTCTATATAGCTTATATAGTTGTGGGCCTGTACAAGATCTACGGACTTCGGGATCACATAGCCAAGGAGGCAAAGTTCCAGTTTCCGGAGGGCTGGGGCTTTTATCCCTTTTCCGAGCGGCGGCGAGATGACAGTAACGATGAGCTGGAAAACTTTGGAGACTTCATCGCTAGCTTTTGGCTCTTCTACCTACTCCATGCGGCTGTCCAAGGAGTCGTGCGCTGGAAATTTCCTCGCCTTCAATGCCAGGCATTCGCCGGAGTTTGTGCCCTGGCCCTGGGAGTTAACCTGGACTGGACATCAATGGTCTTACTGGCTGCTTTAATAGCAAGCTACTACCTCGTTTCCCTTGTCACATCCAAGAGCATGGTGTGGCTCTTGTCCGCCGGCTGGATACTGTGCATTAATCTGATGCAGAAGAACGCCTGGTGGACGGATCGCGTTGGCTATACGGAGTACGTCCTGGTGATAGTCACCATGTCCTGGAGTGTGCTGCGCGGCTGCAGTTATTCGCTGTCCAAGATGGGGGCCAAACAGGAGGATCTAGGGAGATACAACCTCATCCAGTACCTGGGCTATGCCATGTACTTTCCCTGCCTGACCTACGGACCCATCATAAGCTACCAGAGATTTGCAGCTAGGCGAGAGGATGAGCAGCAGGACTGGGTACGATTCGTCGGAGGAGTCCTGCGTAGTGCCATCTGGTGGCTGGTGATGCAGTGCGCCCTCCACTACTTCTACATACACTACATGTCGCGGGATGTGCGCATGGTGGAGATGATGGACTCGGTATTTTGGCAGCATTCCGCCGGTTATTTCATAGGTCAGTTTTTCTTCCTGTACTACGTGGTTACCTATGGCTTGGGTATAGCCTTTGCCCTGCAGGATGGTATTCCAGCGCCCAGCAGACCGCGCTGCATCGGCCGCATTCACTTCTACTCGGACATGTGGAAGTACTTCGATGAGGGCCTGTACGAGTTCCTCTTCCAGCACATCTACGCCGAGATGTGCGGCAAGCGATCCTCGCCGGCGGCCAAGTTTGGAGCCACCGCTTTGACCTTTGCCTTTGTGTTCGTATGGCATGGTTGCTACACCTACGTGCTCATCTGGAGCATTCTGAATTTCCTCTGCCTGGCTGCAGAGAAGCTGTTCAAAACGTTGACCTCATTGCCAGAGTACCAGAGGTGGACACAGCGTCATCTGGGAGCAGTGTGTGCTCAGCGGTTGTACGCCATGTTGGCCACACAGCTCTTCATCCCGGCCGCCTTCTCCAATGTCTACTTTATTGGTGGGCAGGAGATCGGCGACTTCCTGATGCGCGGCGCCTACCTCAGTGGAGTGGGCAACTACATGGCCTTGTGCTTCTGTAGCTACTGCTTTTTCCAATGCTCCGAGCTGCTCCTGACCAAGTCGGATGCTCGCTCCAAGATAAAAACTAATTGACCTCTATAAAAGTCTGCTTAGATTAACGTTAAGAAAGACTACTTTTGAACAATTTTGTATTACATCTTGTATTACTACATGGCTTTATAATTGTTTTGTGACTATTACAAAACAAACATTTACTTAATTTTCTATTCAATAAAAATATTTATAGAACTATAAAGTCTTGTTTCATTTTACTATTTAAGCTTTTATTTGATTTTCCTAACTTTCGCCTTCTCCAGTATCCTTCCAGTCCAGCCACCTGGTTTGCGTACAGGTCGACTGAAAGTTGTCCGGGAAGAGTTCATCCATTATTTCGTCGCAGGTCTGAGTGTGCTGCGTGTTGTACAGACCATCCGGCCAGTGGGTTTGGGTTTGGATGTGGGACAGTCCCAGTTCCTCGAACAGATCGTCGCAAGTCTGGGTGTACATGTGGGCGGAGGTTTGCAAATCGAACATAGGTGCGTTTTCTGGATAGGAGTGGAATTCGCTGCCGACTGCAACTGACTGGGCCACTTGCTCCTGCTCCTCTGGGAAATCATCGGTCATCGTTGCTATGTCACCTCTGGTGTCGGGTGTTTGGGTTTCTATATCCCGCAAAAGAGGCGCCAACACTTCGTTCCTGATTTTATTCAGATCATCCTCTTCCGTTTGGGTTTCCATGTCCAATTTCTGGGAGGACAGCTCAAGGGAATAATCCATAATGGGAAGGAAGCAGAGAATATGCTCCTCTTCTGCGGGTGATTCGTTATGAAGTTCAAGATTGGAGGAGATATTGGCCTCTGTAGGTGAAATCTCAGCTGGTAATTCAGTGACTATTGCCAAGCTGGAGGATATAGTGTCTATATACTCCTCTGGAGGGGGTAATACAGAGGCAACTTCCAAAATTGAGGGCACAATCGCATCTGCAGGTGAATTAGGCACTGGGTTAAGTTTCCTCCAGCTGGCCAGCGAGGGTATGGCCACCTTGTCGGTTTCCTGCTCCACCAGATGGTTCTTGCGACGCATGTGGGTCCTTAGGCTCGCCTTGCTGTTGTAGGTGAGCTCGCACACGGGACACTTGTGCTCCGAGCACTGATGCTTGTCCAGGTGGTGCTGAAGGAGGAACTTCTCGCCGCACTCCTGGCACTTGTAGTTCTTGTCCAGGTGGCTCTTCTGGTAGTGCTGTCGCAGCAGGCGAAGGCTGGTGAAACTGCGGGCTCCCCTGGTGGCCACATGGTAGATGCACTTTTCCACAGGACAATGGAAAGCGGTGTTGGATCCACTTGGCGAGGGCGGGAGCACTTCCTGGTGGCGCTGGCGCAGGTGCAGCTGATAGTGGCTGAGGTTCCCAAAAACCAAATTAGGACATTTTTGGCATCTGTGCTCCCGCACGGGCAGCAATTCGCGAATTTCCGGCGTATATTTTTCGCAGTGCATTTCCCTTTGAAAGGGCAGTGCTATCGATAAAGAACATATCGCAAATTATCGACTACCATTGTGTGGTATTTTTTAAACCATCCACGCACGGTCACTCTGCCACGAGAAATTTGTATTATTATAACGTAAACGTCGCAATCGGTTACAAAATTCGAGGTAACGATCGCTCTCGAAAGAATATTTGTGCAGGTGTGACAAGCTAATAATAACAGCCAAATAAGGGCAGCCAAAAATAAGGCCCCAAAAATAATTAGATAAAACTTAAAATCAGATAAAAATTTGCACTATGTGTGCATTTCAACCTATACCAATGTGTATCTGCGTGTGCGTGCGAATAAAAATATACATTAAAAATTAGCGCAAATTAAATCGGGATGTGGTTATATGTGGTATATATGGTATTATCTGTCGGGCTGTGAAGTGTACTAATCTAAAGAGATTTAATTACCACATAAATCGAAAGCAACAAGCAGTTTAAACTGGACAACACAAACCACCCACACTACCAAACACACATACACACACACCTGTAATCATATCATCTTTTACTCTTGTTTTTACCACGCCCCCCGCGTCCTTGCCGCCCACCAAAATGGTTATTTTTGGCGCGACTACGTCATCTGTAGCATCGGCCAAAAACATCTGGCGGTGCGAAAGATAGTGTGCGGAGCACACATCTTCCAAAACCTACACCATCATCGTTCTACAGGGGAGGGTTTTATTTTCGTTTTCAGTTTCGGTTCCGTTCTGAAAAAGCGGTCTCAAAAGGGCGTCCACAAGGTCGCTCCAACTCAAATCCAGTTCTATTCACAAAACACTCTTCACATTCCCAAGTAATTGTGCGCAATTTCACTACCATTTACCTCCAAAATATCTTCAATTATTCCATTTTCTGATTTACCCACTAATGTAATTGGGTGTACGGCAATTTTGTTGAATGAAAAAACGCCCCTTATGCCTAAAGTTCGATTCATTAAATTTACATATGGCGGAGGAATGCACGAAATCGAAATTAACACAAAGGCTAAAATTAAATACATATTAAGGCGTTTTTTAAATCTCTTCTGATCGCCTCGAGTGGCAGACCTTGTACGCACAGACATACACAGCTGAATATTCTAATTTATTATACTCTTTCAAAAAGTTATTATGAAATTAGATAGAATAATGATTGAGCTGAAAATTCTATTACATAGTATTTCATGCATTTTTAAAGATCATTATAGCACTGCGGAAAAGGAAATAGAATAACAATATTTTTTTTAGAACAAATAGATTCGTTTAAATAAGGCTGCATTAGATTAGACAGACCATTTGGCTTATTGTTTATATTTGCTAAAGATTTTTTCAAAACAATCTCAGCATCCCAACTGCAGTCCCTATGAAACCTTGATAAGATAGGTCTAGCCAAAACAAATTTAGTTCTAAACTGCCTGCCAGTATATCAACAATTTTAACTAGCTTAGGGCATTAGTTAATGTCAGTACTAAACTGTGTGATTTAAACATCGCTTGGACAAAAATCGCAAGGTTATCGCATTTCCAAAGCGAAGATTCATCCGAGCTGAGATAATGAATGTCTGAATGTCTGACGTAATCGCTGCGGTTGCACATAAGATAGATTTCTGGGGCACCAAGCGACGTGCTATGGAAAGTCTCAATTTATTTTTCAATTTATGCCGCCATTCGTATTCAACTGGTTAAATTGTTAAAAAGCTCTAAAATAACAATGTTAAATGGAAGAATTTTGGAAAAATTCAGACACCATCAGTTGTTAATTGCATTAACGCTTTTGCTTTGAACGGGAATAAACCGAATCAAAGTTGATTCATGATAGGCTAAGCTCAATGCACATCGCCCACATACGTCATATCTCCATCTGTATATGTAGTAATTTCCGCCAAGTGCAGCTGGTTATGGCCGATTGTTGGCGTTCTGGCCAAGACCAAGACATCTGGTTCCCCGCTTTAGCCATATCTACTTCCGCCTGGCCTGGCCTGCAACTATGCGGTTTCATATGGGATATCTTGAGATATCTATATCTGTGTGCTTGCAATCGCTCCCTGAACGAATGGTGAAAGTTGGCGCAGTTTGGATGAGGGGCAGGTCATTGTACACCAGCTCTAAAAGTTGAGTGCCTGTCGTCTGATCGTCAGACATGTAAAAGCAATTGCTCAACTTTGGCAGTTGTCGTCATACGGATCCAATTGTTATATCTTATCTGAGCTTCCACCGAAAAGACAGTCAAAACCTCCGATTGTTGCTCCCAAATGCAAGTTTGCTCACAATCCCTTTCTGGAATTTCAATTGGTAATTGCCTTGTGACCGCCCGTAGATTATTCAGATCTGTTGATTCACTGAGAAAAATATTATTCTTTTAATCACTAGTCACAAGAGATGGAATCATATATCAAATTGAGATAAATCTTTTCATATAGTAACTTAAATATTACCTTTTTATTCCTTATCAAAAAGTCTAAAACGTTTTTCATTTGATTCTGCATAGGGTACATCTATTTGGAGCTTGTTTTGGGGTCACTCTAGACTTCTGCTCTCTCATAGAAACGAATGCGTGCCAAAAGAGCGAAAATGACTCATGGCGCCGTGGATGAGATGCTGACCATTGGGCTCTGTGCTATTTTCAGCGTCCGTTTTCTGAATCAACTCAATACTGGTTGTTTACCTTTCTGAATGTGTACTTTGATGGGTTTGTCGAACTGAATTCCAATTTATTTTCGACTTCAGCAAGCTTGAATTTACACATTTGTATCTCAAATGGATCGAGTAGTAATTTGATTTTGGGTACTCTTACCATTTTTTTTTCTACACCATTAAAACCATAAATTATACCTATAATTCCACATAAACAAAAAAGAACAAAATTTTCCAATAATTTTCTTTAATTGATTTCAACAGCTGGCCCATGCTTTTTAAAAAAAATTTTCATTTTGTTGTACTAAGCCCAATATTTGTGTCTTTCCAGATACTTAACCGTGTTAAGTGCATTTACTAGCCTAGCAATATGAGTAAGCCTGGCAGTGCTCCTCCGCAGTTCACCTATGTGCCGCCCCCATCAGCCCCGCCCTCATACCAGGAGGCGGTGGGAGGGGTGAAGCCCGTGGGTCCATATACGCCCGTTGTTGCGCCTGCAACCACGGCGAATACCACGATTGTGACCACGGTGGTGCCCATCAGCCGCACCTCGACGCACATGATCTGTCCATCGTGCCACGCCGAGATTGAGACGACCACGCGCACCGAGCCCGGAATGATTGCCTACTTGTCCGGCTTTTTGATTGCCCTTTTCGGGTGAGTTATTGGTAGTGCTGCTCATTGAAAAAACACCCATTTGATTGTTATTTTCCATCCCTAGATGCTGGCTGGGATGCTGCCTGATACCTTGCTGCATTGATGACTGCATGGATGTGCACCACTCGTGTCCCAATTGTCGGGCGTATTTGGGGCGCTATCGCCGATAGGATCGATGGGCTCAGCAGGATCATCAGAATCAGGCGGATCAGCGGTTCCGTGATGTAGGGTTTTTACTTTAAGCAAGCGTTTTTGCCTTTATTTATTTAATTGTAGTAATGTCATTTGGATTCCACAGCGAAGGCAGTTGGAACGGGCCAAGGCTTCCCTTAATCTAACTTCTAGCTAACTCGCTAAATTGCTCCGCCGTTTATATATTTTGGTTCGCCCAAGACCTAACTGTTACCTGTATGTTTCTGCCACGCTAAAGATAGTAATTATGTGTACATTAAAAAAATATCGAGCGCTTCGCGGACAGGACAACTACTACGTAAAATTAAATAATAAATGCGCTTTTCTATAAACTGGCCTAATTACGAGCTTTAACTTTTAAGACGCTTGTGTGTCCAATTTGAAAAACAGGCCCTTAAATATCTGCACAAATTGTAAATCGATACAAGACCAGCTTGAGTTCTTTCGCACATTGTTTGATAAATAATTGTCTTTGATAGAGTTTAGTCAAAAAGACAAAATACAAGATATTTTTGTAACAATTTGTAAAAATCTTCAGCGAAAGTGCATATTGTATACTATGAATGCTAATCTCTGTAATAATCACCAAATCTATATAATTGACTTTTTATTTTTAAATAAATCGTAAAATGTCACTAAAGTTTTGAAGTGTGTTGCAGAAAAATAAGCTGTTCGAGTGCTTAAAAAAACCAAAGTCATTTTAGTGTTCCTGCTGCCAGAGTGGGTTGCCATGTCATGGCCAATGACCCCAATCCCGCCAGCATCCATTGGCTGCAACATAATGCCGAGAGAAATTTGCGGCTGCCCAATATAAAAATGTTTAACAAGGATGGTGGGCAGTTTATACTCGAAGACCTGTGGGAGGATTTGTTAAAGCCTATGCCATTCATATAACAATGAATCTACCAGCATCGGCTGTAAAGATTCTTGATGCCTTTCGTGGACTCTACAAACCAGAGGAGCTGGTTCAGTTGCCTCGAAACATATATCCCATCGTTCATGTCTACGGAATAAGCTTCCATAAGGAGGATGGAAAAAAGTGGGCGCGTCAACTGGTGGAGGCACATCTGGGAGCCAGTATAGATGACAGCCTGCTCCAGAAAATAGACTTTGTAAGAAACGTAACTCCCTCCCAGGACATGTTTCGGGTTTCCTTTAAGCTACCCCTAAACTTACTAGTCCTAAAAAAAATTGAAAACTCTAGAAAGCGAGGCGCAGAGGAGTAGCATGTGATCGCCACCATAGTAAAATGTAATTCCCAAAAAATACTTGTAATAATTGTAATATTTTTGAATATTGCCTTAAAAGTTTTAAAAACAAAGATGTATATATGTAGTTAGTTAAGTTATTTCGATGTTAGGTTTCGTGGTATTGACAAAATTAATGATATATTTGTACCAATTTTTAAGAGTCTGACATTCTCTGTGTTGTTATACAGATTTTAAGTTTAACCAAAATGTATTCCTATTATAAATACAAAATACTGTAAAACAGCTGGACTAGATTAAAATATAAGAATATATTTTTCAAAAATAAATCCATATTTCAAAAAAATGTCTGCTCACTTTAGTATATTTCCTTAACAAGAAAGTATATTGTAACGGTCATACGCCTGGTCACACCGTTTTTCACGTTTTTTGCGTTTGTTTGGCTTTTTATTCGATATTCTACACCAGAGGAGATGGTTCAGTTGCCTCGAAACATATCATATCCCATCGTTCATGTCTACGGAATAAGCTTCCATGGAGGCTCCTCTGGGAGCCAGTCTAGATGACAGCCTGTTCCAGGAAATAGACTTTGTAAGAAATGTAACTCCCTCCCAGGACATGTTTAGGGTTTCCTTTAAGCTACCCCTAAACTTACTAGTTTCAAAACAAAATTGAAAACTCTAGAAAGCGAGGCGCAGAGGAGTAGCATGTGATCGCCACCAAAGTAAAATGTAATTCCCAAAAAATACTCTAGACAAGTTATATATAAAAATCCAAAATAGATTGGGCCGTGTAATTGTAATATTTTTCAATATTGCCTAAAAAGTTTTAAAAGCTAAGATGTATATATGTAGTTAATTAAGTTTTATCGATGTTAGGTTTCGTGTTATTGACAAAATTAATGATGTATTTGTACCAATTTTTAAGAGTCTGACATTCTCTGTGTTGTTATACAGATTTTAAGTTTAACCAAAATGTATTTCTATTATAAATACAAAATATTGTAAAACAGCTGGACTAGATTAAAATAAAAGAATATATTTTTCAAAAATAAATCAATATTTCAAAAAAAATCTCCTCACTTTAGTATATTTCCTGAACAAGAAAGTATATTGTAACGGTCATACGCCTGGTCACACCGTTTTTCACGTTTTTTGCGTTTGTTTGGCTTTTTATTCGATCTTAGGCTTATCCAGAATTTGGGAATATTAGAGGTATACTCAAAGATTATTTGATATTTTGGATCTCCGCGAATGTTCAATGAACAGATAGATCCTTCCACACCATTAGAAACTCTCCGACATCCCCCAAAAACACTAGAAAATCCGAGAATCTAGGTCGCACGTGTTTGGATGTTTATAGTGGGTAAATTGAAGGTCCCGGGATTAACGATTATAACGAATCGTTTACGTCACTACTTTCGGAACATGGACGCCAAGGAACTCCAGCCTCCCACCTCGGTGCGCGGAATGCAGGAGCTCCAAAGGGATCAGTTCCAGAAGAGTGTCCAAGTGCCCAGATTACGGGTTCCCGAGTCTCAAGTGCAACGCGTGATGCCGCTGGTCAAGAAGTTCCTGCTCAAGATGGAGCACCTGCATCCTGTCCGAGCTGTGGGTAAATCCCGGGAGATCCTGCTGCATCCAACGCCTGTCAAAAACTGGGAATCCCTGCCCACAGAGGATCTGCAAAAGCGGGAAGTCACCTCTGAGAACTTCTCGTTCGCCGAAATTGAGTTGGGCTATGAAAACTGGAGTGCCAACGAGATCTTGAAAAGCGTGCTGCCCACGGAGGAGGAAGGTCTCACCTCCTACTCCCGCATTGGCCACATTGCCCATCTCAATCTGCGGGATCACCTGCTGCCTTATAAGCAGCTCATCGGACAGGTGCTCCGCGACAAACTGCCCAATTGCCGTACGGTGGTCAACAAAGCATCCTCCATTGACAACACCTACCGCAACTTCCAGCTAGAGCTGATCTGCGGAGACCCTGAGTACCAGGTAGAGACCAAGGAGAACGGTGTGCCATTCGAGTTTGACTTCTCCAAGGTGTATTGGAATCCCCGCCTCTCCACGGAGCACGAAAGGATTGTCAAAATGCTGAAATCGGGAGATGTTCTCTTTGACGTATTTGCTGGTGTGGGTCCGTTCAGTGTTCCTGCTGCCAAGAAGCGCTGCGATGTCCTGGCCAATGACCTGAATCCCGAGAGCTTCCACTGGCTGCAACATAATGCCAAGAGAAATAAGTGCCTGGCTAATATACAAACGTTTAACAAGGATGGCAGGCAGTTTATACTCGAAGAGCTGCGGGAGGATTTGCTAAAGCTTCTGCTGACCACAGATACCACCACCTATGCCATCCATATAACAATGAACCTACCAGCTATGGCTGTGGAGTTCCTAGATGCATTTCGTGGCCTCTACAAAGCAGAAGAACTGGCTGAGTTGCCGGAAAACGTGTCCTATCCCACTGTTCATGTTTACTCCTTTGCCAAGGGTGAGAACACCAAGGAGTTGGTGCGCCAACTGGTGGAGCACAATCTGGGTGCCAGCCTAGACGACAACCTGCTCGAGGGAATCAACTTTGTGAGGAATGTGGCGCCCAACAAGGACATGTACAGGGTTTCCTTTAAGCTATCCCTTAACTTGCTAACCACAACAAAAGAGATTGAAATCAAGAGAAAGCGTTGTGCGGAGGAGGAGGAGGTGGCCGCCACCAAAGTGAAATGTGTTTGATACAATAGATACAATAAAGTTGTAACATACAAACAATTCAAATGAGTCTCTTTTTATGCCTACTTTCAGATGGGTCGCAACAAGGCAAACAACAAAAAGGTGACTCCTGGAGCCGCCAAGCCAAAGACTGCGCTGAACAAGTCCAAGAAGGCCAAGAACGTATTCAAGGTGGCCGACGGGAACAAGGGCAAGGGTAAGAAGCCCAAGGAAGTGCAGGGCAAGCTCAAGCAGGTGAGAGGATTAACGTAAGCTAAAGTGAACCCATCACTTACATGCTTAATTTATAGATAAAGGAATCTGTAAAGGCCAAGCAGGAGAAGGTAGACGCCAGTCTGAAGACTCTGCACAAGGATCTGGTGGTGAAGAAGCCAAAAGCTCCAGTGGCACCCATCAAGAATAACAAGAAGAAGGGGGCCAATGCCCAGAAAGTGTCCGACACTTTGGGCAAACTCAAGTTCTAAGTAACTCCGCCGGATGCCACATAGTGCGGTTTACGTTTTACGTATAGTAGATGTAGTTAGTCCCCATTGATTGTTAAAGACTTTGGTCTGATGTTGCTAGGGCAAAGATGATCCAAAATATACCATAGCTATATGGACAGTGATGGGAAGTATTCACCTAGGTAGAGGTTCTTTACTTCTTACTAGAAGTACTAATTTACCTCTTGACCTCTTTGAAACCTTTTATAAATTTAGACTTTCATTCCGTTAACAATCATATACCTGATAAATATAGTTTCCAAGTAATAGGCATTAGAAATAATCTTTGATCCCAAATTCATTTTAATGAATAATATGCATCTCTTTGCATTCTTCGGTTTTAAGTGTACCTTAGTAGGAATTATATATTTCAAATCCTACCTATGAATGGTTAGCTCTCCCATCACTGTATTATGGCAACCTAGACAACCACAGGAAGAGCGTTTACAGGTGGCAAAACAGCACCCGGGATTACTGTGGGGGCAGCTGGAGTTACAGGTGCTGCAGTGGTAGAATCTGCAGTTCCATTTACAGAATTCCAGCCGAAAAACTCTCGGATGATGCCATCCAACTGGACGGTATCGATGCCAGCCTTCTGAAGTTCACCCAGCACTTGGGAAGTTTCCACGGAGGTCAACCATCGTTCATACATCAGCCTTAGGCCTTGTAATCTTTGCCAGAACTGGGCGAAGATGCCCTGTTGCAGCACTTTGGCATTGATGTGCGCCCGAATGGCATACAGCGGAAAATAGAGCTGCGCCTCGTTGAGAAATCCCTGCCAGCCGAAGACTGTGCCGGACCAGTACGGGAATTGGTTCAACAGACTGATCTTCAGCCTCTGCTCCTCCATCTCAAAGGAACCACCCGAGGCCAGGAGCTGCTGATCAGTCCACTGCAGGAAAATGATGAGCTCCGGCTGGGAGAGAAGACGCCAGCGGGCGGTGAATGCGGCATTGCTGTTGATGATCCGCACAAAGGACTGGAACTGGGCATCGTTGATTAGGTAGCGCACTAAGAGCTGGTTTAAGGGCTTGAACTGGATCAAACGCTGGACTTCATCCAGATCCTGGGATAAAGTGGCTGGTGGAGCCAAGGTAGCGGGCGGAGGCTGCGGCAGAAGACCACCAGTTGGAGGCACCAGATGAGGAGACCACTGTGCCAGGGATCCACTGGCCAGGGTGATCAGAAAGAGGCAGCCCAGAGCGATGGCCATGACTGGAAAGCGAGCGAAAGATGACTACCAACTAAAATTCGCAGACGCTTTTATATCTTCAGAATTTGTTATTATTATCTACTGATAGCAACTCCCGGAATTTGGCGCAGCATTTCTGTTAGACGTCATCTGATAAGATATTCGATCTGTTTATGGGTTTACCTACTCTTAAATCCCCCACGGAAGTCTGTGTTTTGGCATTAACAGGCGGTTGGCAAACATGGCCGAATAAAGTACTCATAAATATACGAATTTATAACATGCTAAGCTTTATTTTCAAAGTGAATCACCAAGAATCCGGATGGACATGGACCACAAAGAACCGCAAACGAACACTTCATAACATTAGGATTTACATAGCTCCACATACATACACAAAGCAAATGAAAACTGATGATATATAGGATTTATCTTTTTTTGGGGTGATGATTACCAATTATCCTTGCAAAGAGGTTTTCGCAGTATGGATGAGTAATTTCCAAAATGGGAAGGTAAGATTAGGTATGTGTAATTTTAGTGAATGATTAATGGTTAATAGAATTGGCTATTTTACTTGTTTTTCCTGCTCTGGTTTTTAAAATCGATCACCTAATACAAAACAATCTCGCAGTATTTCAAACTTACTTCGAATTTGAATTTTTTGATCACTAAAGATCCATAATAACGTTTTGAACTGTAAAACAATTTTCAAAATACACTTAACGATCAATTAAAGTTCTGAAACATTTAAAGATCAAATCAGAAAACCAGAGCAGAACTTGCAAGGATTTTACGTATACAGATTCTAGTACGATGTACTCGGGGGGATACCTTCAACTTTACCTTAAGACGTATAAATAAGTCGTATGTAATAAAAACTAACTTAACCGATAAACGCATGTGAGTGTGAGCAGGGGATGGGGTTCGGATGATGGTCTAGCTACCATCCCCGATGATCCTGCGACGCAGCCAACCGGGCACATAGCCCCTCACAGCCTCGCCCAGCTGCCGGTAGATGATCAGGCCCAGGATGGGCAGGACCAGGCGGGCGTCCTTGAACAAGTACACATAGCAGGCGACCAGGAAGAGGACCAGATCCGTGCAGTAGCTGAGGGCCGAACGGACCTTCTCGTGGGCCTGCTCCTCCGACTGGAGGATGGCCAGAGCGGCTGCCTTCTGCAGCAAATCCCTGTCGGCGGCGGAGAGGATTAGGGCTGTCTGCGGACTGCCCTCTACTTCCGGAAGCGGAGGTCTGGTCAATGAGGCATCACGTGATCGAGTGCTGGAAGGAACCCTCCGCCGAATCACCCTCTTGACCTTCACCAAACGAGTCCTGCCCCTGGCATCTGGACGAGCCTCCACCATCTCGCTCATGAAGCTCTCAGTCTCAGATTCGCTCTTGCTCTTCGATTTGGGTGGGGGCACCACCAGCACAGTTGGGTATTCGGGCTCTTCATCCTGCTGCGATGGCTGGGATTCGCTTTCCTGCTCCGCATCTCCACTGTCTGGCAAACGGTGGAATGCCAGATTGCTGGCTGCATCGCGCACATGGACCAGTTGCTCCCGTTCCGAGATGGAGAGCCGCCGTTCCCTGACCACTGGTGGGGCCAGAAACATGTCGTCGCTTTCGCCACCGGTGGCGAGTCTCTTCTTCAGCTCCTCCGCATGGGAGAGCATGTCTTCCTCGTCGGTTTCTGCCGCCGCCTTGGCCGCCGCTCGCTTCAGTTCATCGCGATCCAGGTAGAGGGGTGTATGGTACTTATGGGAACTGCCCACCTCCCTCACCAGATCGCTGTAGTGATCCACTGCGGCATGGGCCTCCTCCTGCATGAGTCGTTCCTCCTCCCTGCGGCGCTGCTCCTCCTCCTCCTTAACCCTTCGCTTGGCCTCCAAGTCCGCCGCAATGGCAGCTGCATTGGTCTTCTCCAGCGGATTGGATATCTCCTCATTGGCCTCCGTGTTCTTCTCCGTGGCTGATCTCTTGTCGCGGCTGAAAAATGACTTTATTCCCTTGGCCAGGTCCATTTTGAGGGTACTGGGATTGCTGGTAGTTACAGTAGGCGTCGAAAGTACTGGAGGACTGGTAGTCAATGGTATATCGCTTCCAATTCCACTTGGCAAAGGACTAATAGACTGCTCCACATGCTCATTGGAAGATCTCTTGAGGATTGGTTTGGGCACAAAATCTGGACTGGGCAGTGGCACTGGACGGTTGAGCACCACGGCAGCCTGCTCCGGAGTGGGAGCTCGGTAGGGCGTGAAGGTTCCAGCGCCCATGGTACGCGGATGATAGGTCTCCAGATCCCGAGGACTGGGCGATCGGGTGCGCGCCAGCAGCTCCATCTTGAACTTCTCGATGGAGTCCTGCTCCGAGGAGGCAGTGCTCTCCGTGTAATCCGAGCCGAGGTCATTGCTGGACTGCTGCTGCAGCTGCTTCTGCGGCTGGTAATCCACATCCATGTCCTCATCGAAATCCAGATCCATATCCTCGCTATCATCGGCCGTACTCTCCGTCAGATGTTCTTCCTCCAATTCCTCCGGTTCCTCCTGCTCCCTCAGATCCTTTCGTGGCTCCAGCGGCAATTGTCCAGTGGTGTGGATGCGTGTCAGGTTACCCAAGTCGTTGACGTTCTCCCTGGAATCCCATTTTCGCGATATTGACACCATATCCGCCGACTGGCGACGTAGTTCGCTCCTTCTCTCAAAGGACAGTCGTTCCGCCTCCGAAATGGAGCCCAAACGCTTGCGAAGATTAGCAGGCGTCTGGTGGGGAGCCGGTGTGGCCAGTTTGTCCTGCGATGTCTTGCGGGATTTGGAAGCCTGCTCCAGCTCCACTGCCTCATAGAACCTTGCCATGGCCCGCTCGTACAAAAGTTCCGTGGAGCTAACGGATCGGCGGAGTGGGAAGGTGGTGTGCAAGTTGGTGAACTCCAGGAAGGCCAGATCCGGGGCTGAAATCGAAATGGGCGGTGGCTGAATGGCGTCCTCCAGGTCCAGCTCAAAGGAATCTTGTTCTGGGGGTGAGATAAATGGGATGGGTATTTGATTAGTATATGAAATGAGTTAGTGGGTGATCCTTAATCCTGCAAGCCTTATAACTGGATACGTACTGTCCTTATCCTTGACCTTGCTGTTCTTGTCGAAGACGACCAGCATGAACTCATTGCTGGTGTGGACTTCGTCGTGCTTGTCGGCTGACCTGGAGAAGCGCCTTTGGTTGGACTGGGATTTCGGGAGAGGTTCTGGCATGGAAGGCTCCACCTCCTCCTCCTGCGGCGTTGGTGGAGCACTAATCTCGATGGTGGGCAACTTCTCACCAATCACAGCCGACACACCGGATGCCACGGCCAAGGCCAGAGTGGGCACATTTCTGGCCGGGCTTAGGGTCTGGCCAGAGAAGCGTCTTACGTTCTGGTTGACTCCCAGCTGAACGGGTTCCTCGCTCCTCAGCAGAGCTGGTGTTACCTTAATGGGTTCCGGTGGAGTTGGACTCTTGCGCAGAGGAGCCGGCTGCCTCTTGTTGGGTGGACTCAAGCTTCTCTTGCTACTGGGTGACGCCTTCTCCGGCTTCTCCTTGGGCGGAGTGGGCAAGGGTTGTGGCCTCGGCGGCACGGGCGACCTATCCTTTGGTGCTCCCGAGGGCTTGGGATTAAATAGTTTCAATGGAGATGTAGTTGAAGGGGACTTGGGTGACTTGGGGATCGAGGATTCAGATGGCTTTTCCAACGGTGCCAATGTGGTGGTCACCAGCGTCAAGTTGAGCTTCGGATTGGAGGAGCTATTAGTTGCGGGTTTATTGACCAAATCCGCACTGCTCAGCGAAGGACTCTTGCGCACGTCCATCTTCAAGGCCTGATCCGAGGTGCCGTAGGACATCTCGTGGGTCAGTTGCTCGTTGTCGATCAGCTGCGGCTTTGGTTTCCGCTTGGCACTGGGCGACTGCTTGGGCGACATGCCCGTGGCGGCATCTGCATGTGGTCGTGGTGGCGACAGGGTCTTCCGACGTGGTGGCACCTGCACCGCTCCATCTCCTCCTTTGGGCTTGTCCTTCTCGTCCCCTGCTATCTTGGTAGCTGACTTTGGCTTGGTGATGCCCCTCTTGGGATCCGGGATGAAGAGCAGTTCCGATTCTCCCGAGGGTTCACTTAGACCATAGGGGTTCTCCGCCTTCACTCGGAACTTGTACTCCGAACCCTCAATCAGATCGTGGAGCGTGGTGGTCAGTGCACGGGTGGTGGCCGCCTTGAGCCAAACGTTCCAGCCCACTCGGAAGTATTCCACTATGTAGTTTCCAATCTTGCATCCTCCGTCGTCAAGTGGAGCAGTCCAGGAGAGGGTGGCCGACTTGCCGAAGGACATGTTTAGTTTGGGAGTACCCGGCGGATTGGGTCTGGCCGTCACAGTGACCAGGAAGGAGGTGCTATCCTCGCCCAGTCGGTTCCAAGCCTTCACCATATACTCGCCGCGATCCTCGCGCAGCACATTGTCGATCTTGAGCAGCGAGTTCTTCTCAGTGTTGGTTATCTGAAATGGAGAGCAGGTTAAAGGGGAAATTAAACCATTTAAGATATATTATTAAGGTAAATTATCACATATAATATTACTGGTAGAATATTTTGTTTGAATGATTTTTAATGTGACTAGGAATTTCCATGCATTTCAGATAAAGCAGTTCTTAAAACTCACCTCAAAGCGTCCACCTGGAGCGATCACCTCGCCCTCATGGAGCCACGTGATGGCTGGTGGTGGTTGTCCAGCCACGCCCACCTTAAGACGCAGCACCTCGTCCGCCTCCACAATCAGTCCATCCTCGTAGGTGCGCGGCAATCGTATCTTGGGCGGAGCCTGCACCATCAAACGTGCTTTGGTAATCACATGACCCGCTCGATTGGTGGCCGTGCACTTGATCTCGCCCTCGTCGGTCAGGGCTACCTGGTGGATCACCAGGATACTGGCCTCATTGTCATTGACGATCTTGGTGCGGCGACTGCTGAAGATCTCATAGCCGTCCTTGAACCAATTGATTTCCGGCGGAGGTTCGCCCAGGATGCGCACTCGAAACTCGATTCGCTCATCCTCTACTGCATTCGTGTCCACCAGTTCATCGATGAAGCGGGGCACGGTGATGGCATTCCGCTGGAGCGTCACTGTCAGGGGATCGGAAAGTTCGCTGGCATCGGATCGACCCACGATGTTCTCGGCAAAACAGCGAAATTGATAGCGCCATCCTGGTTCCAGTCCACTGATGCAGACATCGCAGCGATCGACCGGAGTGGGCGTGGCCCTCACCCAGTGGGGGGATCCCATGCGGCGGTGCTCAACTGTATAGCCAGTGATGGGGGAACCTCCATCATGTAGTGGTCGATCCCAGCGCAGGTTCACCACGTCCGGTTGCTGTTCCGGCAGGGCTACTGGCGTCAGGATGGGACGGCCGGGTGGTGAAGGTCGCTCTGATGGGAGAACAAAGAAGGTCTTATAAAAAAGTGAAGCTCAAACTATATTATATATTCTCTACTATACTTTTCTCTGGACCAGATTTAAAGGCTCTTAGAACCCTAACTTTCCCAAAAAAATTTTGAAGATCTCTTCAATTAAAACTTGTTTCTTTTCAGAAGCCTTTCGAATTATTATATAGTGAAAAGTAAAAAACTCCCGGATCCAAAAATGTACAACTTTAACATTTTTAGGGCGATCAATACTACTGAGATACCTTTCTCCAAAACCTTTTTCGGAAGCTTAAAAACTAACATAGGCATGTAATAACAAGAACTAACTTTTATGGATATACCATTTTAAAGTCGAAAAATGTGCCATTTAAAAAAGTAGAATCCATAAGCTAGTCATAAGGAAATTAAATTGGATATATTGGTTTGGACATGCTTTCGGCCACTACCCCATATAGTAACCGTTTTAGGCCCTACATAATAATGCACTTTGTATCTCAGCATAATGGCTTTTCCGCTTTTCGAAAGACAACATTACTTTGACGTTGTGAGATTTTTGGGGCCAAACAGAAGAACACGGCAACCACTGAGTGTGCGAGTGTCTAAAAATAGACGCATTTCTAGCGCTCCCACCAGCCAGCTATTTGGGCCTGTCTACTCTTCGGGGGCCCCCTTTTATTTCTTGAAAATCGGGTAGGAATACGTACTGGGACTGGGACTGGGACTCCAATATGTTCCGGAGTTTCTACTTGCCTGCGGACTTCCAGTGGACAGCCTTCTTGGGCCGACCGCTCTGCGGATGCGTTTGCAGCTTTCCCGGCTGATTTCCCATTTCGAGATATTTAGATATTTAACCTATTTGCAATATTGTGCTTGCCTATACAGATGATCTATATATAGACAGTCGAAATTAACTTAACTTAACCCGTCGTTTTTGTATCGCCAATAAGCACACTTTAAACTTTAACAATTTTAACTCCAGGTGGGGTTAGATCCTAATAATGTAACTTTCGTAGCGTTTGTTGGTTTTTGTTTGCAAGCGTTGCCATTTTTGCGGCGCGTTAAATAATCCGTTCCGTTCGGTTCGTCAGCCCAGCATCCACCTCCTCCTCCGCCGATCCACGAAAGCTTTCTGCTCTTTTTCAAATTTGAATTCGGTTGGGTTTGACGTGGTCATCGACATCGATAAGCTCAATCGATAGGGCTGTCAACTAGCTACTTTTAGCTATTATTTATGAAACCGCTTTAAGATAAAACTATTTACTATTCAATAGACTTTATAAGATAATTTTCTAGTAAAAACGTTTTCACCTCAGCATATTGATTTCGATTTGCTAATATAACTAAATTTTAAAATTATATTTTGGCTACTTTCTAGCTAGTTACAAATATAGCTGTTGTAAGTATAGCTACATCGCAAAAGGCCACCTCTAGTTTCCTTAATCGATAGTTGGCAACAGTGGAGGAGTGTCATCACCGGCACAAATTATGCTTTTTTCCAACAGTCCAGTCTTCCCCAAAAAAGATTTTCGCTATTTTTTGTAGTGCCGCCTTGTAGTGTTTCTTGTTGACTAGTGTATTAAACCCAATCCGATCCGGAAAGTGCGCTTTAGCGTATCCTAGTTAAGTTACAACTGTGACCTGCCTGCATGTGTGTGTTTCAGTGGATCCAAATTCAGTGAAAATGCCCCGTCCTTGGACTGAATTCTGGGAGGCTGTTGTGGGACTCTATATGTTGGGAATATAAAGACTATCATAATAGCATCGCAGTGCGGAAAAGCCGCAGCTGTTCCATTGTGACAGGTGCAGCGGCACACACGCACACACACGTACACTTACCTGCATTTACCTATTCCGCCCGTCCAATAACAAAAACAACAACAATGGCTGGCACGGCGACCGCGACGCCAATGGAAATTGATGAATTTGTAAATTCGTCCATAATTTCTTGGGTGAGTACTACGTGTGATATGGATAAACATGCTCGATATTTGCATCGCAAGTGGGCTATGTGCTTGGCATAAATAATTCAAGTGTTCGATTCCCAAGCACTCACATATGGAAACGGCGAAAACAACAAAAACAACAACAGAGTCGTGAGAACAACCTGCTTACATACTCACACAGACAGCTGAGGTCAGCTAATTAGATCCAGCGGTCAAACACCATACAAAATATATTAAAACATAAAAAAAGTGAACAACCATTATAGAATCAAATAATTTTAAATTAAAAAAAAAATTGTATGTAACATTTTTTAGACAAGTTGCCTTCAGCTGTCATTAAAAATAATTGAATTATTAGTTTAAATTAATTAAATGTTGAAGAATAAAAAATCACTGAGGCCATTTAAAGTAATATCATTTTTCAAGACACTGACTCCAATTCAGACTCCCATTATCTTGCACCCAACTGTATGTAGTTATGCGGCTTTCCGCAGCAGTCGCAAAAGAACCAAGGTCATTGTAACTTGCTCAAGACTGCTTACGGTACAAAACGAACGGAGGAGGAGTATAATGAGCTCTTGTCCAGCGAATATACATATTCACGCCCGCTCTGGTTCTTTGTTGAATGCCGTATCTAAAAAACTGGTAATTTCTTCCTTTACAGCTGGAATCATGTCTGCCACGTGCCGAGCTGCTCACTGGCTACACTTCCCTGCTGGATGGCCACATAATCCATAGCGTCTGGCTGCAGATCGATCCGGAGCCCCAGAATAATCCCAGCGAGCTTAGCGATCTGAACGGGAAATCCCTCAGCATCGCGAGGGCCAAGAACTTTGAGTGCATCGTGAGGAATCTCAAGTCCCTTTTTGAGGAGGAACTCGGCCAGACAATTCTGGTTCTGCCGGATGCCTTCACCCTGGGTCACCATCCGGAGAGCAGGAACGGCCTGGAGCAGATGAAAACGCTGTTGACCCTGCTCCTCGGTGCAGCTGTGCAATGTCCCAACAAGGAGCTCTTTATTGCCCGGATCAAGGAACTGGATCTAGAGACGCAACACGCCATCGTGGCGTTGATCAAACAGGTAACCGACAGCCATAGTTTGGTGCTCACCGAGGACTCTCTGGAGCGGCTGACCCCGCAGACCATGTACACGCACATCCTGCGTCTGACCAAGGAGCGGGATCATATGTATCTCAAGTGGATTGACTTGGCGTGCGTGGAGACCGAAATGGTAGCCAGCGACAATATGGTGGAGTGTGGTCAAGGAGTCAGCGTTCCACGCTCCCCTTCGAATGGAACTGCCACATCAACGCCTTCATCTTCTTCCAATTCGGAAAGCAATCACCTTGCCGTTGAGTGTGCGGATCTTCGTTCGAAGAATCGTAAACTTCGTCAGGAACTGTAAGATTATTTCTCATTTACTCTTTAATGTGTTTACCTTAATTCCTTACAATTTTCTAGTGAGGAAAAGTCCGAAAACCTATTAGAGCTTCGCGAGGAGCTAGATGACAAGAAGGCCCGCTTTGACAAACTGCGTCAGGAGAGCCAGGAATGGTTTACGGAGGCCAAGCGGGCAGCAGCATATCGCGACGAGGTGGACATCCTTAGGGAACGGGCGGAAAGAGCCGATCGACTGGAGGTAGAGGTTCAGAAGTATCGCGAAAAGCTCGGCGACTCGGACTTTTATAAATCCCGAGTTGAGGAACTGCGGGAGGATAACCGTGTGCTGTTGGAATCAAAGTATATTTATCAAAAAAAACCTTTATTACCTTTCTAATCTGTTTCCCCCTACTTCCCCAGAGAAATGCTGGAAGAGCAGTTACAGCGCTACCGGAAAAGGTCTGAGCACGCCATCTCCCTGGAGTCCGAAATTATCAAGTACAAGCAAAAGCTGAACGACATGGCGTTGGAACGTGACGTGGATCGGTCCAAGATAGAAGAGCTGTTAGAGGAGAATGCCCAACTGCAACTGGTAGCCAGGAATCTCAACTCAACGATGGATTTGGATAAATCCTTCTCCGAAAACGAAGATGACTGCAACTCAGGCGACAACAGCCTATCCGAACAGCTAACGAACAATGCCCAAACCCGTGCCCTCAAATTGGAGCTGGAGAACCGTCGCTTAACTGCCGCCTTAGAGCAGTTAAAAGAAAGCAGTTTCCACGAGTCCACTAGCAAGATGCTAGAACTAGAAAAGGAGAAGAAGAAGCTCTCTCTAAAAACCGAACAGATGCAGGAAAACATCCAGCGGCTGACTCAGCAGAATGTCGAATTGGAGGGCGTCTTTAAGAATGCCCTGGAGGAGAACAAAAAGCTTCAGGACGCCGTGGATAGTCGCCAGAAAAGCTATGATCGCCAGAGCCTGGAGCGAGAGGCTGACCGTCAAAAGCTTTCTGATGCCGAGCAACATGTTGAAACCCTAAACAAGGAGAAGCAACGTATCCAAACACTTAACGATAGCATTCAGCGAAGAGCCGACGATCTTGAACGACTGGCGGAGAGCAAGACAAAGGAACTAGAGCAATACGCCCAAAAATCCAAGCAATATGAACAGACCAAACAAAAGCTTTACGAGATCGAGGCTAAGGTATCCACTTTTGAGCGCGAAAATGCCAGCTTGCTCAAGGAAGTCTCGAAACTGAAGGAGGGCAGCGAGCAAAAATCTGTGCAGCTGGACGAGAGTATCAATCGTCTTGATGCACAAAGCAAGGAACTTCAAAAGCTGGGGAAGGCACTTGAAGATTCGGAACAAGTGCACCAGAAGCTTGTCGAACTAGAGAAACAAAACCAAGAGCTAGCTTCACAGCGAATTATTGATCAAGAGATGATAAGCACACTTCGTAACGACCTTGTCAATGGTACTTTAGTAACGAAGAAGGTACGTCACAACTTGGAGAAACTTGGACTTGCCGATGAAGAGCCTGGAGAGTTGAATGTGGAGCATGTCGTAGAGAAACTGGTGCGCAATCCGGAGACCTTCAAAACGGTGCGCGAGATTATGCTAAACGTGACGCGTGAGCAACAAGAGGAGGAGGAGCGAGAAGGTGGCGTTAAGTCTGACATGTGTGTACTGTGCCACCGACAGGAGATCTTCACGGTGGAAAAGAACATTGAATTGGCGACTGCTCCAGTGCCTGCTCCAGCGCAACCTTCTTCCCAGGAACTTCGCTTCGAGCACAAACTGCGAGTGAGTCCGGCACGAGAGTCTGCAGAGCTGAACCGCATTAAGGATTCAAATACACAGCTCCAGACAGAGAATGCTCGGCTCAGTGTGGATGTAGCTGCTCTGGGCTCGCAAATAACGTCCCTGAACACACAGCATGTAGCCCTTCAATTGGCTAACTCTCAACTGGCAGCCGAAAAGGACACGCTGCTCAAGGACATCGATTCACTGCAGCAGGAGCATAAACATGCGCTGCAGGATCAGGTAACGTTGCAGTGCCTACACGATCAGCTCTCCGCGGAGTACGAGTCGCTGAACAAGGACAAGGAGCAGCTCAAGGCAGCAGTGCGGGACTTACGGCAGGAGCTGCGCGACACTCGTGAACAGCAGTTAGCATTAGAACAGCGCATAGAGGAGTTGACTACTCAGAACAACAACATGAAGACCTGCAGCGAGGATCTGTCCATCCTGCGCACTGAGCACTCCAAGCTCACCGATGACTTCCGCAATCTCTTCGCCACCAGCGATCGCTTCAAGAACGAGTACAAAAATATTCAGGAGCAGTACAAGATGGTGCGTATGGAGCACTCAAGCCTTAAGCTACAAAACACTGAGCTCTCCGGCGAGCTGAACACCAAGAGCGACCAAGTGCGTCACCTGCAGGTGGAGTACAGCAAGGTTCAGCAGCGATGTGAGGTGGGTTAATAGGTCCCAATATATTTTCTTGATCTAATCCTATTTAAATTTTCCCACAGATGTTAATTCAAAACAACGCTGAGCTCGATTCAGAGCGCAAGGCCTTGATGGACAATGTATCGCAATTGCTCTCCCAGTATCAGGAACTTTTGGCCATATCCCTGGAGGACAAAAAGCATTTCCATGAGGAGGAGAAAAACTACACTGAACGGGTGCACAGCCTGAAGCGTCAGAAGGAGAAGCTGGAGGAGAAAATCATGGAGCACTACAAAAAGTCGGAGACCACGGTGCACAAAAAGTAAAAATCAAAGAACGCAAAGTTAATTTTGTGTTAACTCTACCATTTTTAACTTCAGGAAACCCTTTGCCAGCATGCTGGTTCGAAGAGTGAAGAAGGCTAGCTCGGATCTGATGAACAAAGTGCCCAGTCGTGTAGGTTTGCTAGAAATAACTATTTAAAGAAGAATCTCTTACGTGTGTTCAGTCTGTATATCAAGGACAAACCGAAAGTAATAGGTTTTTTTTTTTGATGTTAAATAACCGGAAGGTTGCTTATTTCAGAACCGGCGCTCTTGGGTGGACGACGCTCGTACCAATTCCCAATTCGTGATCGGATCCGAATCAGGCGGCAATGAGTCGGATAATAGCAATGAGGAGCCACTGTCCATTGCCTCTGACACGCATTTACTACAGCGTAATGTCCCGCTTCGCCAGAGTCTGCAGCGGTAAGTCATAGAGTTGGAATATAAATATGGTTTAGTGGCTATTTTGGTTCATGGTTTTTGTTCTATTTACATGTATTATACACAACTCAACACTCGCACCAACAAACAAACACTGTACAATATGTCCGAGTAGGGATTTGCTGGATAACTCGATCCAACGCGGCGGCGCCGTGCGCAGTAGCCTCCAGGCTCAGAAACGTACGGATTTGAATAACTCACGTAGAAATAGCGTGCACGGGTATGCGCTTTAGATGTTTAACAATCGATTCGATCCCATTAAAACTTTCCAATTGAAAACGAACAGACTATTACATTCATGTAATAAAAATTAAGTTTTTAAGCGGCAACTGTCAATCCCGAATCCACCATTCCCTCCTGCACAATGCGTATTTGCATCCTTTTGTTGTCGCTCCTCACCTGAAAAATTTGAATTAAACAAGTAACTGATAAACAATTTGCTTCGCAGCAGTCTTGAAGCGCCAGACGTGACGGGAAGCAGTCTGACACTCGGTACAGCCGGCTCTCGACGCACCGTTTATCTTATCGACGAGCACCAGAAGCTTCCCGATGGCTCCAGTCCCAGCTCCGCCCAGCCGCAGTCCGGTGGCAGCAGTGGCTCCGGCAATGCTGCAACTCCAACGCCTGCTGAACCCCAGACGCCTCAGAAGAGTGCGGAAAACAGCGCTCCAGTGGGTCCAGCCACGTTTCTCATGTACAACCGGATAAACACCACGATCGGAGGAGCCTCGAACAGCGGGGACCAGAGTCCACTGCTGCAGGCCAGCGGCAGCGTCTCCGGAACGCCCTTGCAGGATGACAAGTCGGCGAGGAAGCGGACCGAAGACAAGAGCAATAGCATCTGGTATGAGTACGGCTGCGTCTAGAAATACAATCAAACAGTATACGTCCACAACTTGAACTCGAATATAATGCATTTGCTGACGAAGTATTATTTCGTTTTAGAAATTAACGAATTTATTTTTAAACGCATTAGAACATCGATGTTGCCTTAAGCTAGTTACAGATGTAAGTGTAAAGTGCTGCTTGAACCGCTATGATTTGCCTTAAGACATGTTTTACAATTAGACTATGTACTATACTATAGTTTGTACCTATTTATGCAATTTAAAAAACTCCAGAAGACTACGCGACAACTATGCGAACTCATAACTATCCAGTATACACCCCTATATACACGAAACTATAAAGAAATATGTTAAAAATTAGCTATACCGATGCCTCAATGTTACGTCCTAAGCGAAAGGCTTTATTTTTCGTTGATTTAACAAGATATATATTTATATCCGTTTATTTGGTGTTTTGTAAACTCGACTCGAATCTATGTATTCCTATATATGTTGTAAACCACACTCGTACTCTGCTAGCAGCTAACAAACGCGCCTTCAATTTGTGAATATATTTTTATAAATTACTTGTAGCCTTGTACTATTTATTGACGCAAAGCCTAACACCGCAATAAAACTAAGCAAACATTCGTAAAAATATCTCACTTTTTGGGCAACTCTCTAAAGATAACCAAAGATACATATAAGGTGATTCGTTCGTCCCCAGTATTTTAGAATGAAAAGCGACTTGAGAGAAAAAAGATGTGGTTAAAGGCACTTGTTCCACTGGTAACTACTTCAAGCTGTAAACATTTCTGGATAATATTCATTTGCTCATAAATTTAAGCTCTTGGTCCAATATTTGGCGGCCACATGCGATGTGTGCCAAAGTGTCAGCAAAGTGGCTTGTCACAGTGAAAACACATTTTCTATCTGCTATGACGGTGAGTAAATTTGTTTACAAATAAGGGTACTATTCGGCAATGTTTTAATTTCCAGGTGAACCATCTTATGATATGCTGTCATGTCCAACGGATTATTATTGCACCGATGGTTTTTACACTTGCTATCAAAATGCCGATCCAGTTTGCAAATTAGACACCACAACCTCTAAGATCCCAACTACCACGCAGATCCCAACTACCACTGAGATCCCAACTACCACGCAAATTCCAACTTCCACACAGATCCAAACTACCACACAGATCCCAACTACCACTGAGATCCCAACTACTACAACAACCACTAAGATTCCAACTACTACAACAACCACTGAGATCCCAACAACTACTACCACCACAGAGATCCCAACTACTACAACAACCACTGAGATCCCAACTACTGCAACCCCTACAGCCGATGACCTCTGCCAGCAAGCCACTAAAAACACATTTTTTGAAAACGTAGATGATCCCACCTGCACTACGTAAATATCCTAAGCAGAAAATTGTTCTTTGTGGTTAAGCCCTAATAATTTTTTTTCAGTTTTATAACCTGTAGTGTTAATACCACCGACGGAACCCACTCAACAAAAGTAACTTCATGCAAGGCTAATCAGTACTACAGTACCAGCTTAAAGGTTTGCACAGCGACCAAACCGGATGGCTGTGTGGAGGCAACCACAGAGACGACCTCAACCACCGTGACCACCACTGCTGCTACCACAACCACCGTGACCACCACAACCGCTAGTACGACCACAGCCGAACCCTGGAGTGCTGAAGCCACCTGCTCGACTGTCACCAAAAGCACTTTGTTTCAAAACCAGGACGATCCGACCTGCACCACGTAAGAAATACTTTATAGATCCAAAAAAAAAACTAACATCAACTCATTTGCAGATATCTTTATTGTTATGTTCTAAATGGATCTGCTACGGCTTTAATCAGGGTATGCAAGACAGACCAATACTTTGATGCTACCACAAGAGCATGCAGTGCAACCAAACCGGATTATTGCACCTAATTTTGGAGCAGATATCTTTGTGTATTATCACATCTATACCAATAAAATAAGAATAATATCCATGATATTTGACAATGCTTTAAGTTTTTGTTAAAAAGCCTTCTTGAAAGTATAAAAAAGTACAATATTTAAAACATATACACAAAACAAACCGTATTCCTATTCTTGACAACACTCAGAAGTTACCAAAAACTTTCCACAAAACTGAGTGGTCCGCAAAAAAAATACATGCATATGTACATTGTACATTTACGGCTGACGAAATAAATGAATAAAAGTACGCAATAAACATAAAATCCATATCTACTGATTAAAATCCTCCCTATTTAAAGACCTCACGGGTGCTTCAAAGTTTCAGTGTGCCAAGTGAAGCAAGGTTATAACGACAATGTGGACGAGTCTCATATTACACCAGTTTACAAAAAAAAATTGATGAAATACGCCTTTCAGGAAACCTTTGTTTTCCGGTAAGATACATCTCCCTGATTAAGAAAAGGGCACTTAAAATTTTTTCTATGGTACCAATTTTTTTTAAAGTGTAAAAAACGTTTTTCGCACTTTTTTATTTTATAACTCGAGTTGTGATAAACCGAATTCGGTCATTAAGGACTCATTTTACAGGTTATAGAATGCCCTTTAACTTTCTTATACACATCATTAAGTTCCATTCATTAGTTCAAAAGCTACACTTCGTCAAAGTTGAAAAATTTGGAAAAAAATCAAAAACGCTGGCATAAATGTCTTCTTTAAAAATACACGCGTAAAAACCGAAATTAGTTTTACGTTGTTTTCTTGATGGCTGAACCATAACGGAGAATATGCGCCATAGATCACGACAATCCGTTGGTAAATCGATTTTTAACAGATTTTTAAACGTATATACCCAAGTTCATTATTCGGGAGCAGCGGCCGTTAAACGTTATTTTAAATTTTCAGTGTTGGGGAACGTAAGAATTTGGTGCAAGTTGTTATGCATAACGTCAGTTTCCTTGCTAAAAATATATGAAAATGATTTCCTCGTAACTGCAATCGCATACTCTTTAGCTTGCCCAGCGCTAATAGCAAAGAAACTGACGTTATGCATAACAACTTGCACCAAATTCTTACGTTCCCCAGCACTGAAAATTTAAAATAACGTTTAACGGCCGCTGCTCCCGAATAATGAACTTGGGTATATACGTTTAAAAATCTGTTAAAAATCGATTTACCAACGGATTGTCGTGATCTATGGCGCATATTCTCCGTTATGGTTCAGCCATCAAGAAAACAACGTAAAACTAATTTCGGTTTTTACGCGTGTATTTTTAAAGAAGCCATTTATGCCAGCGTTTTTGATTTTTTTCCAAATTTTTCAACTTTGACGAAGTGTAGCTTTTGAACTAATGAATGGAACTTAATGATGTGTATAAGAAAGTTAAAGGGCATTCTATTACCTGTAAAATGAGTCCTTAATGACCGAATTCGGTTTATCACAACTCGAGTTATAAAATAAAAAAGTGCGAAAAACGTTTTTTACACTTTAAAAAAAATTGGTACCATAGAAAAAATTTTAAGTGCCCTTTTCTTAATCAGGGAGATGTATCTTACCGGAAAACAAAGGTTTCCTGAAAGGCGTATTTCATCAATTTTCTTTTGTAAACTGGTGTTATCAATGGTAACTATGCAAGGACTCCTGGCTGTTCCTCTAGTAAATATATATTATCCCTTAATAGCTCCTGCTGCATTGCCTGGTTGCATTGCCAGCTCCTGAACTGAAAGGCCTGGATTCTTGGAGTGCGGATACAGCCTGTCAGGAAGTGGATAAATCGGTCATGATTGAAAACCAAAACGATTCCACATGCGTCACGTAAGAGAGTTTTTTAGATGATACTGATTGATTAGTACTAATGTAGTATACTTTCAGCTATGTGTATTGTTATATAGTTAATGACTCAACGAGAGCACTAGTTAAAAGCTGCAAAAGCGGACAATATTTTGATTCTAAACTTAAAGTATGCAGTACCACTAAACCGGACGGATGTGAATAATGTGGTAGCAGATAAAAATTAGGTTATATGCAAATAGGGAGACCTGCACGAGAAATGAATAATACTCATCGTGTTACAGATTTAATATATTATTTACTTATTATAGTACCATTAAAATAGATGCACAAATGATTAAAATTACTTACAATCGTCTTTTTAATGGTCAGAAAATTTGAATATGCAGGTCAGGTTCTAAAACTGATCAGTTATTTAACCTTTTTGGTAGTTATGTAAAAAGTTTGAGAAATTTCACAAAATCGTCTTCATTTTGGTAACTAGCAATTGCTTGGTCGCGTGGATTGGCAGGCCTCTGTATCTGAGTTATAGTATTCATTCGTGTTGCAATAATATAGCCAACCCAAGTAATCTTGGCTCAGTTTATAGCAGTACACATACCTACAAAAATGAAAATCCATAAGTATAATTGTTTTAGAACATCATAAGTATACTTGCATTTGACATGTGGTATCTGTCTCAACTCGGGAGTTTCCTTTGCTCCTGATCTTTGCACAATAGACGTTGGGATCTACTTCCGAAGATTCCGTTGTGGTACTTGGAGTACTAGTAGATAGTTCAGAAGTTGTGGGTAGAGTGCTTGTTTCGGTTGTATTAGCAGGTGTTGTGGAATCTGTACTTGATTCTGTGGTGACTTTTGGAGTGGTAGAAACTGTGGTGTTAAGAGGTGTCGAAGTCTCGGTTACTGTAGAGTCCGTTGTTTCTTGAGTACTGGAAAGCGTTGTAAGTGCTGGGGTAGTAGAATCCGTAGTAACCGGCGTTGTCGAAGTTTCGGTTACTGTTTCCTGGGTACTGGAATCCGTAGAAATTACTGGGGTAGTAGAATCTGTGGTAACTGGTGATGTCGAGCTTTCGGTTACTGTTTCCTGGGTACTCGAATCCGTTATAAGTTCTGGGGTAGTAGAATCTGTAGTAACTGGCGTTGTTGAAGTTTCGGTTACTGTTTTCTGGGTACTCGAATCCGTTGTAAGTGCTGGGGTAGTAGAATCCGTAGTAACCGGCGTTGTCGAAGTTTCGGTTACTGTTTCCTGGGTACTGGAATCCGTAGAAATTACTGGGGTAGTAGAATCTGTGGTAACTGACGATGTCGAGCTTTCGGTTACTGTTTCCTGGGTACTCGAATCCGTTGTAAGATCTGGGGTAGTAGTATCTGTAGTAGCTGGTGTTGTCGAAGTTTCGGTTACTGTTTCCTGGGTACTGGAATCCGTAGAAATTACTGGGGTAGTAGAATCTGTGGTAACTGACGATGTCGAGCTTTCGGTTACTGTTTCCTGGGTACTTGAATCGGTTGTAAGTTCTGGGGTAGTAGAATCTGTAGTAACTGGTGTTGTCGAAGTTTCGGTTACTGTTTCCTGGGTACTGGAATCCGTAGAAAATACTGGGGTGGTAGAATCTGTGGTAACTGACGATGTCGAACTATCGGTTACTGTTTCCTGGGTACTGGAATCCGTAGAAAATACTGGTGTGGTAGAATCTGTGGTAACTGGCTGTGTCGAGCTTTCGGTTACTGTTTCCTGGGTACTCGAATCCGTTGTTATTTCAGATGTGGTGGTTGTCTCCATTGTAGTGGTCTCTGTGGACTCTGAGATTTCCTGGGTACTCGAACCTGTTGTCGAATCTTGCAGTACAAAGTACAAGATAATTGAAACCACGGGCAATAAACCCATAAACATAAGTGTGATATTTTTATATATTTACCAACCTGTTACTATATCCGTTGTGGTCGTAGAAATATCTGTGGCACAGGCTGGCTGTGAGAAAACAAGTGTGAAATTTGGCAGATGGTCCCAAAAGCGAATTATTTCTTACCTCCGCTGAATCCATAGACGCACAAAATCCCGCCAGGACGCAGTAGTACCCATCACGGCAGTTTTGCACTGCGCTTTCGTCCACAGTGCCTTGACCGAAGCAAAAACCATAGGCAGTTTCGTTGACACAGGCGTATTGATCATTTGTCGCGGAGCAGTCGAAGCAGGCAGTCTGCCCAAGGGCCCTTTCCGAAATCCAGACGAGTAGAAAGATCTGGAATTCACATCGAAATGCGTTACTTTCTCCGGCCTCACTATACACTTGACTCACCCTAAGAGGTATATTTGCCAGCATAGTTTGTCTGTTTGCCGGGAAGAGCAACTCACTTGTGATGGCTGGCCAAGTGCCAATTCTCTTTATAGGAGACTAAGCCGGTCCGCACCTTCAGTTAGCGTGTGCTTAGCGCCCATAAAAAGATAACAAGCCATACTTAATACCCAACGCAAGAATTTTACGATGCCATAGAACAAAATTCGGCACCGCTGCCAAAATGTACAAATAAGTCTTAGACGTAGTTGTCTCATTATTCGCAGAAGATCCGTACAGTTGTCAAGATGTACAAGTTCTTGTGTTTAGTGAGTATCAAGATCCTGATAACAAGTTCTTAATTATAATTCTTTTTTTTTTACTTTAATCAAAAGAAATTGAATAAGAACCAACGTCGCTTTTTAAATCCCAAATATATTTGCAGTTTGCTTTGGTTGCTTTGCCAATCGTTTGGATCCAGGCAGACTGCAATGTATGTCAATCGAATGGAGCATCCTGCATAAACCAGACCGCATATAACTTGTGCTTTGGTGGCAGTGAGCCGAATACCAACCAGACCTTCATCTGTACCGACGGCCTGGTGTGTACGGATCAGCCTGTGATTTGCTTCCAGCGTAGCGAAAACCCAGCCAGTTGTGGGGATACGGACAGCTGTGGCCAGTGTGCTCCCAATTACACCTTCGCCTGCACCTCGTTAAACACATTCGCCTTCTGCTTCGGCGCTATAACGCCCACAAATGTCACGGGAAGCTGCCCTGATGGTTACTTCTGCGATGGCTCCACACAGGAGATATGCGTCACAAAGACTACTGATGATTCCATAATCTGCCACAAGAATTAACAATGCTTTGCTATACAAATACATAGTTCTGTGGATAAATAAATCATAACATTTAAAACAATTTTTAATCCTCTTTGTATTCCTCTGTCAACATCTTATTTATTGCAATACAATTTTAAATGTAATATTAAAATAAGTTTAAATAAAATAAAATAAAATAAAATATTTTTTAAGGCCCAATTAATTATTTTCTTTAAGACAACATAAAATACTTTACTTCTACTGACAATGACGTTTCTACACTTAATAAAAGCATTTTTTAAGTAAGTCGAGCCATTGACAACATAATAAAATTTCAATTCTAATCTTAAAATTACGGGCGCATCAAAATGTTTCTTTACGAGGAACGAGAATATAACTTAAACGAAAGACTTAAGGTTTTGCTGCCATGTCACCAAAGTAAAATTTTAGAAGTATTCTATAATAGTTATTTCTTTTGCAACAAGACTACAAATCTAAAAAATCTTCGACATCTTCTGTTTTCTTTTTCTCCAGCCAGGAACGAGCAGTCCGTAGCGGAGGGAGCCGGAATCGCCACTCGTCGCAGCAGTACTTGTACACCTCATCGCCCAGTTGCAGTAACTCTATGGCAAACTCCCGCTCGTCTTCCTTCCAGGTGCGATCCTCAGAACCCCCAAACATTTCAATGCGAAGCAGGGCAGCCATAGTGGGTCCCAGGTACTTCTTTATGGCCATGTAAAGCTGTGGTTTGGTCAACGAGTTGGATGCGGGCTTGGTGGGAGTGGGAACCTTTAGACGTTCCGCCTGCAGTCGTTTTAGTTTGGCATTCTCCTCCGACAGTTTGTCAAACTCGGCCTTTAGTTTGTTGTAATCGTAAAGCAGCTTTTCACGCAGGTCGTCTTCGGAAGAAGACGGTTTTTCACCCGGATCTGATCCATCCTGACTGTCACTACCAGGATCCATATTCTCCTCTTCGTCGTTTGAAAAACATGAAGATTCAGTATTAAAAAGAGCCTCCTTATTGTTTTTACCTTGGCCAGGGTTCGGGTTAAAGTGGCTGGATTGAGAGGGTATTTCACTTTGTGGAGCCTCTTGCCTTAGATTCTTTACGAACTCGCTCCTAGTTTCAGCGAGGTGGTCAGTCTTTTGTTCTTCTTCTGGTATCTTTCTTTTCTTAGCATGCTCTGCGTACCGTAGGTCTTCCTTCTGCATTCCACGCTTTTTATTTATATCTGTACACATTTTCTTGGGCTGATCTTCGTCTCTAAGTGTGATTACCTTTGGCTTAACCTCCACACTTGTACTCACTAATTTAGCGTACTTTTCTATCTCATTGGTTAACATCTGCCTTTTAGTTAAATCTTCAGTCTGCTGTTCATTCAGAGCCACGTCCCCTCCATTTATTGTGTGTATCTCAACTGGCCTTTTCACCAATTTGATGCCCAGCGAAGGCTGCAGTTGACTAATTATATCCAGAATGTTTTGAGGCATAGGCATGCCCGAACCTCCGCTGGTTGATGCTGTGACATCCTGAGTCTCCGCCGCCACCTTCTCTTTGGCCAGTGCCGACTGCTCCTGCTCTGCATCCATCAAAATGTCAGATTTTGCAATATCCTCCGCTGGTTGCTGTGCCTCCTCCTGATTTAGATCGACATGTTCCGCTGTCTGTGTTTCCTGTGGTTTCTCCGCGGAAACTCTAGTCTGCTTCCCGGTTACCTCCACTTTCTGGAGCTCGATATCGTCATCGTCCACGAATCCCAGGGGACATTTAAAGTCCTTGGGCGGTATGAGATGTGGCTGCGTTGGAGGCTTCAGCTTCACAAGAAGTGGCTCCCCGTTCTGGTCGAGGCTCGCAAAGTCCAGGGCCAAATCCCTGTTGATCCTCAGCAAAGTAGGCGTTTGCTTGGGCACGAGCCTGTCCATTTTGTAGTTCATAAAGGATTCCGCACGAAAGTGCCTGGCACAAACAGTCCTTGTGGCCCATTTGTTCGGGGGCACATTTGCACAGTATTTAGCCCATTCCTGCAACCTCCCTTGGTCTTTAGTAGGGAACTTGAAGAAGTGCATATTGGGATTTCGTTTGGAGTTTACCGGACAATCACGAAAACTGCATTTAGTGCCGCCCATAGTTTTATTTTTGTAACTTTAAAACTAAACCACCAAACCAAACGAGTTATAGCCTATTCATACAGAGGGGGTTTCCGCTTAAGCGACTTTATCCTCCATAAGGAACACACGTGCCAGAAAGAGACGGGAATAATTCTGTGCAGAGGCTAATACACTGCTTATCGAATATAGTCGATATATACCACCGATATACCAAACAAACATTTTGCTAGTGGTGGGAAAGTTAAAGTCTGCTAAGGATGGGACTTATCGATATGGCGGGACTTTTACAAAATTTTAATTTAATTCAAGCTAAATTTAATAACATACTTTAAAATATGGAATGTCTATAGATTTTAATTTTAAGTAAGCTTTGTATGAATTATAAATACATAACAGTACTTTGAAATGGAAGAAATAAGTGAATGTGCTTAAAACGTTATTATTCATTAGTTAAAGAACAGAATTTATTTAAATAGTTTTAACAAGTAAAAATCGTTGTGTTAGGGTTCTTTACCATTAATAATTTAAAAATTTTTTAAACTTTCAAGCTTTTTAAATAGAAAAAAAAAACATTTCGTTTTAACAATAGAAAAAAAAGAGTTCTTACATTACCTTCTCTCTATTCTAATGTAATCAAGTTGGCTTATGAAAGCCAACAATAAATTATAACAAATCCTAGTGGGCTGTGCTCAACCGTTCCGACTATCCAACGGAACTTCAACCAAACACCAGTCAGTATAATTTTTGAATCCGCCCGCACAGGTTGCGCACTTTTCAACCGTCTAACAACACTAAGCGCCGTTTATATCGACCGGAAACTGTATCCCTGGCTTCTGGAAATCTCTAGAAGCGTCCAGAATTTTCGCGGCTGGGGCGGTTTTTTCTATAAAAGCGGCAGCGCGTCGAATGCCGGTTCGAGTCTTGAAAAAATTTCGTACGGTGCGCGTCGACAGCGTCTGAAAAGTTTTGTGAATTTCCAATTCTGCACAAAGCAAAGTGAAAATATATATTTTTACCTTTATTCTGTGAATAGAACGAAAAACATACATACAAGGTGAGTAATCCCGAAAAACAGTGAATAATTTATTTATCAATGGGGATGCCGTCAACTGCAATTGGGCTTGTGCATCTCGAATGTTCTTGACCCAAATGCGGAAAATCGATTTTAAAGTTCTAGAAACCAAGTGATGCAAGATGTTTGCATTTTTAACACAATACACGATTCTTTTATTGCTTAAATGATTTTTGCCGCTTTTTTCAAAGGTGACTCAACGTGCACATTCGCAGCTAAAATGCCGGTTATTTTTTTTTTGCTAGAGAAAATTCTAGAAGTTCTTCTTGAAGAGCATGAATTAAACAGGCTTCCAAATAGGCTGGTCAATTATAAATTACTTTCTTTAATTAACCCTTACACGTGCTTTACTTGCATTTGCATTTACAGTTTGCACATGCCACACAAACACATGAAAGCTGATGACCAATACTTGCACATAAAATTGTGGCGTCAGTCCGCGAAAAATCATGATAACATCATGTTTTCTATGCTATTTGTTTCATTTTAACTGTGGTTGCCAGGGAGATTACTTTTTCTTGGATTTCTAGATGCTTCCAATTACTAACTTGGTTATGTACGAATTTTCAATGTGCAATGCTCTCACACATACATATACATTTTCGCTGGCACGTGTACATATATACAGTGGGGGTAGGAAAAATAGCAATCAACTTAAATAATACTAGATTTGTATATATATTTTTAGTTTTTTCACCCTGAACTCTATTTAATTTCGATATCTGAATTTGCGACGCAGAAATTTCTGGAACGCAAAGGACGCTCTTGGCTCCAACTCATTTAAAGTAATTAGAAAAGGAAGAAAGAAGTACCATTATAATAACTAACTAAATGCTAAATTGAGCCTAAAGTTTTTATAGTCCATTTACTTTCGCTTTCTAAATTTGCGACGCGGAAATTTCTGGATCCTCTTTGCTCAAATGCTTTTTAAATATTTAGATAAGAAGACAAGTGAGAAATTAGCATATAATTAACAAACCAAAGTATTAACCACTAAATTTATTCTAAATAAATCAAGACTAAAGTTTTATTTTGAGTGCTATTACTTTGACCCCCATTGTGCTCGTATATGCGCATGTTAAATGAGCCATGTGCAAAAGAGAATGATGAGAGAGGGGAGAAAAAGAACAAAGCGAAGTGCAGCTGCCAAAAATGCAGCTGCTTTTTCTCAAATTTCCACCCACCGACTTAAACTAATCCATCCTATTGATCTAATCCCTTCCAGATGCCTGAGGAAACAGAGACCTTCGCCTTCCAGGCTGAGATCGCTCAGCTGATGTCCCTGATCATCAACACATTCTACTCGAACAAGGAGATCTTCCTGCGAGAGTTGATCTCGAACGCCTCCGATGCTCTGGACAAGATCCGCTACGAGTCCCTGACGGATCCCAGCAAGCTGGACTCCGGCAAGGAGCTCTACATCAAGTTGATCCCCAACAAGACGGCCGGCACACTGACCATCATCGATACCGGTATCGGTATGACCAAGTCCGACCTGGTCAACAACTTGGGAACCATCGCCAAGTCGGGAACCAAGGCTTTCATGGAGGCCCTGCAGGCCGGTGCCGATATTTCCATGATTGGACAGTTCGGTGTGGGTTTCTACTCCGCCTACCTGGTGGCCGACAAGGTGACCGTCACCTCGAAGAACAACGATGATGAGCAGTACGTGTGGGAGTCCTCTGCCGGAGGTTCCTTCACCGTCCGTGCCGACGACTCTGAGCCCCTGGGCCGCGGCACCAAGATCGTGCTGTACATCAAGGAGGACCAGACCGACTATCTGGAGGAGAGCAAGATCAAGGAGATTGTCAACAAGCACTCCCAGTTCATTGGCTACCCCATCAAGCTGCTCGTGGAGAAGGAGCGCGAGAAGGAGGTCAGCGACGATGAGGCTGATGATGAGAAGAAGGAGGGTGATGAGGAGAAGAAGGAGATGGACACCGATGAGCCCAAGATCGAGGATGTTGGCGAGGATGAGGATGCCGACAAGAAGGACAAGGATTCCAAAAAGAAGAAGACCATCAAGGAGAAGTACACCGAGGATGAGGAGCTGAACAAGACCAAGCCCATCTGGACCCGCAACCCCGATGATATCTCCCAGGAGGAGTACGGCGAGTTCTACAAGTCCCTGACCAACGACTGGGAGGACCATCTAGCCGTCAAGCACTTCTCCGTGGAGGGACAGCTGGAGTTCCGTGCTCTGCTCTTCATCCCCCGTCGCACGCCCTTCGATCTCTTCGAGAACCAGAAGAAGCGCAACAACATCAAGCTGTACGTGCGTCGTGTCTTCATCATGGACAACTGCGAGGACCTCATCCCCGAGTACTTGAACTTCATCAAGGGTGTGGTCGATTCTGAGGATCTGCCCCTCAACATCTCGCGTGAGATGCTGCAGCAGAACAAGGTGCTGAAGGTGATCCGCAAGAACCTGGTCAAGAAGACCATGGAGCTGATTGAGGAGCTTACCGAGGACAAGGAGAACTACAAGAAGTTCTACGACCAGTTCAGCAAGAACCTGAAGTTGGGCGTGCACGAGGACAGCAACAACCGCGCCAAGTTGGCCGACTTCCTGCGCTTCCACACCTCCGCCTCCGGCGATGACTTCTGCTCCCTGTCCGACTACGTGTCCCGCATGAAGGAGAACCAGAAGCACATCTACTTCATCACCGGCGAGTCCAAGGACCAGGTCAGCAACTCTGCCTTCGTGGAGCGCGTCAAGGTCCGTGGCTTCGAGGTGGTCTACATGACCGAGCCCATCGATGAGTACGTCATCCAGCACTTGAAGGAGTACAAGGGCAAGCAGCTGGTCTCCGTCACCAAGGAGGGTCTGGAGCTGCCCGAGGATGAGAACGAGAAGAAGAAGCGCGAGGAGGACAAGGCCAAGTTCGAGAGCCTGTGCAAGCTGATGAAGTCCATTCTGGACAACAAGGTCGAGAAGGTTGTCGTGTCCAACCGTCTGGTTGACTCGCCCTGCTGCATCGTCACCTCGCAGTTCGGCTGGTCCGCCAACATGGAGCGCATCATGAAGGCCCAGGCTCTGCGTGATACCGCCACCATGGGCTACATGGCCGGCAAGAAGCAGCTGGAGATCAACCCCGACCATCCAATCGTGGAGACTCTGCGCCAGAAGGCCGATGCCGACAAGAACGACAAGGCTGTTAAGGATCTGGTCATCCTGCTGTTCGAGACCTCTCTGCTGTCCTCTGGATTCTCCCTGGACAGTCCCCAGGTGCACGCCAGCCGCATCTACCGCATGATCAAGCTGGGTCTGGGCATCGATGAGGATGAGCCCATGACCACCGAGGATGCCCAGAGCGCCGGAGATGCTCCCTCGCTGGTTGAGGACACCGAAGACGCTTCTCACATGGAGGAGGTCGATTAAGCGACCAAACAAAAGGCCAAGCTAAAACATAACAAAACAAACCAACCAAAATTCATTCTATCACTCGCATTCACATACACAATTTACTTGCGTTTCGAACTTTTGTACTTAGTTTACTACGGCCGAGTTAAATTTTGTATCCCCATTAACCTTTTGCCGCGTTGTATGCGACAAAAAAACATACGCTTAACTCATACATATAAACACAAACAAGAATAACTCTTAAAATGGTTAGGTTCCCGCAAAACATTCAAATGCAGTTGTCGTTTTAAGAACTTCTAATTTAGAATCCAAGTAATTTATGTATAAAAACTAAAGACTACATACGCGCTCTAGTTGATATAGCTATATAAAGAATGGAGTATATGTATAATTAAGGTTTGATGACCCGATCGATGATAAACATTAAAAAAAAAAAACAAACCAACCAAATAAACAAGCAAATGTGTTTTAAAATTCAAATTACGGATGAGTATTTATTGGGGGAAAGGTGTCATCTATGAATCGGATTCTTTGCGGAGCAGCTGTTCAATGGCCTCCACTGTGGACACTCCCTTGCTGATCAGTATAATCTTGTTGCGGGATCGGGATCCCTTGTCCAGGGAAACGTCGCTTTTTCGCAGGCCGAGAACTTTGGACAGGAACTTGACCAGTTCCGCGTTGGCTTCTCCCTCGCTGGGTGGCGCGGCTATTTGGACGCCCACGCCCTCGAGGCCGATTCCGGTGATACCATTCTGCTTGGCACCCGGCTTGGCCAGAATTTGTATGCATATATTGCCGCTCTTGTCCACTGTAATCGGGCTGGTTTCCTTAGCCGGCGTGGATTTCTCATCGGTTTTAGCTTTTTCACCGGTGGTCTTTGATTTCCCCTTGTTCTTCGACATTATTTGGGCGTTGACCGATGTGAACACGCGGCGCATGAACTTTATGTTAATTATCTTATTTAATTTCTATATATAAATGCATTTTATTGGGAGTTTTTAGTTTAATTCGCGAAGTCTTGGGCGTCAGTCAGCTGTTTTTGGGTGAATCCAGGGATGAAGTAAAAGTAGGGATGAGCGGAACTCGTGAGAGAAAACCAGTATTTTAATAACGGTTTTTTTTACTAAATGGAAATATTTTGAATTTAATTATAAACGAGATCTTGCTGAAGATCTATTTAAACAGATTCTTAAAATCCTTTACCTTTAGTGGGGAAGTAAATCATATTTTCTTTACCCTCTATCAATCTTATATCATTAGCATTCCCACGTTTTTGAAAAACCCCAACAGAGTAAAACATTTGGTTAGGTAAAAAATTATCATATATTCATCATTGTTATGTACTCATAGTTTCTTCTCTACTCGTCTTTGCATTAGAAAACAACGCTTTAACACTTTGCACTATTTAAAACTGCATCGAGAAGCATCTTAAAAATGCATTTATCGCCTATAAAATGATCAGGATCATAGTTGAGTGTTGTTGTGAGTGTTTAGGAGAGAATTGCAGGAATGCACATTGCAGAGCTTACAGTTAAATTAATTAATGCAAAAGGCGTTAAGTGGACTTAAATTTTGTATGTGTTTTATAAGAGTAGATATTGCAGACACGAAAATAAACTGTGTAAAGCCAAGTTATTTCGGGTCATCCTCTGGTTGCACATGTTTCCGGGCGGGGACTATTCAGCTAGAGCTAGGAAGGGTGTTCTGGAAAGGCTTTGGGAGTAGCAAGTGGAGGATCCGGAAGGGTCTATTATCTTCCTCCAGATGCGGCTGCTTTATGTGTGTTATTATGATTGTGTTTCCTTCCTTACGCGGCGCGTATCGACTGAATGATCTGGAAAATGGCCGAGCCGCAGACCACGAAGATGAAAAGCGCCAGGAGCCAAGGTCCCACAGGATATTGGCCCTCTTTCGTTTTCTGCGAATAAATAGAAACACAGATTAGCCTTGACTTCTGGGGTGGTGAATATATATGGTATGTTGCAGTTGGTGATTAGTGGAAAACGTCTAATCAGAACTTCGAGAAGTGCCGATAACACCCTCACACACACACAGACCAGCTTCCTCCGCACACGCACACAAACATACATACATTACCAATAATAAAATCAATGACGGCGTGGCACTTTTGGCCATTGATTATCGTCCAATTCAGTTTTTACTTAAGTGTTATCTATGTTTTCCCTTAATCATCTATGTCTTAACTGCCCTTTTGAGACGAAACTTACCGAGGATTTGGGTACATTGCCACGCATTGTCACATATTTGCTGGCCTTCTCGTTGGCGACGCGCATTCTCTGTGGAGGAGCCATTTTCTGTGTTGTTGTTGTGGAGCACACGTCGCACTGAAAATCGCAATGGAATTGATAGGATGAGTAATTAGTTGTCAATTGTTTGGGCTCAGCTTGCGTGCAACTTAAAATGGCACAGGCTGGTGCTTTTTATGCCCAGGAGAACACTCGTACCTTTTCAGCCAAAAATAACAAAACGAATGTGAAAGCGACGACGACACGTATACTGCCAGGGCTGCACGAGCAGGGCTGCAATCGGCGGTTGTCATAGACAAGGTATTCCTGAATTTCCTATTTTATTTAACACCAAGGTATATTAATTCTGTTATCAGAAATATCATAAAGAATGTACATATTAACATTACATAATTAATTTTAACGCTTATTTTACAATTTAGTTCTTTAAATAAATCGGACTACCAGTAGCAAGCTCAATACAGGAATGAATATTAGAATATTAAATGATTTAAAGTTTTTACTACAAATTTAATTAAGTGATAACTCAATTTAATTTATTTTATAATAAGGTTTCAGATCGTGGATTCCATTTTTTCGAGATTTATTTCTCTAGCTATTTAACTAGCTACTTTTGACCGTACACCGCACGGTCATACTCAGACCAACACCCGTCGATAGTTCTCTTCTCTTTCAGAAGTAAAGGTCGATTTTGAAAACATCGATGACATGACATCGATGTTACCCCACCTCTACCGAGGACAACGTAGCGTAGCTGGAGAAGATCGCCGTCAATTGCAGCAGGAGCTGGAGAGGAGTGGCCGTTGGTGACGCACAGATCGATCTCATCCAATTCTGAGCAGGAGCGGCCGGAACCATGTCGATGGACGCCACCGCCCTGCCGTCGGAGCTCCTCGTGACCCCGCAGCCGCTGATTGGCTTCTGTGGACTGGACACCGCTCGGGTGGCGGTTCACAAGGCTGTTTGGGAGGCGTTCAGCGGCAGTTTGCAGCGCAAGGCCGCTGACAGGGCGGCCGTGCAGTACAAGCTGCTGCCCCCCAACTACGAGTTTCCCGTGGCCAAGCCCAAACGGGCCTCCTACGAGTGGTACCACCCGAAGGGCATACTCAAGCGCAACTGGATGCTCAAGCACCTGCACGTCCTGCCCTCGGTGGTGGTGCTGTTTCAGGACATGGAGTGGAACGACCTCCAGTGGACGGAGAAACAGGTGCAGTGTGCGGCTATTGTGCAGGCACTGAAGAACGCCTTGCAGGAGCGGAATACTCGGCTGTGTCTGGTGCTGCTGCAGAGGGCAGCGCCACTTCCACCTGGCGAAGATCTCCTGGCAGCAGAACGAGCCGCTAGTCTCACCAACGCTTGTGGAATAACCAGTAAGATGCTCTTCATACTCCCGCACACGGAGCACCTCACGGGCTACGCCCTGCGGCTGGAGTCCGCCTTCCTGGACATGGCCCAGTCCTACTACGCTCTCATGTCCAAGCGGATTCGTAACCATAGGGATCAGCTGACAGCGGCGCACGCCACGCTTAAGATTCGCCACCAGTTCAAGCTGGGATTCGTGGCGGAAATGCGGCAGGACTTTAGCACTGGTCAAAAGTAGGTCCCTATTCGAATTTTAACTATGATATTCCTAATTGTGTGTTCCTTTGCAGGCACTATTTCCAGGCCTATGCCAATCTGGACGAGATACGTATGAATGACGGCAACTGCTTGGAGATTAAAACTATGTCCGGGTTTTTGAACTACAAGATCTGCCGGCTTATGTTTAAGCTAAAGACTCCGAGGGATGCCATTAACCAGTTCATCATCCATGTGGAGAAGTACAAGTCTCGAGTGGGTTTCAAGGATCTAGCCTTTGAGCACCATGCCTGGCTAAGCACGCAGTAATGTCTGGTGTACTCCTTTAGAGATCATTATTAACATAACCAAATTTGATTGTAGACATTCTGTTTTCGCTGAACTGTTTTGCGAGGCCATCAAGAACGGCCTGCCCGCCCTGCAGACGCAGCACCCCGGAATCTATTACCACAAGGCAGCTGAATATGTGATGAAGCGGCGTGATGCAGCCCAGGAGGCGTACGCAGCAATGCAATCATCCGCAGAGGCCACGCCCGTGCCGAATCAGAGCCCTTTGTCCCTGTACACAGAGTTCTTTGGCATCCGGGCAGTTAAGACGGGCGATCTAGTGGCCGAGCAACAGGCCAATACGCAGCTTTGTGATCAGGAGCGCGGCTATAACCACTCGTCGGGTATCATAGCCCTGCTCAGCCAGGCCATGGCCCAGTTCAAAATCTACAAGTGCCTCAGGTTTCGCAAGAAATTAGCAATTGACATGGCCGAGGAGTACCTGAAGAGCGGGGATCATGCCAAGGCCTTGACGTGAGCTTATATTTTATCCGTTACATTAGAAGAATACTGATTTAATCTGTTTCTTACTTCAGTTTGTATTCCCTTATGCTGCCTGATTATCGCCAGGAGAAGTGGTCCACGATATTCACCGATGTTCTGCTGAAGACACTTCGATGTGCGCTGCTCTCGGCATCCGTAGCCGACTATATCGCGTGCAGTGTTGAGGCGTTGTCCTTGCGACATCATGGCGAGCAGGCGGAGCGGATCCTGCTGATGGAGAACCTGTGGCAGGTGTTCCAAGGTGTGCCACCCATGCCAAAAACGCAACTGGCGCCCGAGGCGCAGGCGTTGTGGACCAGTGCGCTGGCAAGCATGAAATCGCCCATTCAAATTGATTTAGATAAGGTCAGCGATGTGGTGGAAATGTGTGCCACATTCGAGCGAGTTCAGCTAAACAACGACGACTTGCTGCAGCTGCAACTGATAGTGCGGTAAGTTTTGTTATCGGCACTCCTTCTATAAAGAAATTTCCTATAAGTATCATTGTTTTAGGGTGCTCACGGATGTGCCGTTGAGGGTGCGCAACTTCCATGTCATTCTAGCCGATGCGGCTAATCCGCAGAACAGCTACAAACTGGAGGCACTCAAGTATTTCTGCTTTCCCAGCCTCACGCAACTGCGTGGCCAAAAGCAGCCTCAGGAACAGCCACGCCAGGAGCCCAAGAATTTTGAAAAGAACATGAGATTGGAGCCCGGCTCCTACTACCAGCTGTTCTGCAGCACCGAAGCGCAGCAGTTCCATGAGAACACCCAGCTGCGCATCGTTCGCCTAGAGGCCCACATGGGCACTGACCAGGTGGCCGCTCTACTCACGTGCAGCTCCAACTACTCACGCCAGCTGTTTCGCCATCACACGCGCAGCCGCGATCTGGATGACAACGTGACGATCAATCCCATTTGCTACATTGCGCCCACGTAGGTCAAAGCGATTCGTACCGGAAGCAGAGACATATTTCCGGATAATTGCATGCAACCAGCGCATTTAATGCTCTACTAAGCACGGTTTTCTATTCCAGCTTTCATCTTGACACGCAAACGAACCTTGGCCATGGACATGACAACGGCTCGGATGAGGAAACGACGGCGGTGGCTACGAGAATGCTGGTCAACGAGTACTATCCCGTTGTGACCACCGTCAGCAATCCGTACAATGTGTATCTTCAGAATGTGGGCGTACACATCTGTGTTCCCGTCGGTCTGAGAAATAGTGGTAAGTAATTTTTATGATATATACTTAAAATAATCATATATTTATTGGGAACTTTTCTTCTAAACATTGTCAATTTTCTAATTACTTACGGTTACGCCTAAAGCATCTAAAACTTGTACTATATTTTGGGTTCACATGCCCAAAGCCTTGTCGATGAAGCTCCTAACAGTCTTGACATTCGTATAGACTCCAGGTGAATTTTTTCTTGCACAGCCCACGCCCCACGAGACTATTCCGCAGAGTTGACCCTGATAGACGGCCGGTCCTCCGGAGTCTCCCTCGCAGGCATCCTTTACCCCGGGCACCGAGGCGCAGAACATGGTGTTGGTAATAGTTCCACGCAGCTTATACTGGTTCATGCAGGTCTTTCGGGGAATGAGAGCCACGTCCACGCTGCGCACCTGCATTGAAACCGCTTTGTTGCGCTCCGTGATTTGTCCCCAGCCGGAGACCTTGATCATGTCACCTGCCTTAAAGGTGGAATTGCATAGCTCAATGGTTGACACTTTGGGACCACTGATGGGGGCTTTAAGCTTAAGAACAGCCACGTCTGTGCTAAGGGTTTGGGTGTTGTAGGCCTTTGGGGTGTAAACCTTGTCCACGCCACTCCGTACACCAGTTTCCGTAAGTTTTGTGACTCCGGCAACGACTAGAATACGAGAAGCACCCACTCCCTTGACGCAATGGGCGGCGGTGACGACATGCTGCGGGGTGACCAAGGAACCACCGCATATAAACCTCCCAGCGATGCGCAGGTTCACTAGGTAGGGCACATTGCCAATATCCACTGGGACACCGCCCACAATTCGACTGTTGGCCTCGTTGCCGGCCGCCCAGCAAAGTGGGAACAGGTGGAGCAAGAGCCACAGCCACAGCGTCGCCATCGGCTCACTCCATCCTACGATATTTGCCCTATCCGGTAGCAGTAACTACCAACCGAGTTTCCGAGTCGCTGGCCACCTGTGTAAACACCTTTTCAATTGCTGTTCCGACTCGAATCGCGCGGCTCGGTGCTCCGATTTATATGCCTTTTAGGAAACAATCATTACACAGCACACATATTATTTTATTGCGCAAATAATAATTATTTTAATCAACCATTTTGTGTGGCTTATCGTTGGATTACATCGGGGTTTTTGGTATGAGAAATTGAAACCCCACAAAAATTGCTATGGAATGGGACTTTTGTGTCGGTGTTCTAGACCTTTTTATTGACCTTGTTTCAGTCGTTCATCAGATTCCACAAATTAGTTGATTGAATAATTGTCTATTGATCTCGATTCCTTGTTCCTCGTGCCATTAGAGTTTCATCTTTATACATAGATAGGATTTCTGTTGGAAAAGTTCATACCATAGACTAAGATCAGAAAAAATACTAGGATGAGATGTTGATCAAAATAAGGTATCTTTATTCTTCAGATTGTAAAGAATTGTAGAAATTCCATTATATCTAGTTCCTAATCCTCTGTAGAGTTTGCTCTATAAAAGCATAAACCCTTCCACTAGCCACGTTGGTGTAAACACCCGGAAAAGCTGGACGGGCACAGCCGAATCCCCAGGACACAATGCCACAAACCTGTCCGCGGTAGACCAAAGGACCGCCTGAATCGCCGGAGCAGGAATCCCGGACACCACGCACGGCGGCACAGAGCATGGAGTCGCTTAGTTGGGCAAACACGGAGTAAGACAGCTGGCATTCCGCGCCCGGCAGCACTCTCACCATGGCCGTTCGGACCTGTTCAGCAGGATCACGGTTATTCTCGCGGGTCACTCCCCAACCACTAATCCTGGCATATGCATTGGCCTCCGGCGCATTGCGACAAGGAGTAATGGTGGCAACTTTACCCGGAATAAGAAGTACAGGCTCCTGCAGTTGCAACAAAGCTACGTCCATGTCGAAATTGGTGGCAGAGTAGCTGGGCGAAGTGTGGAACATGGCTATATTGCGAACCACGGGAGCACCTTCATCCAACCGACTGGCGCCGGCATGGATGGTGTAATCCTCTGGCTGGGACCCATACACACAATGCGCTGCACTGAGCACCACGCTGGTGGAGATCAGCGATCCACCGCATATAAAATAACCATTCTGGCGCAGATTAACCAGGTATGGAACCTGGGAAATAGTTGTCTCCTTGCCGCCCACTATGCGAGTTTGGCTGGAGGAACCAAAAGTCAACTGGCAGAGCCACCAGAGCAACCACAGGCCAGCCATGGCGTGTCCAGACTGATAGCTACTATGTATATTGCTGTATAGCTTGGAAAGTGATAATGATGCTGCCCGGAAATTGGTTCACACGATCTGTGCATTATTTGGAATTCCGGAAGAGATTTAAAATGTAATACCCCTCTATAGTATAAATGGCATATTAACCTTTTTATTGGGTTAAAGGTTGAACAAAATGATTGATGAATCACCAGCAATTTTGGTCCATGAAGCTCTTTAGCCAGTACGTAATGGATGGACTGCTGAGGCGAGTGTAGACACCTGGATAACCACTGCCACAGCCATAGCCCCAGGAAACGATGCCCACGGAGCGGCCAGCGTGGATGATGGGACCTCCGGAGTCACCCTGGCAGGCGTCTTTGGCATTTTCCCCCAGAGCACAAAACATATTGTTCGTAACTCGTTGTTGACCCGAGTCCATGGATTTGATGCACTGCTCCTGCGGGATAAGCTCAACTTTGGCTTCCTGCAGGCATTGATTCCAGTTGTGACCTTGCTCGTTGACCGATCCCCAACCCATCACCGTCAGATTGGCCTTCCACGGCAGATCGTTAAAGTCGATCCTCACCAGACTCGCATTGCCGGCGATGTCAAAGGGGCGACTCAACCGGATCACAGCCACATCGGCGTCCAGACCGCGCTGAGAGCAGTAATGTGGCGATAAGCCCACATACCAGGCCGGACGCACATGCTCCGGCGGCGTCGCATCGCCCAAGCACTGTTGTTGTGCATGGATGGTCAAATCCCTAACATGTCGATGCCTTCCCTCCAAGCAATGAGCCGCTGTGAGAACACAGCTGGGCGAGATTAGGACGCCACCACAGCGGAATTTTCCACCACGCCGAAGATTGACCAGAAATGAATGATCCCTTACTGGCACTGTATATCCTCCGAAGATCTTACCCAATCGACGAGTGGTGGAGGAACTCCCATCCAGTTGATGGATCAGTGCTAGTCCAAAGAGGAGTTTTAACATGGTCTACGGAACTCTAACCGAAATAAGAAGCTTATATATTTTCGATTATACCTTCCTGCATTCCCCAGTTAATTGCCTTTAGATAAACTTGAACTATTTATTGACCTTAAAATCTAGGGCTTAAGATTACGCTCAGGAATTCTGTTGCACGGTGCGCAGAAACCACTCTCGGATCACAGGCACACTAGTGTAGACACCAGGCAGAGCTGAGGCACATCCGTAGCCATAGGAAACGATCCCCGCCAGCTCTCCACTATGCACTAAAGGTCCTCCCGAGTCGCCATCACAGGAATCCTTTGTGTACGGCTTGGCGGCACACATCATGGAGCGGGTGATCCGGTGGATTCCCTTATACGCAGACACACACGCGGATCGCGACCACACGGGCACCATGACACTGTGCACCCGCTTCGCCGTTTCGGTGGCATCGGCAGCTAATAAACCCCAACCGGAGACTTTAACCAAGACGCGAGCTGGAACGGATGTGGAGGCCAAAGCGATCGTCTCTATATTGGCTCCAGTCATATCCGAAGTCAGGCGCAAGGCAGCCACATCCATGTTGAGGGTTTTGCGATTGAAAGCTGGATGAACGGTCATGAAATCTACCCTGCGCATAATGGCATATGGACCACCCTGATCGGAGGCACCTCCATAAATCTTGAACTCATTCTTGTTCTGCCTGTAAACGCAGTGTGCCGCAGAGATCACCCAACGGGGTTTGATCAGCGATCCTCCGCAGAGCTCCGTGTTGGTGGTGACCTGTACGAGGTACTTCTCCTGCTTGATGCTGGACACCTGACCACCAATGATGCGGGGCTGGATCTCCTCGCTGTCGTTAAAAAAGGCGGAAACCGATGAGAATCCCAGAATTGGGATAAAAAGCAGCAACAGCGAGGGCATACTCCGGGCAATCATTGTGGCTATCCAACTAGACTGAATCGAAGCTAGAACATGAGTTTATATCAAGAAAATCTGGGCGGAACAAGACTTCAACATTTGCACAATTGTTCAATCAACCAACTTTGCCGGGAAATCAATCTCGGAAACAAAAATATAGAACGGAAACGTTTACACTTCCATTAAATTTAATCCTATATATAACAAAGAGTTAGGGAGGGGAATCGATTTTTCGGTGATTCAATAGAAAGAACTTGTTAAGGTTTAAACAAGATTATAACAAGATTACCATTCGAAACGTAATGTTTATTCATGGCAAACAATCATGTTAAATTTTAAAATGTTTACTTTTAACGCTAACAAAATGTTCAAGAGTCCTATACAAACTTCTTATCTTATGACATAATTAAAATAATAATATTTTAAATTATTTTGTGATCCTTAACCTGAAAGCTGTACACCAGCAGATTAATTTTAGTTAGAAGGCTAAAGTTCTCTGACTGCAAAAAAGCGTTGAAAAACAATCATGAACAACGGCCTACATTCTCAAGTTGTTTATATTTTCTCATAAAGGTTTTCAGCGGAATTCACTAAAGTTCTATTGACAGAAGAGTGTTTATTTCTAATGTCTTATTGCGCTCTATTGTTCAAAAATATTTATTTATATTGTCCATAGTCAAGGCTAAAAGTTTCCTGCGTCAAGAGTTTGGATTCTCTAAACCAAATGATATTATGAACTTATTTGCCATTCCGCGTTTGTGATATCTCTTTTAATTCCCACATTGCCAAAAGTTTTTTGAGATCGTTTTTAAATAACAAATATTTATTAAATCATAGTAACTAACGACCTTAAGATCTAGTTTAGTAAGATTATATTGCTCAGTCTTGCGATGCCTAATTATTGGCCATAACCCTGTTGGCCCATTGGCGGATCGCGGAGACGTCTGTGTAGACGCCAGGATATCCGGGTCTGGCACATCCGTAACCGAAGGACACTATGCCCACCAGGACATTGTTCCTGGTCACCGGACCACCGGAATCTCCACTGCAGGCATCCTTCCCAGCAGCGCGGGCACAGATCATAAACTTGGTGATGGTCGCCCTACCGCGGTAATTCAATCGACACTTCTTCTGCCTGACCACTCTGACCTGGGCGGCCTCCAGAGTTTGGGAAGCCGTAGTGCCACTTTCCCTAGTTATTCCCCATCCCGCAATCCTTACGTTTGCACCAGCCTTGGGTCGCGAAGTGGCCATGGATATGGTTCCTATATTTGTGCCCGTTAGGGTTTCGTTTAGTTTCAGTAGCGCTGCATCCATGTTCATTTTATTCGTAGTAAACTTGGGCGCCACGTGGATAGATTCGACGGAGCGGGTGATGCCATCGCTGCCATCCAAAGTGCTGGTTCCAGCGCGAACCGTGAAATCGGAGGCACTGTGTCCTTTGACACAATGGGCGGCGGTTATGACCCAGCTTTCGGTGAGGAGCGAACCCCCACACAGATTCGATCCCCGACGCAATTGGACAATATAGGGAGCGGTGGAAACCGAGGTGGAGGTGCCACCCACAATCCTTGATTCAATCTTGGCCGGAGTTGCGGTCTTCTTGTTTTGATTCACCTTCTTGGTGGAGACTTTCCGGCTGTTTCCGGCTTGTTTTCTCCTGGTCGCTAGTTTGTTTCCACTAGCATTTCTGAGTCGCCTGTTTTTCCTTTGATTCCTGGCAACCGCCGTTTCACCCAGATCGGTGAGCTCTGCCAGGAGCAACATGGCCAATATAAAATAATCCCACCGCCAAAGCATCTCGCTGTGAACTGTTACGATTTTGACCTTTCCCCGTCTTTTATGGCCGGATATTCGGCAAAAACATTAAGAAACCACCTGAGCAAACACATCGGGTCACAATGGAAGTGGTAGTGCCCACTTCAATGGCATTTTTCCGGCTCCAGGTGACGTCAACGATCAGGGTTAACCAATCTAATACTGATTAATACAGATTCGAAGCAGATCTAGCAATACCGGCGCATATTATCGATTATCCAGTCGGATAGGTAACTGACATCGGAGTAAACCCCGGGACTATTTGCTGCGGCACAGCGATTGGCCCTGCCCCATGAGACGACGCCCACGAGGAAACCATGGGCGTTGACCACCGGTCCCCCGGAATCGGCGGCACAGGCATCCTTCAAGCCCGGAATCGATGCACAGAACATGCTGGCCGTAATATTCCGATAGCCACGATATAAATCCCGACACTCCCACTGTGGCATTACTCGCACATGGACGCTGTGGAGCTGATTGGGCAGCGATGTGGAGCTGTCGTCGGTTAGTCCCCAGCCGGAAACCCGGACAAAAGACCCAGGGCGAGGAGAATTCACAGCCAAGGAAATGGGTCGAGCAACGGAGGCCTGGAGCGGATGCTGCAGCTGCAGGAGAGCCACATCGTGGTCCAAAGTGGTGCGACTACCACTCCCTTGACGCAATGGGCGGCGGTGACGACATGCTGCGGGGTGACCAAGGAACCACCGCATATAAACCTCCCAGCGATGCGCAGGTTCACTAGGTAGGGCACATTGCCAATATCCACTGGGACACCGCCCACAATTCGACTGTTGGCCTCGTTGCCGGCCGCCCAGCAAAGTGGGAACAGGTGGAGCAAGAGCCACAGCCACAGCGTCGCCATCGGCTCACTCCATCCTACGATATTTGCCCTATCCGGTAGCAGTAACTACCAACCGAGTTTCCGAGTCGCTGGCCACCTGTGTAAACACCTTTTCAATTGCTGTTCCGACTCGAATCGCGCGGCTCGGTGCTCCGATTTATATGCCTTTTAGGAAACAATCATTACACAGCACACATATTATTTTATTGCGCAAATAATAATTATTTTAATCAACCATTTTGTGTGGCTTATCGTTGGATTACATCGGGGTTTTTGGTATGAGAAATTGAAACCCCACAAAAATTGCTATGGAATGGGACTTTTGTGTCGGTGTTCTAGACCTTTTTATTGACCTTGTTTCAGTCGTTCATCAGATTCCACAAATTAGTTGATTGAATAATTGTCTATTGATCTCGATTCCTTGTTCCTCGTGCCATTAGAGTTTCATCTTTATACATAGATAGGATTTCTGTTGGAAAAGTTCATACCATAGACTAAGATCAGAAAAAATACTAGGATGAGATGTTGATCAAAATAAGGTATCTTTATTCTTCAGATTGTAAAGAATTGTAGAAATTCCATTATATCTAGTTCCTAATCCTCTGTAGAGTTTGCTCTATAAAAGCATAAACCCTTCCACTAGCCACGTTGGTGTAAACACCCGGAAAAGCTGGACGGGCACAGCCGAATCCCCAGGACACAATGCCACAAACCTGTCCGCGGTAGACCAAAGGACCGCCTGAATCGCCGGAGCAGGAATCCCGGACACCACGCACGGCGGCACAGAGCATGGAGTCGCTTAGTTGGGCAAACACGGAGTAAGACAGCTGGCATTCCGCGCCCGGCAGCACTCTCACCATGGCCGTTCGGACCTGTTCAGCAGGATCACGGTTATTCTCGCGGGTCACTCCCCAACCACTAATCCTGGCATATGCATTGGCCTCCGGCGCATTGCGACAAGGAGTAATGGTGGCAACTTTACCCGGAATAAGAAGTACAGGCTCCTGCAGTTGCAACAAAGCTACGTCCATGTCGAAATTGGTGGCAGAGTAGCTGGGCGAAGTGTGGAACATGGCTATATTGCGAACCACGGGAGCACCTTCATCCAACCGACTGGCGCCGGCATGGATGGTGTAATCCTCTGGCTGGGACCCATACACACAATGCGCTGCACTGAGCACCACGCTGGTGGAGATCAGCGATCCACCGCATATAAAATAACCATTCTGGCGCAGATTAACCAGGTATGGAACCTGGGAAATAGTTGTCTCCTTGCCGCCCACTATGCGAGTTTGGCTGGAGGAACCAAAAGTCAACTGGCAGAGCCACCAGAGCAACCACAGGCCAGCCATGGCGTGTCCAGACTGATAGCTACTATGTATATTGCTGTATAGCTTGGAAAGTGATAATGATGCTGCCCGGAAATTGGTTCACACGATCTGTGCATTATTTGGAATTCCGGAAGAGATTTAAAATGTAATACCCCTCTATAGTATAAATGGCATATTAACCTTTTTATTGGGTTAAAGGTTGAACAAAATGATTGATGAATCACCAGCAATTTTGGTCCATGAAGCTCTTTAGCCAGTACGTAATGGATGGACTGCTGAGGCGAGTGTAGACACCTGGATAACCACTGCCACAGCCATAGCCCCAGGAAACGATGCCCACGGAGCGGCCAGCGTGGATGATGGGACCTCCGGAGTCACCCTGGCAGGCGTCTTTGGCATTTTCCCCCAGAGCACAAAACATATTGTTCGTAACTCGTTGTTGACCCGAGTCCATGGATTTGATGCACTGCTCCTGCGGGATAAGCTCAACTTTGGCTTCCTGCAGGCATTGATTCCAGTTGTGACCTTGCTCGTTGACCGATCCCCAACCCATCACCGTCAGATTGGCCTTCCACGGCAGATCGTTAAAGTCGATCCTCACCAGACTCGCATTGCCGGCGATGTCAAAGGGGCGACTCAACCGGATCACAGCCACATCGGCGTCCAGACCGCGCTGAGAGCAGTAATGTGGCGATAAGCCCACATACCAGGCCGGACGCACATGCTCCGGCGGCGTCGCATCGCCCAAGCACTGTTGTTGTGCATGGATGGTCAAATCCCTAACATGTCGATGCCTTCCCTCCAAGCAATGAGCCGCTGTGAGAACACAGCTGGGCGAGATTAGGACGCCACCACAGCGGAATTTTCCACCACGCCGAAGATTGACCAGAAATGAATGATCCCTTACTGGCACTGTATATCCTCCGAAGATCTTACCCAATCGACGAGTGGTGGAGGAACTCCCATCCAGTTGATGGATCAGTGCTAGTCCAAAGAGGAGTTTTAACATGGTCTACGGAACTCTAACCGAAATAAGAAGCTTATATATTTTCGATTATACCTTCCTGCATTCCCCAGTTAATTGCCTTTAGATAAACTTGAACTATTTATTGACCTTAAAATCTAGGGCTTAAGATTACGCTCAGGAATTCTGTTGCACGGTGCGCAGAAACCACTCTCGGATCACAGGCACACTAGTGTAGACACCAGGCAGAGCTGAGGCACATCCGTAGCCATAGGAAACGATCCCCGCCAGCTCTCCACTATGCACTAAAGGTCCTCCCGAGTCGCCATCACAGGAATCCTTTGTGTACGGCTTGGCGGCACACATCATGGAGCGGGTGATCCGGTGGATTCCCTTATACGCAGACACACACGCGGATCGCGACCACACGGGCACCATGACACTGTGCACCCGCTTCGCCGTTTCGGTGGCATCGGCAGCTAATAAACCCCAACCGGAGACTTTAACCAAGACGCGAGCTGGAACGGATGTGGAGGCCAAAGCGATCGTCTCTATATTGGCTCCAGTCATATCCGAAGTCAGGCGCAAGGCAGCCACATCCATGTTGAGGGTTTTGCGATTGAAAGCTGGATGAACGGTCATGAAATCTACCCTGCGCATAATGGCATATGGACCACCCTGATCGGAGGCACCTCCATAAATCTTGAACTCATTCTTGTTCTGCCTGTAAACGCAGTGTGCCGCAGAGATCACCCAACGGGGTTTGATCAGCGATCCTCCGCAGAGCTCCGTGTTGGTGGTGACCTGTACGAGGTACTTCTCCTGCTTGATGCTGGACACCTGACCACCAATGATGCGGGGCTGGATCTCCTCGCTGTCGTTAAAAAAGGCGGAAACCGATGAGAATCCCAGAATTGGGATAAAAAGCAGCAACAGCGAGGGCATACTCCGGGCAATCATTGTGGCTATCCAACTAGACTGAATCGAAGCTAGAACATGAGTTTATATCAAGAAAATCTGGGCGGAACAAGACTTCAACATTTGCACAATTGTTCAATCAACCAACTTTGCCGGGAAATCAATCTCGGAAACAAAAATATAGAACGGAAACGTTTACACTTCCATTAAATTTAATCCTATATATAACAAAGAGTTAGGGAGGGGAATCGATTTTTCGGTGATTCAATAGAAAGAACTTGTTAAGGTTTAAACAAGATTATAACAAGATTACCATTCGAAACGTAATGTTTATTCATGGCAAACAATCATGTTAAATTTTAAAATGTTTACTTTTAACGCTAACAAAATGTTCAAGAGTCCTATACAAACTTCTTATCTTATGACATAATTAAAATAATAATATTTTAAATTATTTTGTGATCCTTAACCTGAAAGCTGTACACCAGCAGATTAATTTTAGTTAGAAGGCTAAAGTTCTCTGACTGCAAAAAAGCGTTGAAAAACAATCATGAACAACGGCCTACATTCTCAAGTTGTTTATATTTTCTCATAAAGGTTTTCAGCGGAATTCACTAAAGTTCTATTGACAGAAGAGTGTTTATTTCTAATGTCTTATTGCGCTCTATTGTTCAAAAATATTTATTTATATTGTCCATAGTCAAGGCTAAAAGTTTCCTGCGTCAAGAGTTTGGATTCTCTAAACCAAATGATATTATGAACTTATTTGCCATTCCGCGTTTGTGATATCTCTTTTAATTCCCACATTGCCAAAAGTTTTTTGAGATCGTTTTTAAATAACAAATATTTATTAAATCATAGTAACTAACGACCTTAAGATCTAGTTTAGTAAGATTATATTGCTCAGTCTTGCGATGCCTAATTATTGGCCATAACCCTGTTGGCCCATTGGCGGATCGCGGAGACGTCTGTGTAGACGCCAGGATATCCGGGTCTGGCACATCCGTAACCGAAGGACACTATGCCCACCAGGACATTGTTCCTGGTCACCGGACCACCGGAATCTCCACTGCAGGCATCCTTCCCAGCAGCGCGGGCACAGATCATAAACTTGGTGATGGTCGCCCTACCGCGGTAATTCAATCGACACTTCTTCTGCCTGACCACTCTGACCTGGGCGGCCTCCAGAGTTTGGGAAGCCGTAGTGCCACTTTCCCTAGTTATTCCCCATCCCGCAATCCTTACGTTTGCACCAGCCTTGGGTCGCGAAGTGGCCATGGATATGGTTCCTATATTTGTGCCCGTTAGGGTTTCGTTTAGTTTCAGTAGCGCTGCATCCATGTTCATTTTATTCGTAGTAAACTTGGGCGCCACGTGGATAGATTCGACGGAGCGGGTGATGCCATCGCTGCCATCCAAAGTGCTGGTTCCAGCGCGAACCGTGAAATCGGAGGCACTGTGTCCTTTGACACAATGGGCGGCGGTTATGACCCAGCTTTCGGTGAGGAGCGAACCCCCACACAGATTCGATCCCCGACGCAATTGGACAATATAGGGAGCGGTGGAAACCGAGGTGGAGGTGCCACCCACAATCCTTGATTCAATCTTGGCCGGAGTTGCGGTCTTCTTGTTTTGATTCACCTTCTTGGTGGAGACTTTCCGGCTGTTTCCGGCTTGTTTTCTCCTGGTCGCTAGTTTGTTTCCACTAGCATTTCTGAGTCGCCTGTTTTTCCTTTGATTCCTGGCAACCGCCGTTTCACCCAGATCGGTGAGCTCTGCCAGGAGCAACATGGCCAATATAAAATAATCCCACCGCCAAAGCATCTCGCTGTGAACTGTTACGATTTTGACCTTTCCCCGTCTTTTATGGCCGGATATTCGGCAAAAACATTAAGAAACCACCTGAGCAAACACATCGGGTCACAATGGAAGTGGTAGTGCCCACTTCAATGGCATTTTTCCGGCTCCAGGTGACGTCAACGATCAGGGTTAACCAATCTAATACTGATTAATACAGATTCGAAGCAGATCTAGCAATACCGGCGCATATTATCGATTATCCAGTCGGATAGGTAACTGACATCGGAGTAAACCCCGGGACTATTTGCTGCGGCACAGCGATTGGCCCTGCCCCATGAGACGACGCCCACGAGGAAACCATGGGCGTTGACCACCGGTCCCCCGGAATCGGCGGCACAGGCATCCTTCAAGCCCGGAATCGATGCACAGAACATGCTGGCCGTAATATTCCGATAGCCACGATATAAATCCCGACACTCCCACTGTGGCATTACTCGCACATGGACGCTGTGGAGCTGATTGGGCAGCGATGTGGAGCTGTCGTCGGTTAGTCCCCAGCCGGAAACCCGGACAAAAGACCCAGGGCGAGGAGAATTCACAGCCAAGGAAATGGGTCGAGCAACGGAGGCCTGGAGCGGATGCTGCAGCTGCAGGAGAGCCACATCGTGGTCCAAAGTGGTGCGACTATAAGCCGCTGGCAGCAGTATCTTCCTCACATAGCGGGCATTGCTCATATCCCGCAGATAGGTGACCCCGCCGCGAACCACGAAGTCGGAAGGTTGACCCTCTTTCAGGCAGTGGGCGGCGGTCAAGACGCAACGGGGAGTGACCAGAGATCCGCCGCACTCGAAGTTGCCACGCCGCCGGATGTTGACCACGTGCGGCTGATTCCACACATCACTAGGATGACCGCCCACAACGCGAGGACTCCGTCGTAAGTCTAGCTCCTCTGCCGCAGACTCTGAAATCCAAATCATCCACATCATCAGCGGAAGCAGCACTACTTGCATCTCGATCTTAACTGGCCTATTATGGGTTTTTCGATGGACTGGAACCTTAAACCATAGATCACAATCATTTATAGAGGCGAGCGGCACTGACCTTACCCAACGAGAACGAGCACTTACAAAAAACACCTGTTCACCGCTGTTTACACACGGCAATGAACTTGGTGTTATGGAGGCTAGTGGAAGTTGGGAGACACTGTTCCCACTCTATGGAGTTTGTTTAGGGTTCTGAATAGATACTCCAAAATCGGAGAGTGGGAACACTATAAGTTATATTTCATTGGGAGTACCGACCTTAAGATAAGATATCACATATAGTACGTCAATATGTGATAAAAGGGTTTAACATATCATGTTATTAAATATTGTACATACGTCAATATATGAAAAAAAGGTATTGTAAATGAGTCCCAAAATATTGGAAACATAAGGTGTTCCCGAGTGTTGTTTTAAGATGTAGAGAAATATATATAAATTAAATAAGATATTCTATCAAACATTTCTGTGTAACTTATCAAAAGTTCATTGATTTAAGATATAATTATATATGGTTTCTTTTAGTATGATATCCTTATGTCGTTGTAACCTATCAAAATGTAATCTTCCAGTTTTTCTCACCACGGACATCTCATCGGGACGCCAGAAGCTGCACGCCCAGATCCAAATAGATGTGGGCGAGCTGTCCGCTCACGGGAGCACCGCTGCCACCTTCTACATCTTCAGCCTGGCTGAGGCAGAGATCAAATTGCAACAGAGGTTAAGCTACACCTTGGATGTGGATCGCGGCCCAGGAGGAGGTGGCACCAATGCCCGCGTGAGCACTGCTCCGAACAGCTCGGAGTCCACACCAGATCACGAGGTGAAGGGTTTGGTTCAGAGCCTGGCGGCCATTTCTCCGGTGCAAATCGAGTACCTGGATGAGACGCGGTTACGAAAGTCTCGGGAGGATACACTTACAGTCCGATGTTACGGGGACTTCAAGTTCACCGCCCGTTTCTACACGCTGGACAGGAAGCCTTTGAACCAGGTGTATCGGGGCGAGAACTTCCTGCTGAGGGCCAACACGGAAGTGGTGGCCGTGGACGATGTGGAGATACTGGACAGCTTCTTTATATGTGTATGTATCCTAAAGATTTTGTAGGAAAACTTAAATAACTTCCATCTCCCACCAGGATCACAACCTAGTGCAATCAAACTACAGCTTTAAGCAGAAGAAATACACCAACAAGTACAGCGCCGGCGAGCAACTGGAAAGCGTGATAGTCCTCCGGACGAATGCCACTCTGCGGGACTGGACGACTGCCCGTGATCTGGATCATCGCGGCAAGCTGGAGGGCAAGGCGGTGGCTAGTAAGTTCATCAGGCCGGCAGTGAAACCCCCTTCAGAGGAACCCCTGGCTCCCACACCGCCCGCTGGTATTAGTGCTTATATGAGCAAGAGTCTGGTGACCAAGATACCCACCACCATGACCATCATAAACAGCAATTCGGCGGTGTCTAATGCCCTGCAGGTGGCCAACGCGGGTGTGATGAGCAGCTCGTTGCAGTCGGATGATGTCAACGTGGCTGAGGAAGCCATAAATACCCAAGAGGGGATGAAAACCACTCGGCTCATTTACAACAAGGCTCTGGAAGCTGTGCAGGGAACGGGTCATTGTCGTGGCTTCATCAAGGGTGTTTACACGCTTGAGGGAAACCCATCTCTCGTGCCTATTTTCGGAGTATTCTGCATTCGCTGGCGAAGGGCTAATGGCAAGGAGGAGAACGAATCCAAGTTTGTGATCAGTGGTCTGGACATTGCGGAGCCGCCGCTGAATATCTACTGCACCATCGAGGAGAAGATGTTTGTGAAGATGCCCATGGCCTTTAAGGTGGTGCTGAAGAATCCCACCACGCATGTCCTCCACCTGATAGCCAACCTGAGTATCAGCAAAACGGATAACTTTATATGTTCGGGTCACAAGCAGGTGAGTTTGTTTTGCAGAGCCCTTTGTGACTCGTAACTTTAACTTATGATCTTCACAGCTGGACATCTCCATAATGGCCTACGAGGAAAAGGAGCTGGTCTACAACCTGTATCCCTTGCAAGTGGGCTGGCAGGAGTTGCCGGTGCTGAGCCTAGAGTACAATACCAAGGCGGATCCTCAGAAGAACGACAGCCAGAATGCCTTGCTCGATGAACTGGTGCAGCGAGCACTGCCCAAACGAGTCTTTGTGCTGGTAGGTGGCCACTGATCCTCAGGTTACTCCACAATACTAACCTATTTGAATACACACAGCCACCTCTGAAGCAACAGAACAAGTAGGAATGAGACAGCGATGATGCCGCCGCTTTAGTTTAAGTGTTTTAAAGTTTACAATTATCACTGGTGTGTAAAAATTAACTACGCCTACTCCCTCTTTATTGCTAACAACAAACATACATACATAAATAGCTATATTTAGAGAGTTACATAGCATAATACTTGAGAGTGTGTGTGATTGTATTGTATAATGTATTGTTAAACGGGCCAAGACGCACTCGACATTCTTGTTAGTTGATTACGGCGTTTTAGATAAGCTGTGCTAAGTCCTGGTCAGTACCGCAAGTTGCACATATTTTCGTACATCCTTTGAACGTACAGTAATAAATATAAAGCATAAAAATATCGTTGAAAGAGCACACACGTTTTAGTCATTTCCGGACCTCTTTCCGCCCGAGGAAAACTTAAAGACACCCTTTCTCTGATTCCGGTTTTCATTCTGCAAAAAAAGTTAATTAGAAATTGATATTTTATTATTCAGCTGTAATAAACTCACCAACAGGCGATTTCCGAACAGCATCACAGCCTTATCCTCCGCTTCTTGCGGCGTAGCTCGTTCTCCTGCGGACAGAATCGGCTGACGCTGGTGGATATGCAGCTTCTGTTTGATGGCCTGCGAGAATATCACCCGCCGGCTCACCGATTTCATGGCCAGCAGTAGATCCAACCAGGTCCAAGTCACGTTGTGGTACTCCAACGTTGGTATGACTAGTGAGTAGTCTGTGATGTCCTCTAGATTCTTCTCCTTGTTGCCCTTGTAGCTGACGCGCACAGGCACCTCGGGAATCTTGATGTAGATGAACAGCTTGTTCTTCTCGGCACGCTCCTTCATCTTCTCCACGTCATCCTTCTCGATCTTCACATAGAACTCCGAGTCCTTAGCCCCCTTCTTGCCCTTGCCCGAGCGCTTGGTCGACGAAGATGTCGAAGGCTTGGCCTGTAAATTCGTTGTGGACGCCGAGCTGGTTGAGGCGTTATCATCCAGTTCGTCGCTGACCTCCGTTTCGGAGGCATCGCGATCCGGGAAACAGAACTTCAGCATTGTACTGTAGAACTTCTTCGTAATGGCAATGGTGATGGGAGCCACATTGATCTCGAAGTGCTCCTTCACAGATATGCCGCCCACAGGAGCCTTCTCGCGGCAAAAGATCCGGAGCACTCGCTTGTGGGTGTCCACGGGCATGTCCTTTTGGATTTCAGTGGCTAGCAGAACATCACGATAGATTTCCCGCGGCAAGAGGTTCTCCATGCGTATGTTTCCCAGCTCCAGCAGATGTTCCACCGAGTCATCGCTCTTGGACTTCTTGGTGTAAAGAAAAGCACTAAGGACAAGATCAGCTATGCCAATCTGTCCATCCGTTTCAGTGAGCCGCCACTGGGCACGCTTAAAACAGATCTCGTTGGTGCGCACCATGGTCACCGACTCGTCGGAGCGCACGTTCGATATCTTGCTGAGCTGGGATAACTGGGTTTCCTTATAGCAAAGTAACATCATGTCCAGGTCCTCGCTAAATGTATTCAGCTCTTCCTTACTCTCCCGGATCATTTGCTGGACATGGTCGTATTCTTGCCGCAGCTCAAATGAGTCGCCTTCTTCTATGCGCTCCTTGCTGATCATGTGTGTGTCCTTTTCCAGCGAGCGAATCTTCATAAGCAGACTACGGATAACCGTCTGCTTCTGCTGAATGGGTCGCTTCTGATCCTCCGTCGAGTGCAGCTGAAGCTGGAAGCGCATCCTTGCCAGCTTCTCCGCCGCCTGCTTTCGTTGAGGCTCTACATAAAGCAAAAGGTTGTTCACAATGTCCAGGATCATGGCGTACTGCAGCGAGTTGGTGCATACATCCAGGTCGTGATGCATCAGGGTGAAGGCATCTACGGGATCGTCTTGTTTTTCCCACGGTGATTGCAGCTCCTCTGAAGGCGGCGGCGGTACCTCCGTGATGCAATTTGGGTCAATGGCATCGCCATAGCTGACATAAAAGAACTCGCACTTACACTTGGACACAATGCGCTGCAGTTGGACGGGCTGCGCCTCTCCAGAGTTGTCACTCAGGAAAGCACCAACAGTTTCGGAAACAACACCACCTACACTGCGCCCACTCCCCACCAAGTGTGAGATGTCTGGCAGATTGTTGATCACAGTCTCGTCCTTGTCCTGGATGTTGTCCACCGTCAGCCACATGATTTCCTTCTCCAATAGGGAGTTATTATCTCCCGCGCTGACTGTCGCATAGTACTGCATGCACTCCAACAATCCCTTCCACGTAGTTTTCGAGATCAGCGAGCGCTCGCGCCAAACTGGACGATGCTCCCGCTGCAGGATCTCCGCCTTGGCAGCACTAATGATCACATATCCAGACGTCTCACAGCCCTTGAGCAGCACCTGGGAATTCACTAGACTAATGGACCAGTTCTCGTGGATTATATCCTGGGCGGAACAGGCTTGCAGGCCCTGGAGCTGAAGCTCCCTAGATTGGGTGCTATGATCGTCGCTATACACATTAAATTTGTGGTCTGCCTCTGCGATGAGTTGCTGCAACATGGCGGTGGCATGGATCTGGGCAGGGGCCTTTTTCAGAGATGCACTCGGGTTGGAAACTAGAAAAAAGAATATCAGCTAAGAACATAAAGTAGATAGAACCAACTCACTTGGCAAGACCTCGCTGTTGGTACTGGACAAGGTAATGGTGCTATCACTTCGCTTATGCTTTAGCACAGCCGAGCTTGGACCCTCCTTCCGATAGCTCTTTACCGCTTCCGTCGACAGATTGTTCTTCAGTTTCTGTGACTTCATGAAGGAATCAAAAAGGGCAAATGCCACGTCACGATTGCTCTTTGTCCAGGCTCCTTTTAGATCATACACCACCAACTTATGCGTGGGCGTCGTGGACTGCGCTTTAACATCCTCCTCTGTGCTGCTGGCCGTCGTGGGTATCAGTGCTTCGCGTCCGTAGGATACCTTCGCCACGCTTAGAAAGTAAAATCGCACGATTTTGAAGGCATCTGCGGCACTGGCCAGGTTCTCAGAGCTGCTGTCCATCTTCTCGGTCAGAATACTCTTCAGCCAGATCTCAGCATCGTTAAGCTCACAGTTCATGTAGATCGTTGACCAATCCGCTCGTGGCCGATGGATGAGTCCATCGTCAATGGGATTGAGGGTCAGAGAGTGCTCCGAACTAAAAGAAACACGCCGGCCGTTCAATTGGAAGCCCTTTTGCAGAGCGTGGGACATCCAGTAGAGCACCTGGAACTTATGCAGGCACATCTGCAGGTTGGCCTTCTTGTAATGCCGACTGAGCGGCTTCTTCCTGGGTCTCACATTGTTGAAGACCGGACCTCGCCGTGTGGGCCTTGTCACTCCAGAAAGAATGAGTTGCAGACTCTCAAACCACCGCAATGTGCTGCCGTACAACACCAGACTGGGTATGTCGACTTCCAAATCTTCTCCCGCCTTGGGCTTAGTCTCGAAGGATATCCAAATGTTGAGATTAAGCGATCGGAATGCGCGGAAGGAGTCGTGAACTTGATTACTTGAGTACTCTGGCAGCTTGTCCGGGGCGCAAGGCATCACGGCATGGTGGTCGTTGGGATTAGCCAGGCAGACCCATTTAAGCTTGATCGTCAACTTAAGATTAGGAAAATGAAGCAAGCGACAATCGTCGTAGCGGGATGCTGTTCGAACCATGACCTGAAAGGTATAAAAATTATATTTAATCAATTATAAAATTTTATTATCATAAACTCACATTAAGTTCCCCTTTAAACATAATCTTAGCATTCGTCAGTACAATCCCGCAATTGTTCCACGTCAACTCCATTTCCTCTGTGGTGTTATAGGGATCAAGCGAGGCGTGGAGGAGAATGGTAAATTGCTTGGCTATTAAAGTTAACCGACCGTGTAGAAGTAAGCGCAGCTTATCCCAAAATGGCAAGGGAGGCGAGGGATCCTTCGATGGAGCCGAGATCTTCTCAAAGCTCAAGTTGCACTGTGCCATTACAGGCTCCCAGCAGGCTCCAAAGGCATAGCTACAGCTCTCGAGTTCGCAGTCAAAGTCATGGTAGAACTTAAGCGAGGGCATGCTACGTTGAATCACATCGGTGCCGAATGGTTCGCCCACATCAATGAAGACATCGCGCTTCGCTCGCTTGGAGCCCATTTGCTCGGCTCCACAAAGATTGCCGTACAGCCGCATGCTCTTCACACAAAACATGGGTTGCGGGAAATCCCTAAAAATATAATTGAAAGAGTATGAGTATTGAAAAAACGTATTCCATTAGTTGGCCATCAACCTCAGCATGAATTTCCACTCTGTGCAGCTGATGTTGACACCCCGGCACCACAGTGTAGAAAACTCCAGTCCCTCCTCCGGCCATGGACTCTCGTGATCGATCTCGCGCATCATGCGCGTCACATTATCGTAGCCATGTATTGAGGTGTCTGCCATGGCCATAATATTAACGTCCGTCATGATCCAGGCAAGCAATCGGGTACGAACCGGGCCACTTTCTTGAATCTTCTTCGATCGCTGTATGTAGATCTCTGAGTTCTTTTTGACCAGGTTGGCATAAAGACCCTCGATGGTTCCAGATGGCAACAAAAGCCGTTCAGAGCAGAGCTCAGCGATCTTCTTATCGAACAGCGTCTTGCGCTTTAAGCTCTCCAGGTATTCATCCACCAGTAGGACATAGTTGTCGCGAAGTTTCACCTCAAAGGGATCATCGCTTATCTCCAGCAGGAACTCTTTTATCTTAATCACCAAATCGCAGGGTAACGGTGAGTCCACTGTAAACGGCTTCTTCTTGTAGTTGTGGACCTGCTTCAGCCACTTAAAGTGTGAAGTGCACTCCCCATTGACTGCGTTATAAAAGTCATGGTCATACGGGAAAATGGCTTTAAAGGATCCAATAGTGGTGACCCACACCCTGTTGGAGGGAAGCTGAAATCCAGGAAAGTTTTGGCGTTCTTGGGTAAGTACCTCCAGTCGTGGCACTGATTGGAGATCCAGCTCTTTGACTGTAAATATGTGCTGATCGTCGATCTTGACAAACACATTCTCCGCATAGATGATACATCGTTCTTTGCGACTAAAGAAGAGGCTCTCCACAAAGATCTGAATAGAATGCCGTTCAGAAAACTTTATCTCGAAGATGGTGCGCCGTTCTGCTGACAACTCCACTACGAGTCCTCCTCTGGGAGAAGTTTTCTTTACGGGAGAAGCTGGAATCGCCAACTCCGTTTTCAAGTCCTGCATATCCCTCACTAAAGTTAATAGGTGCATGTGCAAATTGGAGTTCCACGTGGCCTCCATGTCGCCTGGTATGTAAATGGACAACTTTCCCAGTGATCCCGCCAC